CACACACACACACACACACACACACACACACACACACACACACACACACACAAACACACCAACCTTGGTAGACACAGTTTTGAGCCTTGTACATGTTGCCTCTGTATCTATTAATCGACATCAAGCGAAAACATTCCACCCCAAAAAAATGCCCACCTGGCTCATCACAGGCTCCTCCTCCGGCCTCGGCCTCGCCATCACCCGCTACATCCTCAGCCAAGGCCACAACGTGATCGCCACATCGCGCAACCCCGCAAAAACACCCTCTGCCGTGCGCGAAATCACAGCGCAACCCCACGCCCGCTGGCTGACTCTGGACGTGACCTGGTCGAAACCGGCCATTGACGCATTCGTGCAGAGCGCGTGGACCGAGTTCGACGGGATCGATGTCCTGGTCAACAATGCGGGATACTCCCTCCTCGGCGCGGCGGAAGATATTCCCGAAGACGGCGCCAAGGCGCAATTCGAGGTGAATTTCTGGGGTGCCGTGAGGGCCACACAGGCTGTGTTGCCGCTGATGCGTGAGCGTGCTGCCGCCGGTGGTGGTGGTGGTGGTCGAGGAGACAAGGCAAAAGCAACGATCGTCAATATCTCAAGCATCGCGGCCCTCGACCCCCTCCCCACCTGCGCCATCTACTCGGCAGCCAAATGCGCGCTGGAGGCGTGGTCGGACAGTCTCTCCAAAGAGGTTGCGGGGCTGGGGATCCGCGTGCTGATCGTCGAGCCGGGTGCGTTTCGGACGAATTTCTTCAGTAAGGACGCGTTGCAGATTGTGCGGCCGAGTGCGGCGTATCAAGGGGACGAACAGCCCGTGGGTAAGACGTTGGGGGTGTTTGAGAGTGTGGATCCGGACAATTTTGGGGATCCGATGATGGCGGCGCAGAGGATCTTTGAGGTCGTCATGGGAGTTGGGTTGGGTGAGAGGTTGAGCAACGGTGGTGATGGTGGTGGTGATGTTTTGAGGTTGCCGCTCGGGGCGGATTGTTATGATAGAGCGGTTAGGAGCCATGAGGCGAGAGGGAAGGAATTGGAGGTTTCGAAGGAGGTCGCTTTGAGTACCAGTTGAAATTGAATCATGGACATTAGATATGGTCGAGTCTAGGTGTCACCAAGGTACACGGTGCCATATGTGACAAGTCCTCCTGTAGGCTGTTAACATTCCATAACAATTCATATATACCTGGAATAGCTTCTAGCAGTATATAGTAACCTGCTACAGTAAGCCCACTCAATGAATCCATAATCACACTCTATTCGCTTCTCTTCTCTTCCCGCTCTCTCCCCTCGCTATAACTTCACCACCGGTCTTTCAGTCCCTTTCACCACATCCTCAATGTGATAGAAGGGCAAAAACCAAGCCAACGTCTTGCGCTCCTCCTCTGTCGCCTTGAGTTTTTCAAAAGCATCCCTTCCACCAGACACTATAGCCTTGACCTGGATCTCCAATTTCTTGCCATTCGCATTGTACGGCACCTCGGGGACCCGGAAGATGAAGGTCGGAACATGTCTCCTGCTGAGATCCCGCGATATCTGCGCCCGGATCGCGTGTTCTAGGTCGGGATCCAGGATCCAGGGATGATGTGTGCAATGCTGGTACGACGGTGTGCACTTGACGAAGAGCACCACGCGTTCGACAGAGTCAAAGTATGGGGCGAGGCTTCTCTGTTGGCCGACGACACATGCGTCGGAGATGGACGGCAAGAATCGAGGCGTGAGGAGGATGTTGTAGATGTCGGAGCTGCCAAAGCGTACGCCGGAAGGATTCAGCACGCCGTCGCTGTGGTCACGTTGTCAGCGAGTGAGTTTTGCTTGTACTCATAGAAAACCTCACGATCGTCCAAGGATGTAAATGCCTCCAGTCTCAGGATCGACCTTTGCAAAATCACCGTGGGTCCAAACATCTGTATTTTCAAGTACAACTCGTTAGCAGTTAGCTTGACAAATAGTGACAAAAAAAAGGGCTGGGGAGGATCAAAGATGAGAAGAGAATCGAGGCATTCTCACGAGGGTATCCCGCAAAATAAGCGTCGAAGTATCTCTTCCGGCCAGGATCTTTCAAGAGCATGACTGGCATATTAGGAAACGGTCGGCGACAGACCAACTCTCCGCTCTGTCCATCTTCCACTTCCGTTCCATCGGGCCCGAAAACTGCAACGTCGCATCCCAGGGCTTTAGTTGAGCATTGACCCGGATACGATGGCAAGGCAGGGGTGCCGTTAACAAAAGATCCGCAGAGTTCAGTACCCCCGGACATGTTGATCTGACAGATCGGACCGAAGGCTTCGACCAGCCATTCTGCAAGGGGAACCGGGAGGAGGGCGCCGGTTGATATGACCGTGTGGAGGTGAGAAGTGAAGGATCCTGTCTCGGTCAGTCTGATATTACCAGGTTGTGCCCCCTCTCCAGTCAAGCGCTTTGAGAGCTTTGTATGACATACTGGGTGTTAAGCCGAGTTTCTGCAGTTCTGAAAAGTATCTCGGGCCAGCGCCAAAGGATGTCACCCTGTACCCGTGGATGCCGGTCATCAGTCAATTTCAATTCCAGTTTCGAGTTTGTTCCGGTCGCTCTAGTGTGTTGACTGTGTGAAACTTACTTGTGAGAGAAGAGGGCCTTCAAAAAGCCCTCAGCGCTGGGAAAGAACGGGCTGCCGTCGTACAATACCATCTTTGAGCCAGCCAGTAGAGCTCCGAGTGAAATGTTCCAAAGAGTCCAGCCGATCTGGTTGATGAAGATTGTCAGAGAGGCTACCATGCTGAAGGGTACAAGGCTATAACCTCACTCCACTATAGTGAAAATGCATATCGTCTGGCCCCAAGTTGTGGTGGAGGACGTGTTCTTTTAGTCCGTTCAGGACCAAACCCTAGATGCCAGTTCAACACATGTCACCACCTTTAACAAGGCGAATTCTGTTTATGTCAAGGGGGGGATCCGTACACCATGGGAATGGACGATGCCTTTGGGAGCTCCCGTGGTTCCTGAAGAGAACATGACGATGAAGGGAGTGGAAAACTCGACTTGTTTAAACTCGAGTCTGGCTGTTCTTGCTCCTGTCGCACGACCAAGAAAAGTATCGAAGGTGATGCTTTGAACTTGGAAGTCAGCGAGCTTGGTCCTCGAAATGGTACTTTCAACTGTCAATTGACGGGGTGACGCTGCTCACGTACCACGCAGTACTTGATGTTAAGGATGATGATGTCGATCCTTCGTCGTCTACTACGATAAGCTCGCAGTTTCTGTTCATCAATCGAACTGTCCTGGCAGCGTTTGCGATCTTGCCGCTGATGTCGATCCTCTTCCCATTGTATGAATATACCGTCTCAGCAATCAAAATCCGGGGCTCGAGGACTTTGAGACGATCCTCGAGTGCCTTGTCACCAATGTCGGTCGCAAACGAAGAAAAGAGTGCCCCGAGTGCCCCAGTCGCCAAAAGCAGAGCCAGAGATCGTACGTTGTTTCCACCCACAACTGCTCCAAAGTTTCAACGGTGGTTAGCTAAGGTACAATAGCAATTCAGAAATGGGTTCCGGGTTTACGCACCTGTGACAACCTCCCCCGGTTGTAGTCCAGATGCTTTCAGAGCATCAGCGTACTTCTTCACCAGCTCTTCCAAGTCTTGCCACGTGTAGATCTCCGGGTTCCACATGTTGTCTTCTCGCATGTTGATGATCGCGGTGCCAGTTTGTTTCCTGCCAAGTACGTTCTCGGCGAAATTGATCTTCGCCCCTTGGAAGAACGCTGGAAATTCATCGATGCGCGCGTTTTCATCAATCGCCTACCAACAACCATGTATTCCATGTGAGTGGCCGGTCAAACTAGCAAGGATGTCCAAGTCTCGAAGCTACCTTACCTGCGCCGGCTTGTCTGATCCGATAACCTCGAAGTAGTCCCAGAAACTCGTCCAGAAATCGCTCATACGAGTGATGGAAAACTTGTGCAGGTCCACATAGCTAGCTGTGCCATGTCTCGTAAGCCAGTGCTAACACCATGAAAACTTGGGGCATTATCTTCTGCAAGCCTGCAGAGCCGATTTTGTTGGACTTGCAAACTTACCTAACTTGACCTTGTATCTCCTACTGAGATGATCCCTAAAGTCGTGTAGCCTTGTTCGTAGGCCTGGCGGTGGCTTGTATGCTGGTACCGCAGCCATGGCTGAAGACATAAGCTACAGAGGTGGTGCCCAGGGATAAAGAGAAGGTCGAGAAACAATTCTTTCAAAGCACAGAAGGAGAGTAGCTCGGTGCACGTGAATAGAGACAGAGATTCCAGGCGGCGAGAGCCTCAAAGCTTGAGCCAGGTCTAGCCCCGGCATCAAGTCCAAGAATCAAGCACACGCGTGGGCCAACTTGACCGAGGAGAGTATGTATCAGTCATCCACATGTCGAATTGGAATAGCCCACCCTACTGCCACAGATAGGTCAGTAGAGGTCAGTTTCGGCCAATAACCAGCTCCAGCCCTCCGGCATCTTGGCGGGATTCTCATCGTCTACTACCAGAGGTAACAAGCCGACTAGAATGATGCTGCTGCGACAGGCGTCCATAGTCATATCCACCTGGAGAAAAAAGGCAGACGAAACGGCGAGTGACTCAAAACAGGGTTTGTGTGGAGTGGCCGTGGCCGTGACCGCCCCGAATTTCTTGGACACCTAGGACGACTTGTTTTGATACCAGAGGCGCTCCCGACGTTTTCTCGTGAATTGACGATTCATCATACGATATTTCCTGCATAGTCCAAAGGTCCTTGTACGCTTACTAATTCAATGTCACAGTGACAACCCCGGCAACGGTTGTGATATCAACACAACTCAGCCTTCGACCAGAGAGAAAGAGAGGGAGAAAAGTCAATATGTCGGTAGCAATAGTAACAGGGGCCGCCGGGGGAATCGGCAGAGCCATCTCCGTGCAACTGGCAGCTGACGGATTCAACATCGCCCTTGCCGACATGCCCGCGCGGTCTCGCGACCTCGAACAAGTCAAAGCGCAAATCGAGCAGAAAACAGGCCGTAGAGCCCTGTGCCTCCTCACCGACGTGAGCAACGAGACCGAAGTCAAGGCCATGGTGGCATCCACGGTCCGCGAGTTCGGCGAACTGAACGTCCTCGTCGCCAACGCCGGGATCGTCAAGCCAAACAAGCTCTTTGACCAGACCACCTCGGAGTGGGACAACGTGATGGCCGTCAACGCGAAGGGTGTGTTCCTATGCTACCGCGAAGCAGGGCAGCAGATGATCAAGCAGGGCAAAGGCGGCAAAATCATCGGCGCCTGTTCGAACGCCAGCTATCGCCCGTCCGTGTCGGGCGTGGCGTACTCGGCGAGCAAATGGGCTGTCAGGGGCCTTACGCAGGTCGCGGCCCTGGAGCTCGCGCAGCACGGCATCAATGTCAACGCGTACTGTCCTGGCCCTGTGGAGACGGATATGTGGACCGAGATCGATGCCAGCGTCTCTAAGAACACGGGCGTACCGCTGGGGTCGACTTATGACCACGCAGTGCAGACGCGCATGGCGCTCAAGCAGAGATTGACGCCGGAGGATATCGCTTTGACGGTCAGTTTCCTGGCCAGTGAAAAATCGAGGAACATCACGGGCCAAAGTCTCTTGGTAGACGGCGGGATGTATTTCAGTTGACGAGAGAGAGAGAGCCGAAAGGGAAAATGGTCAAACCAGTGGACTACGGAATTTATCGAGTCCCTTGTCTATTGACTATATCCTATATACGATATGCTATGGCCACTTGTCGGCACTGTGAAATGTGGCTGGGAATGAGAGTCTCTTTCCTTGGACTTCTGGACAAAAAGACACGGGGATGAAATATTTTGTTGGGAATGGAACACGTCCTGATCTAGAAATTTCAATGCAAAGGAAGCCCAATGGACACAGGTGAAAGAAGAAAGACCAATAAAGAATATTTTTCATGCTAATGGTCTAAAATATGAGATACATTCCTTTGCCTTGATTCGGAGAAAAGCAATTCGAGCTCATCTATCTAGACTGTACTGATCAATGACCCATTCACATGAACCATCTCCTGGACATGGTAAACTTCGCCGTTGATCACGCCATTGGCCTTGATACTAGGCAGCTGGTCCATCTTCGGCGGATCGAACGGGGGCGTTGTTCATCGTCGCAGAAATCAAGGCCCCCGGAGCGTCCCTGGTGCCCAGATAGTAAGAGATGTCTCTGCCATCATACTCTCGGGTTGTAAAACCATTGCCCAAGAAGCCAAAGGGATTGCCGCTCTGATACTTGATGTCGTAGTCCTCGTAGCGCGGCTGAGCCAGCAACTCAAAGTAGAGAAGCCTCGAGCCGGGCCACATGGCCAAGGGTCCGTCCTCCTTGCCCTGTTTGAACCAGCTGCGACATCCCGACGCCCAGGCCGTGCGCTGGAGGTACAGATCCGCATGCTCTATGAACGCGTCGCACACGGCTCGTCGTGGGGCCATCGCCGTGATGTTTTCCGTTTGCATCTTCTTGATCACTTGTATGAAATGACGCATGAGTAGTTCGATGATGGGCAGAAATGACCCGTGGCCCAGGGGGCCGTAGGCACCGGTGACGGTCCAGTAGTTGGGGACTATTTAGCTTCAAAGTCAGAACACAGTGGCTCCCCCTTGTCGGAACCATCAAGCAACGATCTGGGGCTTAGTGCTTACTTTCAGGAATCCCGATCGACAAGTACGATATCGGCTTCTCCTTCTGAATGTCTTGGACATTCTTACCTCTGGCCACGATGGGAAATCGAGGCACCCATGATGTATTGAACCTGTCATACGACGACATTTCAGTACGCTGTTCATGAGCTCAAAAACAAAACCGGGCCCAAAGAGACACACCCCGTGGCACAGATGATAACATCGACTTCATGTTCCTGTCCATCGTGATCGATAAACCCTTTCGAGGTGACTCTTTTCATCTCTTTGCTGAAAGTCGTGACATGTGGAAGGGTCAGGGCTTCCAAAAATCCGTTTCCTGGCTGTACTTGGTCATGAGCAGAGGAAACACTTTTCCAGAGGAGGACGATTCTTGATTCTTACCGTGGGTCGCCGACAACCTACCCCAAAGGTTGTGGGGACAATCGTGTCAATCAGATCCTTACGACCATTCAGCTTCTCATGCATTTGTTGTGTGGAAAACTGGATGAAATTTCAGAGAGTGCGTCAGCCGAAATGCCCATCACTGCCTATATCTGGAATATCGGGGGATTCAAATGCCATACCTCCTTGGCCTCTTGCGCTTCAGGTGTACCTGCTAGAATGAACTTGAATCGCTGATTGAGTTCGTCTTCAATGGCTTTAGTGTATGCCACATATTCCGGAAAGTTCTCGGCGAAGTCTCTTTTTTGTTTTTCGGTGTCTGCAATCCCATCAGCCCCGTTGGTGATGAACTGTTCACGCCTGCAAGATTATAGATGCCCACATTTGAAGTTGTCGCCATTCGGTCCAGCATACTTTTGAGCGAATCCGGCAGTGATCCATGTTGGTGACCGTACCCAGGTATATAGCTTTTTGACCTTGGACGCAATGTTTGCTGTGACCTGAATGCCGCTGCTTCCAACGCCGATGACTGCAACCTGTTTATTGTCCAAAGTGGTGTTCACAGGGTAGTTTGCTGTATGACAAAGTACGCCTTCGAAGTCGTGCAGTCCTTGAATTTCTGGCCACTTCCAATTGCTGTGCGCACTGGTTAGTCTCTAGTACCTCTGACCAATGTCCAGGTTTGGGTGCTCTTTACTTCAGTACTCCTCCGCCATTGATGAGGATTTCGGCTTGATCCACAAACACCTCATTTGTTATGAGATTTTTGACCTGCACATTCCATACCCCAAGGTCCTCGTCCCAGGTAGCATCGATGATCTCGTGATTTAATTTCATGTACTTGCGTAGCTGGAACCGCTCGACAACGTCGGCAAAATATTGCCAAATTTCTTCCGAGTATGAGTAGAAGTGTGACCAGTCAGGTTTTCGGGCCCAGGTAAACTGTGATGGGTTAAGATGGGAATAACGCCGCGCCAGCAAGACTCAGGGGGATTAATACCTGATAGTTCACGGAAGGGATGTCGCAGGCACATCCTGGATATCTGCATCCCAACCACATCAGTTCGACGGCGCTTATTTTTTCCTCTGGAGTCCTACATCGCCAGCTCACCTGTTCTCCAGCCACGTACCCCCAATATCGGCATTTTTATCATAGCATACCCATTTCGCGTTGTGCAGCAATTCGGCCGCAAATTTCGAGAAGCATATCCCCGATGCGCCTGCTCCGACATGAATAATTCGTATGGGTCGTTCTGTGCCAGATAGCTGCTCCTGAATACGATACCCATTCACACTCTGTCGAGGCCAACCATACCTGTCTGGGAGTGTTTCAAGGTTCCGATTAATCTGAGCGATGGTCTCCTCAACCTTGGAGTTACGGGGGGTAGGGTTCATGTTTTGTGGTTCTGCTTGCTGAGTGCAAGGAAAGAACAGGATCAGGGGTTGGGACTTGCTAAGCACCTCGGAGTAAGCGACGACGTGTGTAGAGTCCTTGAGCAACTATTCACCTGTGATGTATATATTGTTGATGTGTTCCTGGCCATTGAAAGTAAAGTCGCAGCCCTTGCGTCTGTAAACGCGCGCCATTGTCAGTTGATCGACGTCCTCGCTGGGCCAGCCTTCGGTGGAGTCTGCGCACAACGTGACCATGACCGTGAGCGATACCACAAAGACTAGGTCGAGTCGTATGGCCAACGTAACTGATCCCGAAAAGTGGCACGAGTGGTTTCGCTGTCTCCGGGCCTCAGCTTCCAAGTTCCCACCATGCAGGGCACGCCAAAGAGAGTGCGCCAAGACGGCGTCTTGAGTGCCTGGATCTGGACTAGCCCACAGTGCACATCACCCACAGCGGGCGGTTCTCTGCAGCGCCGGGTCGACTGGTCACTGGGACGCCACAAGAGATGCAATCTTGGTCCAGCGGTCGCCTCTCGTGAGAGGATAACGAGCTCATATCTGGGAGTTTCAATCAAACTCAGATAGACTGCCCGGAGAGACGCATAAAGGACCGGGGCAAAATTGTAGTCTAAACAAGTTGCCTTAAGCCTGGGATGCTTGTCTTGCCATTGTGAAGAGCGTGAACGTGAGAGATTAAGGGAGCAAGGGAGGTACTCGGTACATACCTCAGTTGGGACCAGGACGGGGCATTCTGCACCATGTGACCCCTGCTGCATGTGGTGCCAGGCACCAACTACTCTAGTTATGTACAAGGTCCCCCGGAGTCCCTCTCCTCACTCCCTGGCCAATTCCCCAACAAGCGAGCCACCCAGAGCCACTCCTCTTGATTTATTAGGTAAGCTTAGGCACGCGGGGTGGCACCCAGGTGGCACCCATAGGTTTGCGGGGTGCTGGACCCTATCAGTCCTCCTCAGTGCCTCCATGCATCTACCTGGTGCTTGGTATCGGAGTCGCAAAAAATAATATCTCGTCTTTGCTTTCTGTCTTGTCTCCGTGGCCTTTGATCTGATCCGTCCACAATTCGAGAATCCTAGACCTAGATACTCGCGGCCACAAGTAATGCCAAATGGACGGTGCCTCCACGGGTAAGCAGGCACCTCCAACACAACCACAACCACAATCACAAGCGAATCAACCTCACCGTGGAGGACGAGTTGCCTGTGTCCTTTGTCATGCCCGGCGCATTCGTTGCAATGCATATGACTCTCAACCATGTTCGAATTGCGCCGCTGCACAAGTCTCGTGCCAGTTGATTGAATCGAAAAGAGGCCGGTAGGTACTCTTCTACCTCATCCACCTCGTCCCCTGCGCCCGCGACATTTGAACTGATAGGGACAACGACAGATATATACGGCCACGGACCAAGAGCACACAGGCTCGTTCGGTGGGCTTCCGTCTTCAGCCAGATCATGATGCTTCGAAAGCCGCCACGACCGCTCAGAGCGTGCAACCTCCGATTCCTCAACGACTGCCAGATTCCACATTCGACTTCAACAAGTCAGTTGATGGAGTATCGTTGAGGATCGAGCCACTCGATTTTGGCTCCGATGCCGCGCCTTCACAACCATTGGCAGGAAATGAAGGCCCTTCTAAAGAAGGCTCCGAGAACCTCTACGCACGGCTGAGTGAGCAGTGCCTGTCGCCTCCGGAAACCCGCCACATCCAAGGATTTCAAAGCATATATCTGGGAGAATCGTGGCTTTTGACATACGTTGTTCAAAAGGTGATAAATGCAGACGCAGCATCCGATATCAGTGGCAGCTCTCCGTCTTCCCTCCAGGTCCCCCTGCCAGCGACCGTCGGCGATAAGCCTGACAATTTCGGCTACGACACCAGACTGGATGCGGAGGAGATGGAAGTCCTCAATATCAGAGGAGCCTTCGTGCTGCCCGAGCGACGAGTTTCCGACAAGCTGATCCAGACCTTCTTCGAATGCGTCTATCCGGCATTTCCCATCTTCGATCGAGAGCATTTTGCACAGCTATACGAGTCGAATCAGTTGTCACTTCTCATATTGCACTCCATCTACGCGGTTTCGAGCACGATGTGCGAGGAAGATGTGATTGCCGAATCCGGATTTGAGAGCCGAAACGCAGCTCGCAAAGTCTTCCTCAAACGTGCCAAAGCTCTTCATGACGCAGATTACGAAACCAACAAGGTGACACTGGTTCAGGCTACCTTCCTCCTAAGTTTCTTGTGGAAGGGTGCCACGGACGAAAAGGATATGTTCTATTGGCTTTCGATAGCTATCGGCAACGCCCAAGGCAAAGGAATGCACAGAACGTAAGCATTCCACGGCTCTGATCATCAGGTGTTTGAGAGACTAACACACCACACCAGAACCAAAGATTCTACATTGACGCCTCGAGACCGCAGGCTGTGGAAACGAATTTGGTGGTCGCTCTACGTGAGAATTCCTATCACTCAGTGGCAGGTCTTCATCTAATGGTAGCAGGTCCGAGACCGCCACTGTTCTGGCAACATTGGCCGCCCCATGCGCATTCGAGATGATGATAACGACGTCGAACCCCTCGATGAGTCGGATTTTGAAGATGATATTGCGCAGAACCCAACACTCTCAACACTTTATGGACGGAGTAGCAGGGTCCATATCCTCTTCGCGATCGCAATGAGCAAGCTCTCAGTCATTTGTAGGTGTCCGACCGGTGTGCGAATTGAAGAAGTTGAGACCGAGAGCTAACGAGCGGTAGTTGGTGCAATCACACTGGCAAAATTTTCCACAGGCCCATCAAGACAGAGACTGAGCTGTGAAGAGCTCGGCTTTCAGTTACTGGAGTGGCGACAGCAGTTATCCCCGGAACTGCAGGATGGTGATGGGGAAGAGGACGGTGGCTTCTGGCCCAAGATGCTGGATTTGAGTTACAAGTCCGTCAAGCTTCAGACTTCTATCTACCGCTGGTAAAGTCCCTCATGCTGACTCCATCGTGTAGTCATCACCTCATCCTGCTACATCGCCCTGAGAACAGCAAAATCGTGGTCGACAAGAAACTGCTCCAGTCGCCAGCATACACTGCCACGAGGAGGATAACTGCCATTGCTGATGATTTCCTCGCATTGGGTCTGCTTCGTAAGTCGCAATTGCAAATGTAAGGCCTTCAACGCTCCCACCCCCTTTGTTCCAGGTTTTACGATGACTGAGACAAAGCAGATGCCCAACTCTGTTCTCGGCGCTGACCATGTATGTGCTCATGGCGCGAAGTCCGGACAGCATGCATCGAAAGCTTGCCGAACACAAGGCACGTCTTTTGCTACTCGCCTGTGCCGAGGTTGCAAAGACGTGGCCGGCGTGTGACTGGATCATGAAATTGTTTGAAACGATATTCAAGAACATGGAGAAGAGAAGTCAGACACAGGTCCCCCAACCGGCCCTGGGCGATCCGTATCAGAGTGGTTCGGGTCCGACCCAGCAAGCAACTACAATCCGCGCCGGGCAGGGCATCCACCGAGAGTCTCAGCACGAACAGGCCTCTCTGAACAATTACCAAGATCAAAGGGTATCAAGTCCATCGGCAAACATGTTAGATGCGGGAGTGCTCGCGGACATGCCACTCCACCACCAGTTTCTCAATGTGCCCGAATTCTGCGATCAAGATCTTCTCAGCGTGCTGCCACTGGACTTTGGACTGCCTCACGATGTCCTTCCTTACATGATGGAAAGTTAAGATGTTGAATTTTTGTCTCGATTCTCTCTTTATTACATCTCCGAAAGCGTGTGGGTGATCTGTCTAACTAGAAACCCAGAAAGACATTCACTATCTAGTGTCGGCCTTCTAGCAGGGGACATAGTATCCTAAATCTCCATTCTCGACCTCCAGCTGCGTAAAGCCATTACCCAGAAATCTCCAGCGATTCTGCGAAGACCGCACATTAGATAACTCCATAGTCTCAATGTACATAAGCAATGAACGAAAATCCCTTACCTTGCTCCGGTAGTCGATATCAAAATCTTCTCCACGAATATGTTCCACCATGTCTTTCTAAAAGGGTTGTCAATCCACCGTCAATCTCGGTCAATAAGGCAAGCCACTCACATAATGCAGGATACTTCCAGGGTATAAGGCCGTCACTCTGCCATCGACTTTTCCGTTCTTGTACCAACTCCTGAAAAGGCAGCAAATTAGTTCAAAGTCCGAAGGGGGACTAAACCTGGATGTTCCAGAAAAAACCGCCCGAGGGAAAAGCATAAAGCTTGTGCTTTTGCCTTTGGCTTAACTTTGCACTCACCTGCATCCACTGGACCAGACAGTCCGCTTCATGAGTTCATCACCCCAAACGTTCCAATCATTCTGGACTTGCGCCTTGACCTCGAACGATCTGATATCTTCCCGGGTCATTTTGACCAGCCACTTCAGCACATAGTCCGCCGTCCAGTCAATCGCCGACGTCAGGCTCCCGTGTCCCACTGGTCCCGCAGGGCCCATGAACATGAAATAGTTGGGCTGGCCGTTGGTAGCGAGGGAGAAGTAGCTGGTAGGCTCGTCCTTCCACTCGTCGGCGAGGGACCGCCCCTTACGCCCGAGTTGCTGCCACCTCGGCCTGAAGGAGACGTCAAAGCCCGTGGCCATGACGATTGCATCGAATTCGCGATGTTTACCGTCCGCTGTACGGATACCGGTCTCGGTAATCTCGACGATCGCGTCGTCGACAAGCTCGGCGTTGTCTTGCTTCAAGCACTCGAGATATCCCGTGCCGGGGGTTAGACGCCGACCTGCGTGTTGTATAACTCATCAGCCAGTGGTCACCGTAATATCGACTGGGCATTGGGGATTGGGTTTTTGTTTCCATTCAAGAAATCAACTGCGGCCACTTACAACCAAGCGACCAATTTGGCACCAGCTTTTCGATCAACTTTTCATCACCTCCCAGTCGCTCGTACATGAGAGCCTTGACACCTTTCATGGCTTCGAGATTTGTTGGAGCTCCTTCGATGAGCTAGATGAAAATATGCCTTGATCAGCTTTTGGGGGGGCCTCGACTTGGATTGTGGCAAGCCACTGAGAAACTCACTGCCGAGTAGAATGTGTTCTGCACATGGACGAGCTTCTGTCGCAGGTCCTTCAGCTCTTCGGGATGCAACCGGAATCTTGCTTGCTCTTCGGTTGTATCTGCGAGCATGTTCATTAGTCCAAGATCGATATTTCGGTCCCCAAAAGATATATCGGAAATCTTACATGCGGGATTTCCACCAGGATCTTTCGAGAAGTCATCGGCAAAGGGGGCCGAGATCCACTAGGATTCTAGATCAGTTCTCACACTCGAACACATCCCAGCCTCAACATGACAGATTGGGAAATTTCGGGTGGGACAAAAATCTTACAGCTTTGGATCGAATGAAATTCACCATCTTGCTCGCAACCTTTTGCATTTCTGGCACAATCTGGATCCCTGAGGAACCGTTGCCAACGACAGCAACGCGCTTCCCGGAGAAGTCAAAATCATCGCGCCAGTTGGCGGAGTGACACAGATGTCCTTTGAATTTGTCGAGACCAGGAATTGAGGGCCATGACCAGTGACTAGAACCGAAAATAGTCAATTTCAAAAGTGCTGCCAAAAATTCTCGACAATGCTCGGGGGAAATGAAAATGTGTGGAAAAATGAATGGCCACATACTTGAGGACTCCTGAACCATTGAGAAGCACATGACACCAGTCATGCACTAATTCTGTTCCTTTCAAGACCTGGATCTTCCAGATCCCGCCGTCTTCGTCCCAGATGGCCGATTTGACCTCGGAATTGACCTGGACGTCCCGATCGAGATTGTACTCTCTGGTGACTTTCTTGAGGTATTCATGGATCTCTGGGCCGGTGGCATAGCTGGTCTGATGTCAGGACTCGGGACTTTGGTGTACTTGGTATGGATTGAAACCAAAAGAAACTCACTAATGGCTCCATTCCGGGTTGGGAATATCGACAAAGGTATATATATGCTAATAGAAATTTTGAATGAGCAAAGTGTCCGAGATGGCTCCAGAGTGATCACCAGAACATACAGCCGGAACGTCGCACATCACCTAGGTAGTCGAATTGTCAGTACCTTGATCACAAAGGCTTATGGTCCTTGACCTAGAGAATTCGACAGACGTACCCCGGGATATCTGTTCTCGTACCAAGTTCCACCTATCTCGGGCTCTCAAACAGTCAGCAACGCATTGAGTCTTGACCGTTCGTGGGCTCTTTTCCTCACATTCTTCTCGTATATCACATGCTCAATGATATCGTCCAGCTTATGGGTCCGTTGAATCTTGTTCGCCATTGTCAACCCTGACAGGGAGAAAAATTCAGTATGATGACTTGTGGCTCGTCGGCCACGGCTGCTAGGAGTCGAAATAGTTCCCCACACTCACCACTGAAACCCGCGCCGATTGTTATGACTCTCAATCGAACATGTGGCTTGCCCAAGAATTCGTCTCGTATATCCACCCAATTCGTCGGCTTCTGCTGCTCGTGCTTTGAAATCCCATCCCCGAGAGTCTTGTCGACATGGTCGATGCCATTGGCGATCGGTTCCTTCTCTCGACTGTCTACTGCCACAGCCCCAGCGGCGGAAAGCGCATCGACATCCACACTCATGATTAAAGGTCTTTTGGGATTGTGTCTGACTTGAGAAGGACTGATGTCACCTTTGTTGTAATTCTCGAATGGATCTGGATTTGGAACGATGAGTGCCGCACACCAAACCTTAGTCTTTGTTATTCAACACTGAGTCACTGACAACTGGTAGACCATATACTTTCCGGTGTTTGTCTCTTTGAGAAGGTCCATGTACTTGTGCAGGACTGATCCGGATCCAAAATGTGGGACCTCCCGCAAGACCGGAGTACTACTCACAGTTGTCAGTTGCTGTGTTAGAATATCACGACTTAAGATGCAGCATCAGGTCATTCCACCAGGAGACAGGGACACGGACGAACAAGCGGACGAGTAAGACTTGTCACCGTATCCAACAGACTGAAGATCCACTACGTCAGTCGAATAGGACACCGCGAGTGATCGTTGCCCGAGGTCGAAATGCCCTGAACTCCCAAGACGCCAGTGATGCAGCAGAAAGTCACTGCACGAGGTTCGCAAAGACTTTGGATAAGTGGGTCGGTGGGTCGGTGGGTCAACCGGCATCTTGGCACAATTATACATTATCAAGAACCCGAGAAGAATGAACAGCTTCTGGATGCGATAACAATACCAAATCCGTCTAAACTACTGTTTCCACTATTGTTTCTCCTGCCTGACCCCAAGTGACACTCTTGAACCCCCGTGGGGAGACCTCAATCTCCACAGACTTGACGCGACATCATGAAGCCGAACACCACTCCTTCGTGATTCGTAGGTTGTGAATCCCCGCCATGATGCTCAATTCGAGAGCAAATGGGAGCTGGCTAACTGTATACGATAGATCCTTGGCTTGCGAATAGTGTGCAAAAAGACTAAAGTCGCAGTATGTTGATGGCCCGGTCTCGAAGAAGTTGAACCACTGTACTCACAAACAAGGCTGCTCGGACCTTCTGGACGAGGTCTCAACTCTCACTACTGCTGAGAACGCGGTTGTGTCGATTTAATCTCGAACACCCACATCCATGTCCCCTCTTTACTTGACGAAGAGCGGACTGAAAGAATAAAGTGTAACACACTCTCCTTCCTCAGTTTCGAGCTTTGAGCTTCGTGGGGGACGCAATACATAAAACAGTCTACAGACTACCGTTGTCGCCCCTGCTGGTTTCCTTCCCAACTCACAGGCACCAGCTTCGTTAGAGATCACTTTCAGAAACCATCGAGCTTGCACTATTTCCACCTGCCTATCTACGTATAGGTTATCTGGCCGGCATACACGAAACATCTCGCACCTTTCAAACCCTTTGAGAAGGCAGACTTGGCTCTCTGTGACCGCCCATCATGAACAAATTCCAAATCCTCTGTTTGATGTACATTACGTTTGGTGGTGCTTTTTACGGATACGACTTTGGTATGTCCCATGTTTTGTTCATCATATCTACCTATCCCCCCAGATGAGAACTACCATCGGCACGGATTTTAGTCTCTTTGGTGCCGCGCGAAACATACAGACTGACACTTAAGAAACCACTTTCCCGGGCATTGCTGATAACAAATCCAGGAATCATCTCGTGTGTTTTGGGATACTCCGAATTCATCAGTTACTACGGCTTCACTCCGACAACTATTGGCGCCTTCAACTCGGCCTACTATGCCGCTTGTGCCGTCGGAACCGCCATGAATGGGTATTTGCCCAACAGGTATGGTCGGTTGTGGACGATCCGGATCGGGTGTTTGATCTCGTTTGTGGGCATCATTCTCCAGACTGCGGCCGTCAACTTTGCCATGCTCTTGATTGGCCGCATCATCGGGGGCATTGCCACGGGAATCATCTTTGGGATTTGTCCCGTTTATGCCAGTGAGATCTCTCCGCCTCAGATGCGTGGAAGAGCAGGTGCTTTATTCGCGTAAGTGTTCCTCCCACCCACTGGTCTCTCATCCCAAAAAAGGCATTCTGGCCCTATTTTGACCAAGAACTGACCCCCCTTTTCTTTTTTTCCTTGAACAGGCTCAACATCTCCTTGGCCAATTGTCTCACCGTCTGGATCGGCCTTGGTCTGTACTTCATCCCTGGGAATGCCGCCTTCCGCATCCTCTTCGGGTTCCAACTCCTTCCCGGGTTATGTATGCTCGCAGGGTCTCCGTGGATGCCTGAGTCACCACGGTGGCTGGCCCTAACCGACCGATATGAGGACTGTCTCGCTGTGCTCAAGCGGATCCATGGCAATGAGAAGGACGACTCGGATTCCTTCTTTGCACGCGAATTCCATCAAATCAGAGCCCAGATCGAATTGGAGAAGAGGGATAAGATCGGGGTCAAAGATATCGTCATGAAGCCTTCTTACCGTCGACGAGTGGTTCTGATCATGGCTTTTTATTTTTTCCAACAGTAAAGTTTCCGGCACCTCACCTCCTTATAGCTTCCGAGAGAGAAGGGGGGTGAACGCTGACGAGATTTGCACAGGGCAACTGGTATTTTGCCTCAGGCGGTCTACCAGGTGCAAATCTACACGCTCTTGAAAACCACCCCGGTTATGTCACTCGTCCTCGTCGCAGTCTGGGGCAGTGTTTCGACATTCGCGGTTCTCAGTCTCGGCTTTTGGTTCGACAAGATCGGCCGTCGAAATGCTCTGGTGGGTTTAGATTTTCAATCCCCCTTATTCGTTCGTGCTCGACTGATGACAGTATCTGGTTGTTGTTGCAGTTCCTCTCCTACGCCATCATGATTCCTGCATCGATCATTATTGTCGGTCTGTGGGCTGCCTTTGAGCACGGCGGGCAGAGCAATCTCGGACTAGCAAAAGGCATCAACGTTGGTATCTATCTCACCGTGTTCGGATACGCGGCTGTTATGAATACCTTTGGCACCACAGTGAGTACTGAAATTTCTTTTCACAAGCCCATATCAACACACACAAGAGAATCCTAGGTTACTGACACCCCCCTCCCTCTAGTACGCATCAGAAATTATGCCAACCAAGATCCGCGCTACAGGAGTGGCGGCAGGCTACATCGTTTTCAACGCCATGGGTGTGCTCATGACCCAGACCGCGCCACTGGCGATCGCTGCTATGACCTGGAAGTACTTTATCATTTGGCTGGTTCTCGACTGCCTGTACGTGGTCATTGTGTACTTCTACTATCCAGAAACGAAGAACAAGACACTCGAGGACATCGCCGGTGTGTTTGGTGACAAGGTCGCCGAGTCCTGGGAGGAGACTAAACACTTTGTCGAGGAGGACAATGGAGTGGTTCAGCCCCTGGCGCTTTCTGACGAGAAGGTGTCTAATCCGCAGGTGGTGGCGTCTCCTCTGCACGTTGAGACCGTTACGCGGTCTGCGGCTTGAGGGAGTTGGAAAGTGGACAGTGAGCAGTGAACAGTAGACAGGAACGTCTCGTTGCAGCCCCTGCGGCCTGTACATTGGACAGCTTGATCGTCTCTCAAGCGTCACGATGCCAAAATACGTTTCAGGATGGTTGCTGTCGAGAACACACGCGATCGATGTTGGCTACTTTGAGAATTGACACTTTCGACATATATATGCATACATAGTGAAGCCTCATTGAAGCACAGCAAAACTTGGATAATGCATGATGTGTCCCCCTGTTCTTCGCAATAAAACCACCAAGCTGCATCGGCTATCACATGTTTCAATCATCATGGGGTTGAACTTTAGACCTTGGAAAATCCATTCTGACAGCCCTTGAGGTCGACATCAACGAGGCCCTGCGCTCGCTTCTCGTCAATACGTGCAGTCCTTCCGGGTGCTGTCCGCTTCGCTACAAGGTGGAGCCACAACTCGAGGACGCCGGCCACCGGGGCATGGCTTATGAGGAGAGACGGGTGCGTGGCGTTTTTGCGAATGTTCAACAGTCTTCGAACTTCGAGTTGGTTGCTTTAGACTGTGCAACCCAGTAGTTTCCGAGTCCCGAGTAGGTGGGAAGAGACTGGGAGGGGAACTACAAATGCGGTTAGTCCAGTGGAGTAAATGGAATGGTGCTAACTAGACCCGGCAAAGTGTCATGGGCTGTGGTCAGACCCTCTGCACCAAGACGCCGTCTTGGCCTTCAATGGGAATTTGCCCTCAGCTTGACGCACCCCTCGGCATTCGATGTCGCCAACTCTTGCAGACATCAACGTCTTTCCCGATCTCCATATCGCTGGTCATCGCGTACACCTACAGTAGCAAAGTTCTGGCAGTGGACGCGTGCACGGTTTCAGAATCTCCGCTGACTTCTCACTTGACGGCTGACGAGAACGTGTCCACGCTCTAGATTGTAAGTCCTCCCATTACCTATTGACCTCTATTTGTCATCTGCGATTTGGAAAGGACGACCAAATAGCCTCGTGGCCAAGGCTTGTGCAAGGTTTCGTGGAAGGTCAGAGGTTCTTGATCGGACTTTGCACTCGGTTTTTAAGACCGCGCATTGTTTGTTTATTTGATCCTGGTGCAATAAGAGGTTGTCTCTTGGTGGCCTGGTGTGAAGATCGCTGGCTGTTACATACTCAAGGGATTTCTCGTCCAGAAAAGGAGGGCCTCGACACAGTCCAGTCGAAAACGAACAAGACAAGCAATAACGACGACGACGACAAATTGACGCGACAAAATTAAGAATAAAATGGGATCTGTCAGTCCCATGCCATTGTTGGGTGAAGAGAGAACGGTACCAACCTTCCCATGGCGTGCCCGTGGCCTGGTCTCTTCGGGTCTGCCTTTCCCTGCACTGGTCTCCAAACACGTGGATCGACTGGCCAAAAAGCGCGTCTTCCTCGTGGTGTCGGGATCGCTGGCTAAGCATACAGACTGCGTAACAAAGCTGAAGGATGCGTTGGGAGACAAGCTGGTGGGTATCAACGTCGGATTTCCAAGTCACACACCATGGACACACGTGTTGAAGTTGGCCGAAGAGATGTGAGTCTCTCTCCCCTCCCCTGCGTAGGCTTACAGTCTTCTCGACTGCTTTGTTGTGCGAAGGCTTTTTTTTTTGGACGCGCTCCTCCTCGGATACCGAAAATTGAATTCCTTCAAAGGAGGTAAATAAAACAAAGATCAGATGATCATTAACTTTCATGGAGTGGATAAACAGAAAACAAAGCAACGCAGATATCGTGGTCACATGTGGCGGCGGCTCCATCACCGACGGCGTCAAGCTCGCCGGGTTGAGTCTGGCGAATGGCCTCACGTCCCTCGATGCGCTCGGCGCCATGAGCGACAAGCTGAAAGCTGCGATGCTGCACGACATTGACTACAAATACGTCACGGACTCGGATCCTCCAGATGTGCATGCTCCGCCTTTCACCATGATCAACGTTCCGACCACGCTTTCTGCAGGGGAATACTCGCCCTACGCAGGCGGGATCGACGCCACTGACGGCGTCAAGAAGATCTTTGTGCACCAAGGTTTATTCGCGGACGTGGTGATCTTGGACCCGGAACTGGCGGCCAATTCGCCCGAGTGGGTGTGGATGAGTAGCGGGGTGAGAGCGATCGATCACTGCGCCGAGTTATTGGGGAGCCTGAATCCCGCGATTGAGAAGGAGACGGACGAGGCGGCGGAGAAGGGCTTGGTTCTGCTGGTAAGAGGGCTTTTGAAGCTGAGAAGGGAGCCGCAGGACCTGGAAGCTAGGCTAGAAACGCAGTTTGGATCGGTTTTGGCCATGGACGGTATGTTTCCCCCTGAAGTCTTTTTTTTTGGGCTTGAGCTGCTCAAACTGGCACGCTGGTGTTTGTGTTCAGGAACAATGTGTTCTGACTCTGACCTTTTTCTATCTTCAGGCCTATGTAGGGGCGTCCACCTGGGCGCTTCACACGCCATTGGACACGAACTGGGCACCATGAACGTCGCACACGGACACACATCTTGCGTCCTCTGCCCGACGGTTATGAAATACAACGCCAGCGTCAACGGGCATCGCCAACAACGGGCTCTCAACGCCCTCTGGTCCGACCCGTACATTCGTGAGACGCTCGAGACTCATTGCAATTTGACGCAGTCTTCCGCCGACCTCGGGGATGTTCTCGATGCGCTTTTTCGCCAGTTCGGTATGCCGAGGACATTGAAGGAGGTCGGAGTGGAGGGACAAGAGAAATTGACGGACCTGGCGAGAAAGTGCTTGGAAGATCCGTGGTGTAGGACGAACCCGATTCCGCTGGTGACCGAGGAGCAGGTGATGAAGATTCTGAAGCTTGTCGAGAAATAAAAGACTTCTCGGCTGAGGGGGAATAGAGCAAACGAGCTGAGAGTAGAGGCCTCAGGAAGCATTGACTCTGTTGATTCGTGACTATGTCCTTCGAAGAAGGGAAGTTTTGAATCGTCGTTTCCGGTGACAAGCATGTTTCAATGTACATTGTGATCCCCAAGTATAAGAAAAGATTTCATCTCTGGACATTCAACATAGCTAAAAAGCTCAAGAGCAAGCTTTTTTCTTCCCCTGTCTGATTGTATCGAAGTTTCGAGGACGTACCGGACTTTTGGGGGTCCCTCTTAAGTCCTCTCACTCAAGCATACCAGAGCTGGGTGACAGCGGCCTTCTTGGTGGACGAATTTGTCAGCTTTCAAAAGCGCAAGACGGCGACACAAGCCGTCTAATTTAAGCTCCACTGACACCTTGACATGGGCCATTGAAAGTGACGATCTTTCATCATGGCACGTAGTATACAATAAAAAGGGCAAAACCTCGCAAGAACCGTGTAAATTTTGTTCACATACCTACCTCCCAAAGCCGAAAATTTGTCACTCACCTAGGTGTCCAGTCCCGTGAAAATTGACCTCAATCTCCCACAATGAAAGCGGTCATCTGGACCGGCGACCGCGCCGAACTCGTCACCAATCGTCCCCATCCCCGCCTCCGCCCCGACTACCTCCTCGTATCCTGCGTATCCATCGGCCTCAACCCAACCGACGCCAAATCCATCGCCACCCGCCGCGCCGCTCTCAACGGTCTTCTTGGCAGCGACTTTGCCGGCGTGGTGTTAGAAGTCGGTGCGGAGGTGACCAAGCCGTTCGCGAAGGGCGATCGAGTGTGCGGATTCGCGCACGGGGCCAATTTCAACGAGGCCGAGGATGGGGCCTGGGCCGAGATCATTGCTGTCAAGGGCGATTGTTGTATGAAAGTGCCTGAGACGTGGGGCTTCGATGAGGCTGCGACGATCGCTGCGAGTGCGATTACGGCGGGACAGGGCCTTTTTCAGGAGATGGGATTGAGACTCCCTGCGGTCGATGGGGAGACGGGGGATCTACCAGCGGGAGCGGGAGCGGGAACGGGAGTCGGGGAGGGCGAGAAAGAGTACATTCTGATCTATGGTGGAAGTACGTCTGCGGGAACTTTGGCTATTCAATTCCTCACATTGTGCGTTTTACTACTCTTCCTATTACTAACTACGAGTCCCGCGTCACTCTTCTCTCAACAACAACGACAACAAATCCCTCCAGGTTGAGTGATGCCGATACTGATACTAACACGCACGCACGCACTCAACAGCGCCGGCTACACCGTCCTAGCAACCTGCTCGCCTCGCAACTTTGACCTCTGCAAATCCCGCGGCGCCGAAGCCGTCTTCGACTACCGCGACCCAGCCTGCGGCCAGAAGATCCACGCATACACGTCCGGCCAACTCAAGCTGGTATGGGACACGATCGGCTCAGACGACGGCGTGGGCATATGCATGGCATCCCTCTCCCGCGACCCTCAGGCTGACAAGAAATACGGCACGATTCTCTTCAATGACATCCCGCGTACGGATGTCAAGCACAGTTTCAGCGTGCTCGTGACGTTTGCGGGCGAGGCGTTCGACAAGTTCGGCAAGCATTTCCCTGCAAGTCGGCGGAATTTCGAGTTTGCGAAAATGTTCACGACGCTGGTGGAGGGGTTGATGGCGAAAGGTCGGTTGATGCCGCATCCTGTCAGACTCGTTGGGGCAGGATTGGTGGGGATGCTGGAGGAGGGTGTGCCGATGATGAATCAGGGAAAGGTCTCGGGGTTCAAGGTTGTGGCTAGGATAGCGGACACGCCGTCGTAGGTCGTAGTACCGGAACAATCTCCCATGGTAAGGAGGTGGAGAGATAGGTATAGTTAGAACGCAAATGATTAGCCTCGTCGTTAGTCAGCTAGACAAAGCATCGTCTCGAGCCTTGGATATTGTTAGTACGCCTCGTGTCTCTCACATAGCAGCGATGCGCGAAGGTGGAACTTAGAATACGAGGTGAATGGTACGTGATTTGGTCATTGTGATTGGCGGATGGGTCTTGACTGGTGGGAATTATGGTGTCGGAGTTACGCGTCGTAACGAGGCGAAGTGCCGGTCTTCAAGATATGATATACGCATAGCCCCCGTCAGCACCACTCATGATACGGAACTTGAAAGCGCACAAACATCGGACGCGAAGATCAGACTAGATGATATTCGTAAGTCAAGATCAATAAGTCTAGTCCATTTGATCACTGAAGTCAATCCATCAGGCTGGGGGCAACCTCGCAACTCGCAAGTCCTTTCATTGAACCACGTCCGCGTCAGCCATCACAAAGCTCCTAACATCTCTTAAAGGGCTCGCCGTCTCTCGAGCCTTCAATTCACTCCATCACCATGGGCTCAGCCGCCCCATCCAATGCACTACTCGACAGCTACCGGGCCTCCGGCTTCGCCAACACCATGGGCTGGGGTTCCCACCCAGCCCTGATCCTCGTCGACGTGTGCAAAGCATACTGGACCGCCGGATCTCCACTCGACCTCAGTGCCAACCCGCCCGCCGTATCTGCCATTGCATCAATGAAACGACTCGTCAGTGCCGCGCGGAAGGGAAACGTCCCCATAATCTGGACGCAAATCAGATACACATCACCGGATCTCGCGGACGGGGGGCTTTTCGCGCTCAAAGCGAAACAGCTGTGGATATGGCAGGACGGCAATGGGCGCGGATTGGATGCTCCGCTTACAGGCCTGGAGCCTGCACCGGAAGATATTGTGATCGTGAAGAAAATGCCCAGTGCGTTTTTCGGGACCACGCTCACGGACCAGTTGCTGCGCTTGCGTGTCGATACGCTGGTCATATGTGGCGTTAGTACGAGTGGATGTGTCAGGGCGACGACGCTGGATGCTATGCAGAATGGATTTCGACCCATGGTTTGTTCTTGGCTCTCGGTTCTTCGTGGCGTCTCAAGGTTGAGGAACTGACTATCAATTATCAGGTCGTGGGAAATGCTTGTGGAGATAGGGCTCCAGAAATTCAAGAAGCGAATCTGTTTGATTTGAATGCGAAATATGCGGATGTGGTGTCTGAGGAAGAGGCCATTGGACACCTTGAAGCTGGGTGGAAGGCGAAATGGTGAGAATGGGATGTATTTGCTGTGTTGATTGAAAGATCCTCTTCCCGAGCTATTCCTGAGGTGCCTCGCGGGAGATATCACATCCTTCGGGCCTCGATGAAGTATTCGTTGCAGGGGTTGGTCAAAGGTACCTTGTCTTTCGTCGTTCTTCTGCTGACATCAAGCCGCACAGACCTCGAAGAACTTTCGTTATATATGCAGCGGTGGAGAACAGCCGTTTACCATGTCGATCACGAATCTACTTTTCAATTTCACTATGGCCACTACTGATCAATAGCTATGGACGATAAGACCTTTCGCACCCAATCAAGTCCCATGCTACTGGCGGTGTGAAAGAATGTCGCCAGCGACACACCCATGTCAAATATGCCCTCGCTCACCAAGTGAAGCTCTCCTTGTTTAGTTCCAATTTAGCACAGTCCATCCTCTTCCTCACTGCCGCTCGATCTGATTGATCAATGTCTCATCAAAGGCTGATACCAGTAAGTTGTCGAATCAACAAAAAGTTGGACGTACGAGTGACTGTGAAAATCAAGGCATGCTTGGTTTGGAGAGTTGAGAAGATTCTTATCAGCAGTGCAGCAAGAGAAATTAAAAGATACATGATGGTAGGATGTTTGGATGACTGACCCGAGTGATGTTTCAATAGCAGACGCACTATGTTGGCCTGATAACGCACTCAATCACAGCTGTTATCACATGACCAAATGAATAAGGATGCAGAAGTGAGATATGTTGGCCCAGAGCAAATTCTCTTAGATCTCTTTCTTTTATATTCCCAGACAAAGAATTTCTGAATTTCTCAACGCTATGCTCTCTTCATCTCGGACTTGACGCGCCGCAGGAATGGATGAGCGCCTCTTAGCCGCGTGGTCTTTTGGAGATGGAGTGACATTTCGCGTTGAGAGTCTGTGAAAGATTTCTCTCAAATCTCCGTTTGAACGTTGGATCATTGCGACTTCGTAAGTGTTGCACAGACACACCTCCGCGTGAGGAAATGACTCATGCTATTCATTGCAAACCTTGAGATGATCCAAAAGAGACTTTGTTGTGTTTGTGGGAGGGAAGTGAGATCTTCGCGTCGGCAAACCTGCCTCTTTTCAAATGACACGCTCCCACGCTGCTCCGTCACGTGCCCGATTAAAGCGGCCTCCTTATCGATAACGGTAAGGGATGAAGCATAGTTCGAGGTATATATAATACATATATATATATATAGTACATAGGTAGATCCAAGATCCAAGCCTGCTTGTCCAAAAGTTCTGTCCTGGGTATCGAGTGTCGTGTCGATGAGACACAACGATCAAAGAAAAGAGAGAATCGCTGAGATTATAGAAGCTCCAGGAAGTATTGCTGTAGAGAAATAACACATCAACCGTTGTGGGTTGTGGCAGGCAGAGTAACCAACAAACCAATCAGTCGAGTTTGGATACAAGGGGGAAAGAGACACTCAGTGAGCTGCCTCATCCTAATCCTCAATGTCGTCGATATCTTCAACACCATCATCGGCGTACGGCCGACGTCGGGCATAGCGGGCGCCATTCTGGCCTTCGATGTAGCTTATACCGAGTTCTTGCAACTCCTGAATTTTCCTGAGGCCCACACTCACACTCTCAAACCCTGGTGGTAGGCGGTGACCGGATCTATAGATAGGGCATTAGAACACAGCAATAGACTCGACAGCGCCTGGGGTCATTACGAGAGTGAAAACCAGGATAGACAGAACCCAGCCTGATCAGAGAAAGACGAAACTGGCAGAAAAAACAAGGGGGGAGGATGCAAACTTACTTGAGATAAACCAACTTGATATTGCGTGCCTTGTCCTTCAGTTGCACCTGGGTTCGGTCTTGCAACCTCGGTCCATCCTCGTGTCTGTTGTCTTCTTGCAAGATCCTCGCCCACCGTGTCCCGTGCAGAGCAATCAGTTCCAACAGTCGATCAACCTCCTCCTCCGTATAAGGTCTACGGACTTGGCCGCCTTGTGGAGCATGTAACAACTCGCGAGACATACGCACCCTTTCCTTGGCTTCCTGGCTCACACGGCTGAGTTGGGATGCGGGCAGTCTCTCTAAAGGCAATCTTGATGACCCGAAACTTTCGGGATGAGTTCGAACGGGTGCGCTCGAAGGAGGGAGTCTTCTTTTGGCCGCTGGAATAGGTTCAAGAATTACTCGGCTTGATGGCGATGTCTGTGTACGGGATGGTGCCGGATTTGATGAGATTGGCACTGTGCCCGGGATGGCATCTGGCGATTGTGACCGAATTTGGGTCGGTCTTGAATGCTGGCCTCGATTTGCAAAAGCAACCGCGCGGGTCTTGTCAGAGATACGAGCATCCTTGTTGATAGGTGTGATATGCTCCTCTTCCACTTCGAGGCTCGCACGGGTCGTCAGTAATGGTCCTCTGCTAAAATCACCACTGGCACGAGCTCTTTTTGTTGCCCTCTTATCCGTCTCAAACTCGTCGGGGCCGGCGTCATCTTTGCTTGCTTGAGGTCGTCGACGTTTCAGAGGCTGAGGTGGCGGCGGAGTGTCCCCATTATCAGACGGCTCGTCCCATTCCACCCTCTCTGCCCCCTCTTGGCGGTCGAGCAACGAGGTTTTTTTAGCTTTCTCGTTCTTATTTTCCTTGTCACTCTGTTGATTCTGACGGCGAACAGTCTCTAGGACTATGTTTGTTTGCTGGGTTGGGGCGATCTCTTGGGCAGAGGCGCTAGCTTGAGGAAGAATCGGTACTTGGCCCTCACTTTCATCAATAGCTGCTGGTTGAGTCTCATCCACAACTGGCGATGGAGACTGTGGAATCTCCTGCTCTGGTTCTGGTGGAGTTGGAGACACGTGATGAACTTTGTCTCGGGGATTGCGTGCAGAATGCTTGACTTTGAAAGCCTTGAGTCGGTCAATGTTGGCTTTCATGGCTTTGCCTAACAAAGGCCCTGTTTTCACCTTCTGTGTCGAGCTTGTATATTTGGGATTGGCATCCCCAACATGCTCTGCTTGGTTATGGTCCGCGACAGGGCTCAGCGCTTTGGTTTTAGGATCTGCCAACTCCGACGCTTGAGTGAAACCACCGGCTGGCCCAGCCTCGTCTTGGAAGTCATCAGCAATAAGTGCATCGATGAGCTTCTCTATACCGCCTTTCGAATTGATCATGTCGTCCAGCTCCCCTTTGCGGGCCAGGCTCCATCTGGCCGCCTGCACCACAAAATCTGACCAGAGAAATTGTTGTCTTAGAGCCTCCACGTTAATCCACGGGTGCGCTTCCGTGCTGAAATGCGATCTTATGGAGGACATGCGCGTCATTGCTTTCGCGTACGTCTCCTCATCTGATGAGCCCTTTATGTTATTGTGTTCGTCGTAAAAGACAGACCCGAGAACCTCGTCAGGATCAAACACTTCGTCACCGTGGCTGATCTCGACTTGCAGGATATAGAACTGAGTGAGAATCTCCATATAGAAGTGGTAAGTGTCTTTTACCATGTCATCTGAGAATGGGAACGCGTCGAGATCATGAAATGGTGCTGGGAAGTTATGAAACATAAACTCGAGGTAAGTGCGACGTTCCTCCAACGATCGTCTGAACACCTGGACCAATTGCAATGCGAGATTGGCCAAGTAGAGAACGCCGTCCGGGCGCCAGGGAGTGTTGTTGATCTCGCGCGGTTCACCATCGCCAGCTAATTTGCGTATAATAACTGCTGGAATGATGAAACCCGGGCTACCTCCATACACTTCCACGGTGGTTAAGAGCTGTTCCTCGCGGGACAATAATTTTCGGCAGAGTAAAGGGTCGGATCGCAGCAGCTTTGCACAGATGTCCACGACTCCGTTTTTACCACCACGCTCAAAGATTGAGAAGACGGCGTCCGAGTCATTGCGCAATTTGATGAGATTATCGATGATGGACTCTCGATCCAGGGCATCTAATAGACTCTCCAAGGATGATGTTATGGAGGACCCTTCTGATGAGACGGAAATACTGCTGTTGAAATCCTCAATCTGTTCCGATAGTTGTTTCTCTTCAACGAGAGTGGAAAGACCCTGCTCAACATCTTGCGACGGTTGTTGCGCTGTTGGGGTTTCTCGGGATGACCGCGTCTGACGTTTGTTTTGATTCAGAGACGCGTCGATAACAACACTGAGGGAAGCCGGCTTGGGAGGAGAAATCGGCGAGTCTTTTCGGCTGCTCGATCGGAGCCGCGGACGCGAAGCCATCACGTTGATGTCATGAGATGCGAAGAGTGTTGGAACAGAGAACGAGAATAGCTCTTAGGGTTGATAACCCTAGATGTCATGGGGTTCAAGGCTTCAGCGCAGTTCAACGGGCCATTAAAGTGAAGATACAAAGTTAGCGTGGCGCAGCCTTTGCTTAACTAGGCACCGGCTAAGTTGCCTAAACAGGAGACGCAGAGCCTCGCGGGGTTGTGGCGAGGCTGTAACTGCCTGCGATCCTACCGTATGACAGAGCATCATCCATCTCTGCAGCTGGGTGGCAGCTACGAGTACCTCGACCCCCAGTGACATAGGCGTAACACTAGCGCAGCGCTGTCTAGTCAAACGAATGGTTTATCATGCTCAATGGCTCCACACTCATATTTACACTCGCAAACGTTGGCAGCAACGGAAATTATTACTTCACACCAATTGAACTGATCTCGACCTAGACCTCCAACCCCTTGCAGTCCTCGAATAATGAGACAACTAAGAGTTGTGTGCATGTGGTTGTGTGTACCGCAATGCAAGGAGTCAACAAAATTGGGCTGAGCTGCAGCGCTGATCGCTAGGTCCGAAGCTACTTCAAAAGACGAGTAGGGTTCAAGCAAAACGAGTCCCCATGCCTTTGCCCTTTGTCCGCAAAGCGCTCTAAGCGAGGGCACCACGGGCTTGCGGGGGTTCAGGGACCCTCTACAAGTACCATCGAGAATTGACTCCGCCACCGCGATGTAACCTCCCGTGCCCCCTCAAGTTGGTGGTCGGTGAGCTAGTGTCCTGTGATCTCCTAGCACTGCCTCGTTATGAGCGGACCTCTTTCTCGATATCAAAACTTCATCACCGCCCGTGGTAAACTGGTGGTTTCATTCATCAAGGAAAACCTCACATTTACAATGTCCCGCCGTGACTCTATAGGGCGCCTCAGAGCGGGCGCACAGTCCGACTTAGCGCCACCAAGTGTCAAAATGGTATCCTGTGCCGTTCTACCTCCACGCCTTCCCGCTGGGATGGCTCCACCCACGGGCATCGGCGCGTCAGAAGCCTTCAGTTACGATGAGGCCCTTAACTGGGAACACAACAAAGCCGTACACGAGGAGGAGCCCTCTAGACGCAAGAGTCTATTTCGTAAAGTTGGCCTCACCACGCAACGGAAAAGGCGGGACTCGGAGGATGATCTCCCGCCATTTGTGATGCGTCAAATCCCCTACGATACCTGGCGAAAACATTATGCTAAGGACAGGGATGGCAACTACAGAGGGACGCATGCTCCAGCCGAAGATTGTCTGCTTAAACCAGAGGATGTACAGAAATGGCGCCTTGGGGATCCTCTCACAAACGCGGATAGATGGACTCGAGGCAGAGAGGCGCTCCCTGTGTACTCGGAGGTTTCCGCTGATGGAGCCGTGCCAGAATACCAAGTCGACTACGATAATCCAGACCGCTCTCCGGCCAACGAGGGCATGATGGGCCGAGATGACGACAGGCTTGCAGAATACTTTGACGCGAGCCAGCTGCACGAGGGGAAGCAGCAGCAAACATCACCTACCCAGACGCAAACCTGTGGGCACGTCACGCCCACATCAACATCGCAACCCGGTTCTCGATCCCATGGCCCAATATTCGCCGATGGGAAGACGGCAGAGGAGATCATCGAAGAAGCTCGAAAGAAAGGCAGACCCAAGTTGACGTGGAGACAGAAGCTATCCAACGCTGCCTTGATGACCATGGGCTCGGCATTACCGGGGAGCGTATGAGAAGGCCAGAGACAGGTCAGCCGTACCAACTTGCAAGAAGCCGCTTCCACCCCCTAACCTGAAGTGGAGCAAAAAGACGCATTCCAGGGTTGTGTCAATGCCCTCTGCGTGTTAGCTGCATCGAACGAGTCGAGCAGATACGAATAGCCACTCCAACTCTAGGCTCCTGGGGTCGATATCCTTGCAATACCCACGCGTTTTGCTAGCTCCACTACCAGCCCAACGAGACACCACTTGCGTATCTGTCACCACGATGGGCGCTAATCTGCCAAGGACATGAGGCTTTCACATGGATTCACCCCTTCTTGGGAAATCAGCAGGCCATGGCAATGTCATCAGTCCGAAACGTGTAGGTAGTTCTCAAGAGGCCAAAACACAAAACTATTTTCTCACATGACGCTTCTGCTTGGGATCACTGGCATGTGCTAAGTTCTTGAGCAGGGCCCCTTGCTGCTCGACGAATGGCGAAGAGGGGGCAGGAGGCCCCTTACGTTGTACTCATGCACACCAAATCGATGTTGACTTTTCGGAGGTGGCGTACATGGGCACCACACCTGGAATGCGAGGTCTGTGCTTAGACCGCCCCTAGTTGCCGATAGACTAGGATCGATGTCGTCTTTTACGCTTTACCTTCCGGGGCGGCGGCACAAGCAGCCGTTTCTCGGGGCTTGAAGTACTCCACACGTCGGTCAGAAGCAAAAAAGAGTCACAGAGCCAAATACAAGAGCAAGTTTCTAGAGTTCCCGCATACCCACTTCGTCCCCGGGCTGGATTCCTGGCTTGGGCAATCAAACAGGTGGGTTAGGTTCGAACACCCCATACACTTCGCCTTCAAATGGCACCATCATCTTTGTTGCCACTCTTTCTATATGAACAACAGATCAACTTGACCAAGAGGCGCGATATCGACAACTGCCCAACCACCAAGACAGACGAAGCACGACCCATGGAAGCAAAGTGGCCAATGTTTCTGTTGTTCCGTGCTCGAAGAGGGCGTCTCGGGAAATGCAGGACAAACACCCTCAGAGTTCATCGTCCACCTATAGTGGTGGTTGTCACAGTGGGTATCAGGATCTTCGCTTGACTAGTGGTTCGATACGAACTGTGGAGCGAGCAGCAGGCTTCTCATCACGAGGCACCGGAGTATCTTCCTGCATTGGGTGGCAGCTGGTAGCTTCAATGGTGCTGACCCTGGTCCAGGTGCTGGTATCTCTCTTCCCCCCCCCCCCTCCCCCTGTTGCTCTGATCCGTGCCATGAGGTGTGCCGACTCCTGATCTGAATCGATAAATACTGAGCTGGATTCCGTCTTGGAGCAGAGCTTTTTCCTTCGTTTCCCAAGTTCTCTACTTCTTTCTTTCCTGCTCAAACCTTGCTGCTCGCATCTGAGTAGCACTGACCTGTAGCTTGTGAGAGAGTATATCCACACTCTACTTTTCTGGAGAATCTCATGGCTTTCCGTATCATGAAACGCCCGATTGTCAAACAAGAACCGTCCGCCCCAGCAGGGCCTCATCCCAAGAACCCAATACCTCGCGATCAGATCCCCGAGGCAAGGACCCACGACCGACTTGGGCCTCCCACTCAACCTGTGAGTACACAAGCCTTGATAGTAAAAGACACACTGGGAGGCTAATAAGCTTAGGCAAACCATCACGCTCCCCGAGCTACAGAACGCATTGTCGGTCAGCCGAAGAGCTACGCTGGTGGTGGTGGTGGTGGCAGGCAAACGCTCCGAAATGACGGTACTCACCTGGGCTACGACCCACAGCCAAGTTCCACCCTCAGAAGGGATTTGGACATGGCGGAAGAATCGCTGTCCGTGAAACACACGGAGCTGCAGCAGCACATGCTCTCTTGGGCACGGTATTATCACGATCGAATCCCATGGGCTGAAGGCTGGATGGCGGACCGATGGAGCGAAAGGTTCGAAGAGGACAGATGGAGAGCCGAGAGAATATTCTGCGAAGATGAGGATAAGCGGCTCGCAAGGGAAAAATTTGATAGGGAGACGTCCCTGCAGAGGTCTGAGCGCGACTGGGACGTGCTCCTGGATAGATATGAAGAAGACCGGAGGCAACTCTCAGAGATGCGACGCCTCGTGGAAGAGGACGAATGATGTATCCTCGTCGCGTTGGTTTGATGGATGGATGGATGGATGGAACGACGCGCATCCGTTTTTCTTTATTTCCTTTTGTGTTTGTGTTTTGTGTTTGTGTTTTGTGTTTGTGTTTTGTGTTTGTGTTTTGTGTTTGTGTTTTGTGTTTGTGTTTTGTGTTTGTGTTTTGTGTCTGTCAGATATCATACCAGCCACACAGATTCCTAGGTAGTCAGGTAGGTAGATAGATAGATACACGCCGCTCGTTTATATCCCGAACCAAAATGGAATGCGATGCGAGATTACCACAAACGCTCGCTCTCGCTCTCGCATGGTATGGCATGGCATAGATGGACATGAAAAATATGTAATGTGTCTCTCCAAGGAAGGCGTTGGGTGGTAAGTGCTGGTAGGTTGTCGACTTTGCCTGGACTGACACCCATCAAATCATCCCGAAGAAAGAGTCCTTGTCGAGCTCTCCAGTCCTTTCTCTCTATTATTATGTACTGTGGCGGCGTACAGTACGAGTTGTCTCGGGCCCCTGATTGACCCTTAACGAGGACCTCTGCCCGTCCCTGTACAGACCAGGGCTTGATTGGCGAGGTGGTGAGGTCTAGGGTCGTTTTCGGTCTAGAAGGGTCCAAATTCAAGGGGCCATCAAGAGCTAGCTAACTAGTGACTATTGAGGTACTTCGACCCGTATCTCAGCTATTTCAGCTGGCCTCCCTTGGCCTCCCCGGGCCTGGCTACAAACAAAGAACCTTGAGCTTTGAACTGCGATTGAAAAAAGGAGATCGAGACTCAGAAGATATGCTATGCAGTGCGTGCATCAACGTATTTCGGGAGCAGGACGATACCAACACCAACACCAACACTGTCAACACCATCGACACTATTGATCGCGGCCGACAGAATGAATACCTTGCCCCTGGAAACAGACGAGATGCTCGCTCAGTCTCAGTCTCAGCCTCACGATCACCGTCCCCGTCCCCTGAATCGCCATTCTACAAGGCCACCCACCACAACCTGCCCCGGTTGAAAAAGTCGGCCCTCGATGGCTGCCACCTGTGCGTGTTACTCTGGGCCGCCGCTCCACCCAAAGTCCACGCCTTCTGGGACGAGATACTGCGCGACGACCGGCCCGCGCACTGGATGCCGTGTTTCTTCACCGTCGATCGAGCCGTTTTCTCTCCGCCCGCTCCGAGACCGTCTTCGAAGAGGATTCTGGTCGAGTACAAGTACTTTCTGGGGTTGACGAGGCCCGACGAGCACGCGAAACCGGTTAGGAGACATTTCAGGCTGTTGTGGAGTGAAGGTATAGTCTCTTTCTTTTTTTCTGACATGGTTTTGATTGCCTACGAAAGGACGCCCGTTTCTTGGATCGGGGTTTAATACTATCTTTGTGGGAAACTAACCAGCTATCAGAGGCAGAACCACTCCTACAAAAAGCCCGGATCACGCCTACTTCTCCTACGACCGCGTCTGACGAGAGCTGGAACACGTTCAAGACGTGGATGTGGACATGCATCTCCCAACACAGTCAATGTTCACCCCACTCCCTGAACCTGCGTCGACGACAGCTCCCCAAGCGGCTCATCGAAGTCGGCGAGACAGACACGGTCCGGCTGCGCACGGTCGACAGCATCGGCGACGCCCACGCCATCGAGTACCTTGCACTCAGCCATTGCTGGGGCGCCGCCCCTCCACGGGTCATCCTGACGTCTCGATCCGCGGCCATGCTGTTTGAAGGCGTCGAAGTCGGCACGCTGTGTCGCACGTTCCGCGACGCCGTCGCCGTGACGAGGCGGTTCTGGGACGAGTTCGCCGTGCGGTACCTGTGGATCGATTCGTTGTGCATCATCCAGGATTCCGCCGAGGACTGGAGACACGAGTCGGCCAACATGGGCGACATCTACCAGAACGCATTCTGCACGCTGGCCGCCACGGCCGCGGCGGATGGGGACCGCGGCTTCTTTTCAAACCGCGACCCTCGTCTGATCCATCCCTGCGCGGTGCCTGTGGTGTCCAATACCGGGGAGAAAAGGTCCATGTACTGCGTCGACCACGAGGACTGGAATAAGAACGTCTCCCAGTCACCCTTGAATGGCCGTTCGTGGGTTCTCCAGGAGCGACTCCTGTCGCCGCGCGTGCTGCATTTCGGGGCTAGCCAGCTGTACTGGGAGTGTTCGGGGCTCGAGGCTTCAGAGGCATTCCCCGTGGGATTCCCACACGGGATGGGCGAGCAGTTTAAACAGCTGTTGCCGTTCTCGGGACTGCCGACCAACATGGAGCAGAAGCAGCAAGGAATAAGTCCCGGCGGCAGCGGCAGCGACAGTGACCTTCACAATCGTCATCATCGTCAACGTCGTCGCCGCCGCGACGGCCCTTACGGCATCTGGGACCAGGTCATGGAAACATACTCAGCCGGCCAATTGAGCAGACGCACCGACAGGCTCGTCGCGCTGTCGGGGATTGCGCGCAAACTGCAGCGTCGCCTGATGCGGAACGATACATACCTCGCCGGTCTGTGGAAACAGGATCTCCCCCTTCAATTGCTCTGGGATGTGCGGGAGGAGGAGGAGGAGGAGGGTCACCATCACCATCACCATCACGGCCATGACCATAAGGACGCCCGGATATCCCTGACCGCAGCGTCCAACATCAATACCACTACCACCAATGGGTACATCGCGCCCAGCTGGTCATGGGCTTCCCGCCTCGCGACCGTGCCTTGCGACGCTGACCCGTGGTCCTCGCCGTCCACCACCACGCTGATCGACGTGACGGGCGCGACCGTTGTTCCTCTCAACACCACTCACGACACTCACAACAATGGTGGCGGTAGTGGCGGCGACCACATGTCCCAACTCCGCGCCGGCCACATCCGAGTTTTGGGGACACTTGTGCGCGTTTCCCTCTCACGCACCCACCAACCCGGATCGGCGATGCCAGGTCTCGCCCTGAAAATCAACCACCGCACCGTCTCCGCCGCGATCTGTCGCCCCGACGACACCCTCAGCCTCAGTCCCACGACCTCTTTGCCCTCTGTTCTCTATTGTCTCCCCATCCTGCGCGGCTCGCGCAACGGCGTCCCGCGGTATAGAGGGCTCTTGCTCGTCCCCTGCTCGGGCGCGGGCGCGGGCGCGGGTGCAGGTGAGATGCAGTTCCGCCGCTGGGGGACGTTCACGGCCGACGCGCCGGGGGATGAGTTCTCGGGTGGGGAGGCGCATGCGAATGCGATGGCGCGGTGCGAGGGGGTGGTTGGGGCGTCTTCTCCGGAGATGGGGATGGGGATGGGGAGGAGATATGAGATTATGATTATATGAGAAACTCTCTACATTATTACGTTACATAGTGGGAAAAATTGGGGGGAGAGGGGGGGATGGGTGGCTGCCCGAATGGCTCGTGGAATGTGTCGACGTGTGGTATGTATGGGGAAATACACGAGGGCATCTACCTGCGTACCTACGTATGAGGAATGAGGTTACGAATGAGGTATGAGGTATAACCAGGACTTAGGACATTCCAACCTGCATGCAATTCAAGCAACCAAGCAAGCAAGCAAGAAAGCACACAAATTCTCACCACTCCGTACAAGGACAACTGAGTTCCACCAGTCCCTAAGACTTCCTTGATATGGTTTTGTGGTATATTCATTACCCAAGTCCAAAGGACCCTTCACCTTTTCCGTCGAGCATTATATAGATATATATACACTGACTGACCCATTCACTCTCACTAACTCACTCATTCACTCACCAACTCACCAACTCGCTCACCAAGTCCCTCAAGTTTCATGTTAATAGATGCTCACGAGTCAAGGATTTCTGCCCCGATAATGTCTGTCATAGCTTCATTCGAAACGGTATCCACACATAGCCCATATCCCATATCCTAATTGACCCATTGCCAGCGCCGTCGCCCGTTGTCGTTGCCGTTTCCGTTTCCCAGAGCCCAACCCAAACAAGCCCAGGCTCTCCCGCTGCCCAAAAGCAAAAAGACATTTTCTCGACACACACACACTCTAACACACTCCTACACTCACGCTTCCCCGTGCCTGTCGGTCCCGCGCAGGGGCTGCCACTCGTCTGTGCGGCTCAAAGACCCCCGTTTCCAAGGACGGCTGAGACGCTCACCAAACGACATGCTCCCGCTCCCCGAGGGTGCTTCCATGGGTATGAACTCCGGTCCGCCGTGGGCGTGATGAGAGTCCTGTCGCCAATCGCCCAGCACCTCTCGGAGCCCGCTCAGCTCGTACATGACGATCACGCGGCACACCAGGGTGGAGGCCAGGTATCTCCCCACGACGGCGGTGGCGTCGCTGGTGGAGATGAATATGAGGCTCGAAAAGACGAGCGTCCCGTACACGATGTGCAGCACGGTGCCTGTGGCGGTGAACCACGAGAGGAAGATGTACAGGTACGTCTCTTCCTTGATCTCCAGCTGTGCCGCTTGTTTTCGCGAGGCCGAAGGGGTGAATTCCGCGCACAGCATCTGCCACAGCCCTGTCGGTGGCTTCTCACTCGGTCGGATGGAGATCCGGGTTCGACAATGGACCGACCAGGTGCCAAAGAAGTGTACGGCAACGGCCAAAAATGCCCAGAGGGCCGGGAGGTATGCGGTCTCTGGCGCAAAGGAGCAGATGGTCTGGATGCAGATCTCGTAGCTCACAAAGGCCAGGTTGACGACGGCGGCAGCTGCCATGACGTACTGGAACACAGAGATGAGAAACCCCGACGACCAGCCCATTCGCTTGATCCGGATGGTCTTGGGTTTCCTCTCCAACAGCTCCGTGGTGTCAATGTAATCGAATGTGCGGATGGGCGAGACGGCTGGTGCCCCAGCTGCGAGCAGGAAGGCCAGAAATGGTCGTCGCAGAGCTACTAGGCCGACTTCCACGGTGGTGGACCCAACAAGACCCAGGGTCGTCGGTAGTAGACCTAGCAGCACAGCAGCGGCCGCCATGTTGGACTTGCGTGTTTCGTTCAGATTCTCCAGAATGCAATCGATGACCGGCGTGACATATTCGCTCAGATAGTCCTTCGGGGCGACCTCGTGCAAGTAAGTCCGGTACTCTTCCTGACAATTATCTTCCATGATTTGCTCAAAGACCTTTCGGTACTGGCCATACCAATGCGTGAAATGGACGGCAGCAGTGGATGTCGAAACCAAAGAAACAAACACCAATAGAAAGAAGCACAAACGCAATGCCATTTTGGGCGGCAAGATCTATTAACCTTTGGGCATGAGTTTCTGGCTCCCATCAACGAGACTTCGGGCTGAAGCCTGAGGATATATGGCCAGAGCTCGCACCGTTCCACGCCCCGGTGGACTTATTTTTGTCCAAGGTGCAAGCAAAAAGAGTGATAGGTGTGTCGGCGGAGCACACCTCACGCACACCTGGGCTGCTTGCAACATATCGAGCCATTGGTTGCGACTCAGTGCGAGGGCCGGTCGCAGGGTAGTTCGATGGCTGCATAGGCGGATCTCCGTCGTGGAGGCCTGAGCGAGCAATGACTGATGTGTCCATGCATGCTGAGAAAGAAACGTCGAGGTGGGAGGCCAAACGCGGGGCTCATGTGGTTTTGGGGTGGTTTCTGAACCAAACCGCCCCCAACCTGCAGCGAAAGGCGATGGCGGCGTGGTGGGGGTGGTACAAGCTCGTAGAATGAGCCTCCCTCGCTAAACAAACAGCACTGCTCCAATTCGGCAGCTGGAATGATGGTGTTTCGGCGTCCAGGGCTGGAAAATTAGGTGGTTGGGAGTCGAGGAGTGAAGCGTCCACCAGGGGCGTCTGGTGCACCAGTCCATGACATAATCGCCCCCTTTTTGAGGCTGAATCACTTTGTGGTCTTTGTTTTGACCATGCAAGCCATGGTACCGAGCACAGAGAAGAGACTCTTGTCACCCTTTCCCTTTCTTGGTAGCTGTCGAGCGGTTAACGGCCTAGGGCCCCATGCCGAAACCGGTACGCGCCTTGTGCCTCGAAGAATGTCACATATGGACGCTGTCAGAGAGATGAAATAATAGTGAGTCACTCGGCAGCCAATGGTTGAGCGTCAAAATGCCTGCGCATGTCAATGGGCGCAGCCAGACCTTTTTTTCCCCGCCTGCGGGCCGCACCCACTCATCTTCCACCCTTTGATAATCCACAATGCCGACCGCCACAGCACCTTCTAAAGCTATCCGTTATCACCACATCAAAATACTTGATTCCTTTATTTGCTAGTCTACGGTCCAGCCATCGCCTGTGTCGTTTCTTTCCCCGCAGGTCCTTTCGCGGCCATGAAGCGCGCAGGCTGGCAGAGGATTGTCCTGCTGCGGTCGAGTGGGACTTCAACCCGGGGCCTGGGCGGACATCTGATCAGACCAAGATATGGCTGCGTTGAACCAACTCGGGGTCGTTCGCGTTGGGCCACCAAACATCCAGTCATACTCGGGACACAACATTTCCGTCCGTTCAGTACAGGGCCACAGAGACAGTATACCGACGACGACGGCGAAGATGATGCTGGCACGTACAGTGAGGCGGATTACGAACACGCCGTCATCTCCACGTTCGATCTCTTCTCGATCGGCATTGGGCCGTCGTCTTCACACACTGTCGGTCCCATGCGCGCGGGCAACATCTTTGTCGCGGATCTCGTGGAAGCCAACCTCCTGCATCGAGTCCATAAGATTCGCGTTTCCATCTACGGCAGTTTGGCTCTGACCGGCGAAGGACACATGACGCCGTCGGCCCTCCTGCTCGGCCTGGAGAGTGCGGACGTGGAGACAGTCGACACTTCATACGTGCCGAAGCGGTTTATCGAGATCAAGTCGACCAAGAAACTCTTCCTGGGCCAGGGCCTGCCGGGTCACAAAGGCAAAGAGATTGCCTTTGACTACGAGCGCGACTTCATTTGGGAATGGGCCAAGAAACTGCCCCTACACAGCAACGGCATGCGTCTGATGGTTTTCGACGCCGAAGGGGACATGTTGGCGACCAATGATTTCTTCAGTGTCGGGGGCGGCTTTGTCGTCAACGGCGCCCTTTCTAATAATGCGGCTGCCAACTCAGAAGATCTGGTCCCGCCGGATAATAATGGCTCCTCAGAAGAGTCCCACGATCTAGCAACTCAAGATTCAGGGCACCATCCGGCTGATCTGACAGAGAACATGTTCTACAAGGAGATTCGTCGAGCAGATGCCGCGGGAGATCGGAAGACAGGGCTCGGGATCAAACTCCTGGACGGAGGCAGTGTATCTGACGAGGTTGGCTTGGAATCCACGGGAAGCGCCCTCTCGACCACGTCGACTGGTCCCACGGACATCGAGGCCGAAGGCGCCCGCACCTCTGGCCCTCGTCAACCTCGCTATCCATTCCGCGACGCTGCCAGCTTACTACATCTGTGCCACAAACACAACCTGACCATTGCACAGCTGGTGTTTGAAAATGAAAAGAGCCACGGGAATTCCGAGGAAGAAGTATATCGGAAGCTGTTTCGGATCTGGCGGGTCATGGATGAGAGCATCCTCGAAGGTGTACAGGCACCGCTCGACTCGACGCTGCCGGGCTCGCTCAAGCTGCATCGACGTGCCCCGGCGTTGTACCGGCGACTGACGAGAGGTCTTTATCCTTCACACACACAAGGAGCCCAAGATGTCGATCCTGCGGGCACCCTTCCTTCGAACACGCCCAATGCATCACTACCACACGGGACAGCTGCAATGGTGACTCAGGTACACAATCGCACTGGCATGCGACGGGCACCCCGCGTCCATGGTGCTCTCGATCATCCCATCCCACCGCCTCCAAAGCGCCGCACCACGTTCCCCGCTATGGACTACTTGACCGCGTATGCCATTGCTGTCAACGAGACCAATGCGGCGGGAGGGCGAATCGTGACGGCGCCCACGAACGGGGCGGCGGGCATTATCCCTGCGGTGCTCAAGTACACGATTGAATTCATCAGCGACGACCCCGAACGCGACGTGCCGACCTTCCTGCTGACGGCGGCGGCCATCGGCATGCTGTACAAACGGGGGGCCACCATCTCCGCCGCCGAGGGCGGGTGCATGGCCGAAGTCGGGGTCGCGTGTTCGATGGCGGCGGGCGCGTTCGCGGCGTGCATGGGCGCGAGTCCCGAGGCGGTCGAGCAGGCCGCCGAGATAGGCATCGAGCACAACCTGGGCCTTACATGCGACCCCATCGGCGGCCTGGTGCAGGCGCCGTGCATTGAGCGCAACGCCCTGGGCGCCATCAAGGCAATCTCAAGCGCCAACCTGGCCCTCAGCAGCGAGACCGGCACGCAAAAGGTGCGTCTGGACGACGCCATCCGCGCCATGCGCCTGACTGCCCGGGGTATGAGGAACGAATTCAAGGAAACGAGTCTGAGTGGGCTGGCTACGAGCGTGCCGCTTCATATTCCCGTCAGCGTGCCCGACTGTTGAGTGAATGCGTCAAGATGAGTTGAGTCTTGTCAAATTGATGGGTGTGATTCGATTCGATCAGATGCCCAACAAGGCTCGTCGATTGACCTTGCTTTGGGACCGCGCGTAACATCGCTTCGCCATTGTACATGTTCTCGTCCAATCACTCGGTGTTGCGCGCGCAGGATAGATAATGTGGGCCGGAAAAGAAAAAGCGATAGAATAAAGGGGCTTTGTCCTTTTTTGGGCTGGGTAGGTACAGTAGGTACCTAAGGTGCTCTGGTATGTCAAAATATCCAGTGATTGGAGCTTTATCAAAGTACGGGATCTGTAGTGATGTACTTGTGGGTGCATCTATACACAACAACGGTGAATGCAGTTGAAGTGGGGGATTTGTGATCTAGCCTCATGTGTGGATCCTACCTCCTTGTACGAGGTAGTCATTTCTTTCGTTGAATTGCCTTAGATGTCGATACTGAATGCGGCAGTCAAATCAACGCGGGAGGCATTAGCACCACAAACTCTCCAATTTTGTCTTTCCAGAGACACGAAGATATCTCCATGCCACTTCATATGTGCCTCGTACTTGTTACGGGACCGCGATCCGCAGCACGTAACGAGGATGACGTCATAGGTTCAGGTACAGATGCACTGGCATCATTGATCTGCGCAAGGAAGAGAAATCGCTGATGACGGAGAGTAGATGGGATTGAAATGAATGACGATGAATTGAGGGGGAGGGGGGGGGGGGGCTCTACTACCTTCATTTCCCTCTTGACTGCGATTTTTTCCAACCTTTCCCTTTAGCTACTTATTCAACGTACTGAGTCGAGCCGAGTTCAAAGCATTCCACACGACCCAGCATACCTTGTCTAGAGACGAATAGCACGTCTCCAAAAACCTCCAACGAGCAAGCTCCCCTACTGAGTTCCTCCGAGATCGTGTACATCTTCCAAAAACACATTCGAAAAAGAAAAAATGCCGCCCCGTCTCCCTCGACGACACCTACTGTCCCTGGCACGCCCGTTCCGTCCAGCGACCCCCATTACCTCTCGACTCCGACCCATCTCCACGACCCGCCGCGTCCTGGCCGCGAACCAAGACCCCGACGGCCACCCGCATCCGCAGCGCGACGCGCAGATGGACCGCGAGAAGATGAACCCCGAGGCGAACGAGTACTCCAAGTCCGGGACCGACGACGCCTCGGCAGCCAACGAGGAGGCCGCGTTCAACCCGGACATCACGGACCCGCAGGAGGCCAAGAAGAAGGCCGGCGAGGGGAACCAGGTCAACCCGCTGGACGCGAGCCCGGCGAACCCGGACATCAGCCAGGGAACGGCCGAGGAGGAAGGCGGCGCGAAGAAGAAGATGTCCGAGGGTGGCGGAGGGAGAAAAGGTGGAGGCGAGGCGGGGAAGGGCGAGCAAAGTACTTGAAAAAAGATGCTCCGGGTCTGTGAGTCTGTGAGACTCGTTTCGAGAACTTCAAATGTGGGCTAGAGCAGCAGTGTGACGTTGTACATACTTAACGATTGGGAATATTCAGATCGATGAAAAAGAAAGGAGTTGATTGTGTATTGTCCTCCAAAAACGCACGCACATATGGGTATCATTCCACCTTTGCAAATTATCCTACACTTCCACCCTTGACCGCAACGAACCACCCCTCGGTCAAACTGACTTCCATTCCTTGTCCCCAAGACGGAGGATTTCCTTTTGGTCAATCACCCACACTTTATCCTTGACTTCTCCCTTATCAGCCTTGATCGCTGCAGCGATGGCCGCTTTGGCAATGACTTCTGCGTCTTGAGCCCAGGAGTCCTTCAAGGATCGATTGAGTCTGCCCAGTCCCGAAGCGAGGCTTTGGAAGAGCCCTTCCGCGAAACGGTGCTCCTGGCGCTTCCCCATGATCAGGCCCGGGCGGAGGATGATGGTGTGGTCAAAGTCGAGAGCCTTGACGTGCTCTTCGATCTCGCCCTTCATCTTGGGATACCCGAAAAACGAGTGCGGGTCGGCGCCACCGGAGGAGATCAGGACGTAGGTCTTGGTGCCTGCCTCCTTGGCCGCTTTGGCCAGCTCAATGTTCAAGTCGTGCTCGAGCTTGTACTGTTTGTCGAACCCTCCAGCGGCGGCGCGCGTCGTGGCGAGGCCACAGAAGAGCACGGAGGCCGGCGGAGACAGCGACGATACATGCGCGGCCCACTTTGAGGTGTCCTTCTCGATGAACTCGTTGACCGGGATGGATTCACCGGTCGCAGCAGGCGGAGATCGTCGAGCGATGACCTCGATGCTGGAGAATTGAGACGCTGGGTTGGTTCTCAGAGTCGATAGAATGAAAGAGCCCTGTGTTTCGCGGTGTTAGCAGTGTATCCGTGATGGCCATGAACAGGTGGCCGGAACATACCACGAGACCCGTGCTACCGAGAATAAGTGCTTTCGCCATGTTTTCTTTTCTTCAGAGTTGATGGATTAGAGAATCAAAAAGCCGCTGAAAAGCTCCCTTTTCTGGGTGTTCTGATGTTTATTTGAGGTCTGTTTGGCCGAGTCGCCAAAGGCGCCCCAAAACCGGCCGGCAGCTTCCGTGGTGTTGTCGTGAGGTTTGGCGAATCACGAAGAGCCTCTTTGACGGCGCCCAAACCACCGACTCAGGCAACAACCAAAGTCGCGGCAACGATTCCATAAGAGGTTAGTCAATCTTGGCAATTATCACGCCGTTGTCTCGAACTCTTTCTCCTCCCTGCGTCTCTTAATTCCGGTTTCCTGAACGTCTGTGCGTCTTGTCGACAGGTCAAGTCTGTCTCCATTTCCGCAATTTTCGACATTGGACTGGTCAACCATGAGACAATGGTGACTAGGTCGATGCTCCTTCTCAACGCGATGCAATGCCCTAAAGATTCATCTATGATGTTCCCTCTGCTCGGCCTCTGGTATCGGCGATAGGCTTCGTGATGTCAGCAAGCCGGCTCAGCCTGCCAGTTGCTGACAGTCATCGATATCCACTCCTTATCACCAATACACCTCGGATGCTCTTAAAAGTGGTTTGTTTGAGACACATTTACCTATATGATGTCGAGTGAGCGTTCTGAGCACTCAGACTGCACATGCATGTCCCGAGGAAGACCAAATGTGAGTGATTGAACTGGATGGATATTGCCCCGTCTAGACACAAGATTCGTGTCGGCGCTGCTGTCCGAGACGGTTTTATCATGTTGTACCATCAGCTTTCGAGCAACTTCTTACACTGTCTACAACATCTCTTTCTACAATGACCGAAAGGCTACACCGACTTGTTCAGCCTCGTAGCCCAATTGGGAAAGACGGGCAAGCCGCTTATTGGTGGACATGCCGTTCAGCCTCGCGCCACGTGACGGTGATCCAGATCTTCTTTTTCTGCGCTAGTGGAATTGCGTGATCGACCCTCCACCAATTTTTCCCTCCGACGGCATGTTTTCTCACTGCCGATCGATAACGCCATTCAAAAAATGAATGAGGTGGATGGAACTCGGTCGGCAGTCGGCCCTCGAGGGTCTATTCATTGTAAATGCGTTCTCCAAGGTAGGTTCGCCTCTTTTCATTCCTCACCTCTGTCTGTTCTGTGAATCTCGCAATCATGCGTCTTGAACTGCCCTCTTCCAATGGACCAGCGCCGGGGAGCGACTCCAAGACGGCCTCGCGTGCCTCAAGGAACCTCCCCTTCGGCCAGGCGCCGTCCCTGTCCTCAGTCGCCGGCCCTACCTATGTGACTGCCCAGATCCTCGTCCAGCAGGTCGCCTACGCTCTGTCCGACAAGATCTTCTCCTACTCTCCAGAGACCTTTGATCTCGACGTGGCCGCAAAGTCGTGGGCAGAGGCACAAGAGGCGAACATTAATGGCTACACCACTGGGGTGCACCAGATGCAAATTCGGAATGGAGCAGGATCAATTGCCCTCGGTTACATGTTCTCCAAGGACTTCGACCTGAAGAAGAGACACATTCCTCAAGGGCTCCTTGCTCCGACGTCAGCCCTGGAGTTCTTGCGACCTGTATTGGATCAGCTGTCCCTGCTGTACTCCGTCAGCAATCCATTCGTGGCTCATGTGGCGGCCCTCGACTACGAGGGCGACAAGAATGGTGGTCTGGTCTCAGATTATGTCTCTGCTTTGTCTGCGGCCGAGGATCTAGGTCTGGCTTTGGTTGCTAGCCAATCCGCATACGAGACGCAACATATGTCGCTGCTTGCCACTCTGCTGGCTCAAGACCTACCCACACTCCACGTGTATGATGGTCTGAGAATTGGGAGAGAAACCACCAGGGTCATTGACATCCTGGACAAATCTGGTTTGGGCAGTGCATACACCTCCATCCTGGCCTCAATCTCGGATGAGGATAGAAAGCATTTGAACGCCGAGGGGAAAGCATTGAAGACTCTCCGAGCTCTTAACGACGAGCTTGGAACGGACTACAAGCCATTTGAGTATTTTGGCCATGAAAACCCCGAGGTCGTCCTGGTTACATTCGGCTCGGTCGAGTCTTCGCTAGCCGCACAGGCAGCATCGGTCCTGGCCCAAACCGGTAGCAGAGTTGGAGCCATCAATGTTCGACTGTATCGACCGTTTGCGGAGGAACAGTTCTTGAAGCTCATTCCCAGAGGCGTGAGGACGGTCGGTGTCCTCGGTCAGGTCACCGACTCGCAGGCTGTGCAGGAGGCTGGCGTACATTCCCGACTTTACGAGGATGTGCTTGCGGCTGTCTCCTACGGAGTGGGACTCCATGACCGTCCAGAAGTGCAAGAGCTGAAATATGCCCGGGCTGAACGATGGACACCCGCGTCCATCGCATCGCTCTTCCAGATGCTTCTAGGTAAGGCTGCGGACAACCAAGGTATCACTACATTCTTGGACAACTCTGTGCAACGTTACACTTTCTGGAATATCGACGACGCCGCAGCTGCATCTGCAGCCAGCTACTTGGCAGAGGCGCTTGCTACTGAGTCGGCCCAGAACGTCACAGTGAACACCACCCACGACAACTCTATCCAGGGAGGTATTCACCGAGTCGATATCCGAAAATCTCCCAGAAGCCTTGATGCAGCATATCCCATTACCTACGCCAACACTGCTGTGGTCACAGATGTCAAGCTGCTCGAGCACATCGACGTGGTCCAATCTGTTCAACAAGGCGGCAGCATTATTCTCCTCTTGCCTGGTGTCAAGGACGAAGATGTGGAGAAGAAACTCCCTGCAGCATTCAAGAAATTGATTGCTGAAAAGGGAATCAATCTTTACCTGATCAACGCTGCCAACACCGCTCTCCCCACCGAAAACCCCGAACTTGAATCGCTGATAGTCGAGGCCGCCTTTGTCCGGGTTGCATTGCGAAACTCCGAGGAGACTGGTCTACAGAAGCTCGCAACTATCCACAGTGATCTCGAGACCCTTAAACAGGTGGCAGCTGACCTCGAGAAGACTCTACGCCAAGTTGAGGTCCCCAAGGAGTGGGCAGAGGTGGAGGAAGAGGAAAAAGCCGCATTGCCCACCAACATCTCTCCAAACAGCCTGACGTCCTTTGACAAGGCAGAGGAAGAGCCACCATCCCTCCTCCGCAGTTGGCAAAAGGCAGCCAAAGGCCTCCTTTTCAAGGAAGCTTACAATGCTTCGAACGTCCTCCGTCCTGACCTGCCTGTGAAGACTTTCACAGTCCACGTCAAAGAGAACCGTCGCCTGACTCCCTTGACCTACGACCGCAACATCTTCCACATCGAGTTCGACCTCGGCAGCTCCGGCCTCAAGTACGACATTGGCGAGGCCCTTGGTATTCACGCCGAGAATGACCATGACCAGGTCATGGAGTTCATCAAGTGGTACGGGCTCAACGCCGAGGACGTCGTGGAGGTTGCGTCGCGTGATGATCCGAGTATCTTTGAGAATCGCACGATCTACCAAGCGCTGATGCAAAATGTGGACATCTTCGGCCGTCCACCGAAGAAGTTCTACGAGGCGCTGGCAGAATTTGCCGACGACGAGAATGAGAAGAAGAACCTGTTGACATTGGCCGGACCAGAGGGCTTCAAGGAGTTCCAGAGGAGGGCCGAAGTTGACACCGTCACGTTCGCAGATGTCCTGCTCGAGTTCCCCTCTGCGCATCCGTCGTTCCACGACATCGCGCGGATCGTCTCGCCGATGAAGCGACGCGAATACTCGATCGCCTCCTGCCAGGCCGTCACTCCGACCTCGGTTGCCCTCATGGTCGTCGTGGTGAACTGGGTCGACCCCAAGGGCCGCGACCGCTTCGGCCAAGCCACCAAGTACCTGTCGAGTCTCAAGGTCGGGGCCCCCGTGACCGTCAGCGTCAAGCCGTCCGTCATGAAGCTGCCGCCCAAGTCGACCCAGCCGATCATCATGGCGGGTCTGGGCACGGGTCTCGCGCCGTTCCGGGCCTTTGTGCAACACCGCGCGATGGAGAAGGCGCAGGGCAAAGAAATCGGTTCCGTCCTGCTGTACATGGGCTCGCGCCACCAGCGCGAAGAGTACTGCTACGGCGAAGAGTGGGAAGCGTACCAGGCCGCGGGAGTCATCACGCTGCTCGGCCGGGCTTTCAGCCGCGACCAGCCCCACAAGATCTACATCCAGGACCGCATGCGCGAGACCCTCGACGACATCGTCAAGGCCTACATCAAGGAAGACGGCGCCTTTTACCTGTGCGGCCCGACATGGCCCGTCCCCGACGTCACCAACGTGCTCGAGGAAGCCATCGCCAAGGACGCAAAGGCGAGCGGAGTCGCCAAGAAGGTCGACACGACCCGCGAGATCATGAAGTTGAAGGACGAAGGGCGATACGTGCTCGAGGTGTACTAAAATAAAAAGAGAGCGCGCGTGCGATGTCCTTGAGAGAGAGGGGGAAAAGTTTCTTATCTATCATATCTAGCGACTTGGTGGACACGTCATATCTGATAGCGAATACATTAGAACAACAAAGCAAATTGCATAGACATTTACCGAGACTGAGACTGAGACAGAAACAGAGACTGTGACTTTAGCAAGCGTTTTTCAAGTTGATAAACCTGTACATGTAATGTCGGTAACAAGCAAATTACACGATGTGCTCAGTACTCGTATATGACCACCTATACAAACACACACACTCACGTGTTATATCCCTGTATACTTATACCTATACTTATACCTATACACTTAGGTAATGTACTTAGTATTGATTGTGCTATGCAAACTGGTAGGTCAGGAGGAGAGGAGAGAAGAGAGTCTAGCCTCGACACAGCCTGAACCGTATCATTCATGCTTTTCTCTCAGAAATATCTTTTCTTTTCTTGCTCTAAAAATTCTGGTTCTCGCTTTCTGCTACTTTTTGAATCCAAATTAAAATCGACCGCATGCATGCTTTTCTTTCTTTTTCCTCCAGAGCTGGCTTTTCGCTCTCCTCGTCGCTCTCGACCGACCATATCTTTTTGGTACTCTTACAACCTCTCAATCTACGATACGTCGACACGGACCTGTCTCCGTGAAACCGCGGATGGCCACGTTGACGTTTTCTAGGATCGACCACCACCTCTGGGTGAGTCTCGTCCCGCCTCAGCCCGCTTGATCTCCTCGAGTATCAAATCCCGCGCGGTCAGAACGCCATCCTCCTTACCCACAATCGTGATAGCTTCTCCTTCCTCACCCCTGTTGGAATTTCTGTTCGGAACTTGAATGTCACAACCAGACTGTCTCCTGATAGCATTAATCGTCGAGCCACCTTGCCCGATGATGTGGCGGTGAAGTCTAGGGTCTGGGAGGATGAGGAAGCCGGTGTGTTGAGGTTCGGCAGCTTTCTGAAGCAGTGATTGGATCTTGTCTTTGGCTTTGGCGACAGTCTCGTCGGTAGCATCTTTTCCAGCCAAGATCACCCAGGGGATTTCCCCAGGTTCACTGTCCGATCCCTGCTGGTTAGAAACAATATCCCATGAGTAGTCCTCCTTCCCAGGTTGATCAGTGATCAGCGGCATATCACCATTCGTCGTCCGTGTCCGAGATCCGCGGTTGGCAGCCGGTTTGGGTGGCGGCCTCTGTCCATTGTGATCGACACGAATGCCATCACGAGACAGCTCTCGGAATAGAGCACCATTTTTGGACACAATATGATGCAGAGACCGTGGAACCATGATTGTTTCGCCCTGAGGCTTGGATATCATCCCTTGTATGCGCTCCTTGGCCTTGGCCACATTTTCCGGGCGACCGATGATTTTGACGCCGGTGTGTCCAGTGCCCACTCGAGGTACATCAAGGATGACACCGAATTCTGCTTCAAGTTTCTTTCGAATGCTACCATTCGGCCCGATCAAAGAACGGTGTTGGCTTATCGGGACGTCGATTGTCTCGGTCGTTTGGTTCTCCCGCTCATCCACAAAGGCTTGAATGGCTGCGAGGATCTTCTCGACGACGTCAGCCGTGCCCCTGACGGTAAGTTCATCAGACTCGTCTCCTTGCCGAGGGAAGCGGACGTGTTCTGCACTAGTACCGGTGCCACCCGCTTTAGCGACCAGGTTTTGGATATGAGAGCCTATAAAAAGTCAGCATGTTATTTCATGACTGTAGTGACAGGACATACCGCCAGCTCCAATAAGGGGACGGTGATGCTTTCGGTCCACCGTCAAAGTCCGGGTAACAATGTTGTCAAAAGCTTTAGCTCGCTTCTCCAGCTCTTGTTTGGCCTTCTCGACTTGTTGCTTGGTGCCTTTGATTTGGATTGTCACACGATCAGAGCCATCAGCCTTCGGGATATCGATCTGCGCTCCCGTGTCGGCTCGGAGCTTCTCCATCTCCTGGCCACGTCTGCCAATGAGGGAGGCAATCTGCCCTTGTGCCACAGACACGGTCGCAGTGTGCGAGTTGTCAACCAAGTACTGGTGGAGACTCAGCAGCTCGTCACGCACCTTCTCGGCCTTTGCTCGAGGTCCTCGTATTCTGATCTCATCATGAGGCTGACCGCGACCAACGCCAACTTCACTCGCAGTATCGGCGGCAGAGGCGTCGTCGTTAAACTTCTGCACCTTCGGGAAGTCAATCCGCACCGTATTGTCGACCTTGCTTTGAATTTTCTGCAAGTTCTCTCCGTTTCTGCCCACCAACATACCATGGAACTTGGGGTCAATTTTGATGGCGAAATTGACTTCATCCTCCCATTGCTTGGCTAGCCGTAGAATTTCCGCTTTGCATGCCTCAGCCTTCTTCGCCGGACCTTTGATGGTGACATGTCCATCCTCGCGAGTGTCGATTTCCACGTCATGCTTTTCACGCAAAGCCCGGATGTTGGCACCCTGTTTTCCGATCAAGTTCTTGTTGAACTGTGCGGGGAAAGCAAAAGTCGTCGTGTATCCACGCTCTTTCTCATCTTCTTCTGCCTCTCGGAGGAATTCTTCGATCTTCTGGCGGAGTTCTGCGATATCTGCCTCGCTTGGACCACGCAGATAGACTCTTTCGGATGGCGAGCCTCGGGAGACGCCATTGGCTTGTCGTGGACCGCCTCGAGTGCCACCAAAATCCACTTGAACCGGGAAAGATTGCGGAGGCATTGGTCTAGGCTCGTTGTTCACGAATCTCTTGACCTTGTCCTGGAACTTCTTCGGGACGTGGATATCCTGCACTGAAATGCCTTGGTGGGGGATATTGGTCAGCAACAGTGCCTGTGCTTCCTGTAGGGCTTTCTCAAATCTCGCCATTTCAGTCTGGGTGGGTTTGTTGCGAGGAATCGCAAAGGGCTGATCCCGTGAAGGTCCCTCGTAGACTAGTACGACGGGATCTGAGCCGTCCTCGGGCACGATCATGTGGACACCCAAATTATCCCTCAGATTGGCTGCATGCATTTGCTCAAGATGAGGATGGAAGAAAGGATCGACCTCGACCAACTGAATTCTTGCCGAAGGATAGGCTTGAGTAATTTTGGAAAGCTCGTTGCGTGCAGAAAGTGTCTTCTGCGGGTCGTTGCTAATGACAGTCCAGCTCGGAGATGCACTGCTGCTCGGCGGGAAGATGATCTCGGCGCCATGAGATTTCATGAATTCGCGCTCGATCGCTTTCTGTTGAAGATACTGTGCAAGTGCTCTTGAGTGGCGCTCTGGGCCTTGAGGGGCATCGTTGAAATGCTTATGCATGTCGACGGCCCGATTGTGTTTTCGGGACATGAGTTCTTCGGCCAAATTCCGACCGGCCTCGAGCTTGTCTCTTGGGCCGATGATATGGATATCCTCCGTCTCATGATTAGGCGGCGGCAAAATAACAGCACAACCGGTCTCCTCTAAGAACTTCAAGGGGTCCATCCCGCGCTCGCCGACGATGTATGGATGCAGAATCTGTTCAGCGGCGAGCTCTTCGAGGAGGAGCTCTTTCTGGAGCTCTTCTGCCAACTGCTCTAGCAATAGACGTGCTTCTATTGTTGCAGCTTGGTCACCAGAAATGACAATGTGATTATCTCCATGAGGGATAAAGGCAGGAGGTTGATCCACCTCAGCAGGCCGTGGTGGTGGTTGTTGCTGCCACGTATGGTATTGCGGCACGTTGATGCGAACGTCGCGTTCTTGCTCCAACTGTTGGAGTCGGTCTGCGTGACGACCAGCGATGAAGGGATAGAATTCCGGGGGAATATTGCGCACGGGAAGATCGACCTTGGGCTGCAGTGACTTGACCTGGTTTGAGATTTGCTCATAGACTTGTCGAACCTGAGCAGCGTTTCCACGAATCTCGACCACATCAGTCCTGACATCCTCGGGGCTCGTCACAGGCTTGGTATCACGATCAATATGTATCCGGACATTGAATTGACTTTCCAGCTTCTTGATGTTTCCACCGGCTTTGCCAATGATCTGCGCGGAGACGGTGGATGGAATTTCCAGTTTGACTTGTTTCTCAAGCGTCAGTTCCTTGGAGACGTACATCAGGGCCTCGGTGACTCGTGCCTTGGGACCTTCAGCAATGAATTCAGTTCGAGTCGCGAAATTGGTGGACTTTGGAGTGACGATAACGTTGAATTTCTTCTTCACGTCGTTCAAAACTCGTGACAGGGGTTTGCTCTTGTCCAAGTCGGCATTGTCAATCTCGAAGGAGTCACGATATCTTCCGGGAAGGACGACGTTGCTGCGTGGGCCGGCTGTAGTTACTGGAGTCCGGGCACCAGACGTAGAGTTCGGTGTTGGAGCACCAGAAGACGTCGGTCGAGATCCCAGGGCGGGAGACCCGTTTGTTGGAGCAGCTTTTGCAGATGCACTGGCAATCCAACCGGGCTGTCTGGCGGACGCAGCAGTGGCAGCTCCCAAAGCCGGAAAAGCCTCCTCAGACTGAGTGTCAAGCACCGGAGGTTTGTCAGTCGCCTTCTGCTTTCCAGCAGCCTTGGCCGACATTGGGGCATTGCCAGTCCCATTGGTTGTGGTTGTAGCATCTTCCGCCTCTTCTGCAGCGTGGTGGGAAGGGGGCGGGTGTTGAAGATCGTCTTCATCAGGCACTTCTTCGACAGTCACATGATGCGCTTCTGCGGCCTCGTGTTTCTCCTGCATGAGTTGAGCTGGAGTCTTGGTCGTGCTGGAGCCGGCATTTGCAGTAGAATCTTCCGTTGCGGTGGCCATGGTGGTGGTGGTGGCTCCAAAGAAAGCCTCGAAAGAACCGTTAGGGGAGGAACCGAAAGGGCAGGACGGGAACCGAGAACGCTTTGAAAGGTCAGGGTGAGGCAAGCATGAAGCTCTTCCCACAGACTGTCTCAAAGTATAAGGTTAAGGCAAAGTGAATAGCAACCTCTGTCACTATATCAAGGGTGCGGTAAGGATAGTAGAGAAGAAGTGAAGTGTCGTTTGGTAGATCAACACAAGGCGAGGGAAGGTTGCCATGCGGAAAAAGGACGCTTGGTGTCTGGTTATATTACGGGTTGTGGAGAAAGGCACCTGGCGCACCCACAGCATCCACTAGAGGAATCCCCCGGGCCCCTCGAGGCCCTTGTAAGTTCCTATGTTCGAGTTGGTTCCTTATTACTGTCCCGGAACGGAGAATCAATATTCCAGACACCGGACTCTCTGGACTGGAAAAACATATCTCCGTCTCACTCTTCCCTCTTGTCCTGTGTATCTCTCAGATCAATCACTTCCGCAGTCCCTCCCATCCTCCAGAGAATTGTCCAAAAGTGACCCCAATGATTGCATTGGTATCAGCTGTTTGCAATGCAGCCACACCCCTTGCTCATCCTGGCACTCGTCACCACCTGCCTTGCTGTTTGGCCGCAACCTGCTGAGATCCAGACCAGTGATCGAGTATTGTGGCTTGATTCAGCCATTCGTGCAACTCTTCGCTGTGAAGAGCAAACTTTTGAACTCTATGGCCCTTCTGGCTTACAGACCGGCCCTTTAGCCGGTGTGCTCAATGGCGCGTTCGAGTTCACACAGGGTCTAATGGATAAGCTCCAATTTCCCTTTGTGCACAGAAACAACAGCGGCGAGCCTGTGTTCTCTGAGAGGTCAATTGTGCAGAATAGCGTACGCGAGACGATTCGATCGATTCAGCGGTCCAAGTTTGTCCCCTGGAAGCTTTACAAGCGACATTCCGCTTTCGAACCAGATCCACAAGCTCCTCGTCATTACATTTCCACATTGGATATCCAGCAAGGTGCCTGTCCAAAAGCAGAACCACTCGTTCCGCAAAGCTATTTTGGGGATGATGAATCCTATGCGATTGATATTGACGACCACGGCATTGCTTCCATCAAGTCCAACTGCAGTATAGGGACGATTAGAGCCCTGCAATCCCTTGAGCAGCTGTTTTTTGCCCACTCGACAGGATCGGGGTCCTACACACCATTTGCACCATTGTGCATAGCGGATAGAGCTAGATGGCACCACCGTGGGTTGAGTATCGACATAGCCAGAAATCCTTTTGATTCAAAGGACCTGACACGCACAATTGATGCTATGGCAATGGCTAAGTTGAACAGACTGCACATCCATGCGACTGATTCGCAAAGCTGGCCCCTCGAAATACTTCCTTTGCCAGACCTGGCCCGAAAAGGGGCGTATCAGCCTCATCATGTTTGGGGTACTGACGTCCTTCGTGAGATTCAGATGTATGGTGCTACGAAAGGTGTTTCGGTCTTCATCGAAATTGATATGCCCGGGCACACAGCCTCTGTAGCATATGCGTTTCCAGACTTGATTGCAGCATTCAATGAACTGGATTGGTCAACCTTTGCTGCGGAGCCTTTGAGTGGCCAGCTTAAGCTCAATTCTTCGGCTGTGCACGAATTCGTGACCACTGTCCTTGACGACCTCTTGCCGCGAACACGACCTTACACCTCTTTGTATCACGTTGGTGGCGATGAGTTGAATCTGGCGGCGTATCTCCTTGACGACACGGTGAAGAGTGACGACCCGCAAGTGTTACAGCCGTTGCTGCAGAGATTCATTGACAATGTCATCGAGGCATGCATTCGCCATGGACTTCAGCCAATTGTCTGGGAAGAGAGTAAGCTTCCCCTGGAGGGTGTTTGGGAGTAGTGGCAACTTTGAAGAGTTGTGGTCCTTTGTTCGATGCTAACCACACACTAGTGCTTCTTGACTGGAACTTGACACTACCTTCTGTGTTGAATAATGCTCCGTCGAGGCAAACCTTGGTTCAAGTCTGGCGGAATAGCGAGCGGATTGAAGAAGTGTTGAAACGAGGCCATCGGGTAATATTTGGAGACTACCATTACTGGTATCTCGACTGTAAGTGCCACCCGCTCGACCAGCAGACGCTACTGACCATATAGGTGGCTTTGGCGTCTTCCTCGATCCTTATCCCTCTGGCAAGTCGCCTCCTGGAGTCCCCTACAACACATCGGGCGGATACCCTAGCAGATTGAGAAAGCCATACCTTGACTATTGCAATCCCTACCACAACTGGCGGCAGATGTATACCTACAATCCACTGGCGAACATTAGCACCCACCTCCAGGAGGGCATTGAAGGAGGTGAAGTCTTGATGTGGTCCGAACAGACTGACTCGAACGACCTTGATTCAAAGTTGTGGCCCCGAGTTGCCGCAGCCGCAGAAGTACTGTGGGCGGGAGTTAGAGAAGAATCGATGCTTGAGGACGCCACCAAGAGACTGGGAGAGTGGAGGGAACGAGGGGTCATAGATCTGGGGCTCCGCATGTCTCCAGTCACCATGACATGGTGTTTAATGGAAGGTGGATGCAACCTATAGCGATTGAATGCGATAAGGAATGGTAATCGAGGGTTTGGATGAAGATGAGTATCTGGTGATCTGGGATCAATCGTCCAAGGAACCACCCAGGCTGATCTAACAACTGGAAACGGGATTTCCTTGCGAGATGGGATGCCTGTCATTGGCCCATACGAACAGTCTAACTCGGAAGACGTACTTCGTAAGATTCTAAACGGAATACGAGGCCGTTCTGAAACCTGCTCGCTGTTGGCGAAAGCTTGGAATGGACCTATCACTCTATTTCCTCTTCGTTCGAGCAGCTCTAGAATATCAAGCAGAATGAAGAGGGAAATGGTGATGCCTGATTCATTTAGTGTGGTGGCATGATCTATATAAGTTTGTAGTTGGTAATGCAATGTTGGTGGGTGGTTCCGGGTGGTTGCCTGTTCCCCCATAAGACGCTCTTTTGGGAAATAAGAAACCTTGACCCCAGACTCTGGCTCCATGCCTTACAAGTAATCAACTTAGGGCTAGGATAAATCCCCGACACCCTGAAACATCTGGACTTTTGTTGCCTCTTCTCTGAATTGACATTGGTTCGTGTTTTGCGCATTGATCAGTTCTGTACAACGTACAAAGTACAAAACGGGGCACACGCAACGCATCCTTTACAACCATGGTGTTCCAACTCCGTCCATGGCAATATTTGACGCTCGCGGCACTCCTGGCGTTCGTCGCCTCGGTGTACATCAAGAGATACAGAAAATGGAAGAAGGTCGCCGCCCTGGGCAGTGAAGCGCCGCGGGTCACAACTCGGTTCATCTTTGGTCAGGCTGCCCTGTTATCGTACACAGGACATCAAATCATACTAATGCCACCCCCCGCTCTACAGGCCTGGATTTCCCTGTTCATTCGACACTGGCGATCCTCAGAAACGAAACGCTGGAATTCTGGGACTGGATCTACGAACACACCGGCACCGACAGCAAAGGAACGGCCTCGTACACGGCCGAGCTTCATCTACTGGAGGATGTTCGCGTCATCTTTACCGCAGACCCAGAGAACACCAAGGCCATCTTGACGACGCAATTCCAGGAGTTTGGTAAAGGTAAGTCGTGATCAGGTTTGGTCGCGACGAGGAGGACTTCGATGGGTTACTGATTGCTGACGGCCTGGCGCAACACACGACAGGTGAACAATTCCATGACGAGTGGCAGGACTTCCTAGGCGATAGCATTTTCACCACCGACGGGCAGCAATGGCACAACTCGCGACAATTGATTCGTCCAATGTTTATCCGCGAGAAGGTCGCTGACCTGCCATTGATCGAGACTCATGTCCGCAAACTCATAGCGTTGATGGGCACGGGAGACGGGAGTGCGGTCATGTTGAACAAACTGTTCTTCCGATTCAGCCTTGATGCGTCCACCCACTTTCTATTCGGCCACACCGTTGGCAGCTTGGATAAAGAACAGTCGGCTTTCGCTGCTGCCTTTGACGAAGTTCAACGCGTCCAATCCCTAGAGGGCCGCTTGGGGTAAGAATCTGACCGTCACTCGTCTTTGTTCGCTCAGCTTATAATTTGCGCAGGCCCTTGAAGCACTTCCGCAGCAAGAAATCCTTCTATGACGGACTGAAGACCATGGAGCGTTTCATTGAGCCGTTCATTGACGAGGCACTTTCATTGACTCCGGAAGAGTTGGAGACCAAGTTATCTCGCTCAGACACCTTTATCCACGCACTGGCCCGATATACCAGAGATCGAAAGGTTATGCGCGATCAGCTCGCGGCATTGCTGTTGGCCGGCCGCGATACCACCGCTGGAACACTGTCCTGGCTTTTCCTGGAATTGGCCAAGAATCCTCGCGCAGTTGAGAGGCTGCGTGCAGAGATCAAGGAAGTCTTGGGAACTGATGGTCGACCGCCAACCTATCAAGAGATCAAAGACATGAAGTATTTGACGTACACTATCAACGAAACCCTGCGGCTCTATCCGATAGTCCCATTCAATGTCCGTTCAGCACTCTCAGATACTACATTGCCTCGAGGTGGGGGGAAAGACGGCAATGCACCAGTGGGTTGTCCAAAGGGTACAGTGGTAGGATACAGCACTTTGTCGATGCAGCGAAGAAGAGACCTATATCCACCAATTTCGCCAACGTTTCCCTACGACCCCCTCGAATGGTGGCCAGAGCGCTGGGCGACCTGGACCCCCAAAGCGTGGAACTTCATCCCATTCAACGGCGGACCCAGAATATGTATCGGACAGCAATTCGCCATGGTAGAGATGGGATACACGATCGTCAGGATCCTGCAGGAATTCGACCAGATCATTGATTATGGGAGCAAACGGACCATGCATGTAGAGATTATCCTGACTCCAGCAGAGGGCGTGAAAGTGGGATTTCTCAAGAGTGAAAACAAGAGAGAGAAGGCTTGAATCATAGGCCCTTTGGACGGGGGCAGTCAATATCGTGGCGAAGCCGGCACTAAAACATGAGATAATGACTGGATCATTCGGTGTTGGTGGATGGGACTGGGGGAAATTGACGAATATGCATTGAAAAAGCAGCGAGACACGATGGGGAGGAGGAGAAATCTCCGTCGCTGATAAATCAATTAAAAAACATCGAAAATATCTGGCCGCTCTAAGGCTGAAAACTGTATCACGTGCGAGTTGATCAAAATACTGCGTCGCCTCTCGTTGTTCTACCATCACATACTGCACATTCCCTATCCACTTGGTTTCATCCTAGAACCCCACGCGCGTTTGTCACTCGACCTTGTTCGACGAGAGGCTCGCCCATATAGGCTCACTATCTTCAACAAAAATTCAAGAAGGTGCAACAAAGGACCCTTCTGTCATTGTGTCGCAACAACCACAAAACCGCGATCAATCCATTTCGACCCTCCTAGGGAGGCGAATATCCTTTCTCCAGACCCCGTACACCCAATTCTCACATCCTCTCTCTCTCGAAATGTCAACTATTGCCCTCGAGACGCCGCTGGCCGAAGCGCTGAGTAGCGCTGTGCACTCCAAGATTGTGGAAGAAGGCTGGACACAAGATGACGACACTTCGTTAGCCGAATATATCGTCCTCATGCTCGCAAACGGAAAGACCCAGAATCAAATCGCATCAGAGCTTGCTGGCGAGCTGTTGCAAGATGCCAAAGGAACCACCGAGTTCGCGCAGTGGCTGTTCGACCAAGTCAACCTTTTGTCTGGCGGCGGCGCAGCTGCTCCTGGTCCGGGTACAACATCACAATCATCAGAACAACCCCTGCAGGGCGAGGCGCCCAGTTCACTACCGTCGGGCGCGACAGAAAATGGAACCTCCTCAATACCTGCCGCCTATGACATGGACATGGTTGACAATGCACCTGAAAATGCGTATGTCGCGCCCCATTACAGGCCATCCACAAATCGCTTGCTAACAATGTTCCACAGACCTCGAGGCCCTAAAGGTTTACACGGTGGCCGACCCGCCGGCAGAGGTGGGCGAGGCGGTGCGACCAACAAATCCGGCGATTCAGCTTTACACCGAGTCCGTGGCAACGACCGTATAAATACTCACGGCAACGTGCGCGGCGCGCCGAAAGGACCGCGCAATATACAAAACCGAGACGTACGTCCGGGAATGCAAAAAGCATTGAATATGGGCATGACTGGTGCTAGTCAGGGCATGCAAAATCCAATGATGATGAACGGCCCACAACAAGGTCAAGGGATGATGCAGATGACGCCGCAGCAACAGATGGAATTTATGGCTATGATGGAACAACAGACGCGCATGCTGGCACAGTTTACTGGAATGATGCCGGGAGCGGCGAACCCTGCATTCTCCCAAGGCGCCAACCAGCCAAACCACCAAGGTCGGTCACTGTTCGATAGAGTCGAGTCAGGGCGTGGCCGGGGCAGTGGTCGAGGTCGGGGTCGGGGAGGCAACAGCCAGAATGGCCATGTCAAATCTCCTGCGAAAGCAAGCGACCAAGACACGGCTATGGAAGGTGATGGTCAGACGCAGGGGGCTGAAGCATCTACGACGGAGGCGCAAACGACCAGTGAGGGCGAACGAAAACCGCAAGACCCGTCCAGCACTATGTGCCACTTCAATCTTCGTTGCACCAACAAGGACTGCCCTTATGTTCACCAATCTCCGGCTGCGCCCGAAGGAATCGTTGTTGACATGTCGGAGACGTGCACGTTTGGCCCAGCCTGCAAGAACTCGAAGTGTGTCATGAAACATCCTTCGCCAGCGCAAGTTAGGGCATTCCAGTCACAGGAGCTCTGCAAGTTCTTCCCCAACTGCACCAAGCCCAATTGTCCATTCAAGCACCCGACAATGCCGCTGTGCAAGTTTGGGGCCCAGTGCAAGACTCCCAATTGTCCCTTCACACATCTGCAGGTTCCCTGCCGGTTCAATCCTTGTACGAACCTGAGATGTCCATACAAGCATGAACCGGGACAACAGAAGACGACCAATTTTGCCGATTATACATGGACACCGGACAAGCAGACCGAACAAGACGGGACCAAGTCACATGTCAGTGACAGGAAGTTTGTGGATGATCAAGCTGGGGAGGAGGAATTAATCAAGCCAGAGACGGGTACAGAGACGCAGATACGGGAGGAAGTGATTACTTGACGAGGCGAGGTCAACAGCCACGAAAGTTGAAGGAAGAATATTGGAATGGACTGAAAGATGGTTGGGAAGGCAAGCTGATGCTCCGTCATCTGCCAAATGTATTTGTACATTATGAACTCACAGCATACAACCCGGCACCTGTGCCCTGTTGACTGGGCTTCTGATAATGACGGATCAGAGATGGCCTTGATGCCAGAAGGGTTGGGAATGAAAAACCAAAGCATTCCGAAGCAAACACGCATTCATTTGACTGTTTTATGTGCTTGTTTTCGTTTTCTCTTCTCTCTCGTGATCGTTGTCTGTGGTGCATCGTGCATAGTCTGTTCTCGAGGGCCGTATTATACGGCTTCATACCTCATACTTGTCTTTCTGTAGCCCTTTGTTTCTTTCTAGAATGGCCTCTCGTGCCTCTGCGATAGCATGTGGAGACCTACCGAGACGAGGTTACATCTTACACATTATTACACTAAGTATTACATGTATACTCGTACATACATCAGTACCGGGGGCTCACTAGGTAACTTCATAACACAACCTTGAAAATTTCCCCTCTCCCGTCTTATCAAGACCGGACCATTCCAGTGCTGGGCAACCCTGGGAACTGTGCGGGAGAAAGGTATCTATCTGTACATCTGTTCTGTGGGTATGGTATATGGTATGGGCTTGTGACTCAAGACGGGAAAAAGAATTCGGTCGGGGTTTAAGAGATTTGAGGTTCTACAGGGATAAAAAAAAAGAACGGAGTCCCATTTATTCAAGGCGTCTGGGAGCAATCGAGCGCGCGGGGCGAGGACTGGCGACTTGACCAGAATCCAAGGTGTATGTATATCGGATCGCAGCACATGTGACAGACCGTGTGACATCGCAGAGACCACTGTATATCCGAAACCCCCCAGCTGCGCACCACCCGAGGGAGAAAAGCCATGGATCCAGAGACAGGCCTCGCGCAGGTCTTGAGGTCGTTGCAGAACATCTTGTCTTCACCGGACCTGGCCGTCTCGCAATACTTGGTGCCCTCGTCGGAAGAGACGACGAACAGCAAGTTCCCGGTCCTGCCTCGAGATATCCCGAGCGTGTTACCGCTTACTAGACTCGATCAGAGTCTCCCTCATTCCTCTTCTCAGCCACCGAGCGGGAGCAATCGGCAGGGAGGACGGGTCGACGACGACGGCAACGACAATGATACACGACTCGACAGACTATCCTCGCACCTGGCGACCAGCGTCCTCCCGCATCTCAACCTCTCGTCCCTCTCGCCAAACTACTACGGCTTCGTCACCGGCGGCACCACCCCTGCGGCCCTGCTCGGCGACCTGCTCGCGTCCGTCTACGACCAGAATGTCCAGGTGCACCTCCCGCGCGAGACCATAGCGACCACGCTCGAAGTCACCACCTTGAATCTCCTCGTGCAGCTGTTCCGCCTGCCGGAGGCGGAGTGGGGGATCGGACGACGTCGCGGCGGAGGAGGAGGGACCTTCACCACCGGCGCGACGGCGAGCAACGTCCTCGGCCTGGCGCTGGGGAGGGAGTATGTGCTCCGAAAGGCCCTGCAGCGCAGACGGGGCGTCTCAGTGGAAGAGGACAACGGCGATGCCGGAAGCTGCGGCGAGCACGGCGTCGCAGAACTCATGGCCCAGGCCGGCCTGCGCAAGATCCAGGTTCTCAGCACGCTGCCTCACTCCAGCATCGCCAAAGCGGCCAGCATCGTCGGCATCGGGAGAAAGAATGTCATTTCCATCTCCACCTCGCAGGGCGATGGTCTGCAGATCGACCTGGCCCGCCTGGCCGAAGAGGCCGCGAAACCGGACGTGGTCAACATCCTCGCCATCTCCGCAGGGGAGGTCAACACGGGCCGCTTCGCCACCGATTCACGCGCGCAGATGCTCCGTCTGCGCGGGATATGCGACGAGTTCGGGATCTGGATCCACGTCGACGGCGCGTTCGGGCTGTTTGGCCGCGTCTTTTCCCCAGACGACCACGACCGGGCAGAGTTCGAGGAGATGATCCGCGGCGTCGACGGTGTGGAGCTCGCCGACTCCATCACCGGCGACTGCCACAAGCTGCTCAACGTCCCCTACGACTGCGGCGTCTTCTTCACCCGCCACAAGGACCTCGGTGGAGACGTCTTCCGCAACGGCAACGCCGCGTATCTCACGTCGTCGATGACGAGCAATACAGGTGCAGACACAAACGAAGTTGGAAGCCGAGACGTCTCTGACTACGACCCCTCCGCGATCCAAAGCCCGCTGAACATCGGCATCGAGAACTCGCGCAGATTCCGCGCACTGCCCGTCTACGCGACGCTCGTGGCCTACGGGCGGCCGGGCTACCTGGACATGCTGAAGCGGCAGATCCGCCTGGCGCGGCGGGTGAGCAGCTGGCTCCTCCGAGACGAGAGGTTCGACCTGCTACCGCTGCCAGCATGTGCGGGTGGCCGGGACGAGGGCGAACAAGAAACTCTGGCAAAGACGTTTATTGTGGTCTTGTTCAGACTCAAGGATGAGGAACGGATGAGAGACTTTGTAAGGAGGGTCAACGACATGGGCAAGATCTACATGACGGGAACGGTGTGGGATGGGAAGCCTGCAGCGAGAATTGCCATCAGTAATTGGAAGGTCGATCTGGAGAGAGATGGCAAGTTGATTGAGCAGGTCTTGGATCAAGTGGCTGGCGGACAACGATGATGGGAGGTAGGGATTGAATGACAGACGCATCGCTTGCTGCCAGATGCAAGCTGGTCTTCTTCTCACCCATTCGGTACATAAACGATCAAAATACCGCACCACCAATGATAAATATCCGCTCTTCCTCCCTCTGAATCCATTGCACCACCTTATTCGCGCTCTGGGCCAACGCACTCCTCGAGGCTGTTGGACCCGCGACACAATACAGTTCAAACATCGGTGTGACCCAAGCCAGCGCCGTCGCCGACACGCCCACACTATGGTGGACCTTGACAGCTGCATGTTTGGCATGCACGCTGGCATGAAGATTGTGGTACAACGACATCAACCGTCGTCGCTGTTTCAGTGTCTCAAAGCCCGGCGAGAACGACGGCATGAAGAATTGCACGTTGCCTTTGGATTTGTAGAGGAAATGCCTCAGGACGGTGCCGGCAACGATGTCTGTGGGTGCAGGTCGGCCGGCCTGTACAGCTGTCTGGATGATGTGCATGCTCTTGTTCCGGTGAAACTCATGGACAAGGTAATTCTTCATACTGTGCAAATCCTCGAAGCTCTCTCGGTTGGCGCTCAGGAGGATGATAGCCACCGAGTCCTCTTTCGCGATGCGTTCGTTCTGGGCCATTTCCCGGACCTGCTCGCCACCCATGTCAAGAAAACTAACGTACATGTATAGATAGCCAGTGTTATTGAAGCCAGGGAGACAGACTGGAATCCAAGAGTCTCCACCACCGGCCTTGACACCCTCGGCTTCAAAAATCATGTTGAATATCAGTTGCAGATCACTTGGGTGCAGAGAGTGTTTCTTCGGTCGGATGACGCTGACCAGTCTCCCTCCAGCGACCACAAGCCCATAGAGTAAGTCGTCTACTCGGGCTTTGATCATTGTGCTGTTGATGATGTTACGGTGCGACTTTCTGATCTTTAAACATTCCAGAGCCGACAGGAGCGCGGACGGCGAACCTCGCGTAAAGCTGTCTGCTAGCGAGGACAGCAGTACTTCAGTGCCTTGCAATGGCCGTCTGAGGTCGGTCGACGGACGGACCGAAAAGATATGCGTCAGAGTTGGTAATGTCAGAGTCGATAAGATCTGCATATAGAGGGCTTCAAGCTGAACTCGGACCTGTGCCTCACTTTCCGGAAGACTTGTTATTCCTACTAGGAACAAATTTGTCTGTGAAAGCACGACAAACAATACTCCACCTGCTTGGAAACTTCCCAGCTGGTCACCTGCCTCTGAGTAGGAGGAGATGATAGCCTGAATGATACCCACGTAACTCGAGATGACTGCGTCCGATCCATGCCTAGTATAAATGGGCTTACCGGCCGCAGACAAGATGATGAAATGCTTGCGCTTCGACATCCAGTGCTTTTGAGCCTCCTCTTCACCAACAACCTTCTCGTCCACCTCTTCAAACTCCTTGTCGAAATCAACGTCCCCTTCGTCATACAGGCTCTCCGACTCTGTCTCGAACAATCCTCGAGAACTGCTTACTGATGCCGACAGATTTTGTTCCTCATGCACATCTCCCTCGAATATGCTTTCCGCATCTTGAATATACCGGCCCATGGGTGCATAGCTTCTGATGCTGGAGTTGTCCTCCCCGACATCACTGGTTCTGTTGCTGGGCGAGGGGCGAATAGAGTGGTTGGAGGGTGTGCGAGAAGAACTGACGCGCAGTTCTTTGGAGCCGTCAGGTCGGTTGTAAGCGTTTACATCGGTCATGGACACCGCCGTTGTTGCCCCTGCTACGAGACCTCGAGTAGGCGGGCGGGAAGAGTGTCCTGTAGAGGGCATGGCTTGCATGAGGCTCAATTCGCTCGGTCGTGGAGGAAGGGGAGGTCGTTCTCCTTCTGAGGCGGTCGAAGCCTGCCGACTCCTCGTTGTCTCGGGAGTGGCATTTTCCGCGCCATCCATCCTAGAGGCTGGCTCAGAGGATGCTGTGTTGGTCAAGTCGTTAGTTGTCGAGTTATCGGCTGTTCGATTCTGGGGCTAGCCTCCATCGTAGGCGCTCTTTCCCGCGTTTTGGTCATTGCTCATGGCATTCATGATCGCGGCAAAAGAACCGGGGCATCCCTTCGAACAGTCAATTGACGACGAACTGTATATCAACAAGAAATGATAGAGAGAGTGTGACAGGAAGGTCGATGATGAGTCGGACGACGATTGATGATGGACGTGCGCGCAGGGCTTGGCGGGTGCCTCGTCGCGCCCTCGTCGGCTTCTGGTCAGAACCACCGTGTCTTTCTCCACGTCCAACACCCGTATATCTGCCATATCAAGCCAGTATTGTAAATCTGACTCGATGGTTCTCTACTTTCCACCGCGAACTCTGCTCAGTGTTTCAGACAGATGATAACAGCTTTGAGCACCCGCCGACAACACCGCGTCCTCACGTTGTCAGACGTTCACCCTGATCCCCTTTAACCAAAGCCTCGATGGCCAACAACTTGACCTGCCGGTGACTGAAACTGGCAGTGGTAGCACTGTACTGCCGACAAGTTCGTAATGACCACTGACGCCAAAGCGGTTCGCCGCTATCATGCGGGTGTCGAGAGAGCCCTGGGCTTGTGGGACGCAACAAATGAATGGGCTGACTACATTGCCTTCCTCAGTCGGTTGGCGAAGGCTTTACAAGCATCCCCCCCTGACGCAGAAGTTCCATTCAAGTCGACTCTGGCCAAGTATCTGGCACTATGCTTGAAGCCATCTCTGCCATCAGGTGTGCATCAGAAAGCCCTGGAGGTCTACAATCTGATCTTCTCGCTGCTTGGGAAGGATGGTCTGTCTCGAGACCTGCCCATATGGTTTCCTGGGATGTCCCATACCCTCACATTTGCCACATTGACGACAAGGCCTCTATTCCTCTGCCTCTACGATGACCACCTCTTGCGACTGTCCAGCCATGCACTGAGGCCTGCTCTAAGAGCGATCATCTTGTCCCTACTCCCAGGAATTGAAGAGGAGAACAGTGAAGATTTTGACCGAACTCTGAGCACAGTCAACCGTTTACGACAGATTTTTGCAGATGACGGTAATGAGGAGTTCTTCTGGCAGAGTCTATTTCTGGCTTCCATTACAAGTACGTCCAAGCGTCCAGGTGCATTAGTCTACCTGATACGGCAGCTCCCTAGACTGGGTCCAGGGACAAGCCAGGCTCCTGGCAACGTCACTCAAAAAGATGAAGCGACCGAATCGACGCAGGAGGCCATTAAAGCTGTGACAACTCCTGAGCCTGGGTTGCTTGTTCGATGCTTTGCTACCGGACTTCAGGACGAACAACCCCTGGTTCAACGCGGTTTTCTCGATCTCTTGGTGTCTCATCTGCCTCTCAACGCTCCAATCCTCCAAGAACTCGTTATACCATCGGACTTGGACATCCTGGTCAAGTCCGCGATGTCGGTCGTCCTCAGAAGGGATATGAGTCTTAATCGTCGCTTGTGGACCTGGTTCATCGGCAGAGAAGACAAGCGAGAAGGGTCAACAGACATAGTGTCTGGCTCAGGTGTCGAGGCGCCAACACGTACGACTCCCACAATCCAGGACAAGGTGCACACAAGGCATGATTACTTTGCCACATATGGTCTCAAGCCCGTAATCCGAAGCCTTCGGAAACTGCTTGACAGAGAATCAGACTCTCCTGCGGATCGAGCTCGCCCATTCCGCATCATGCTTTCGCTGATGGACCGCTGGATCATTGGAAAACCGCCTGTCGAAGAGTTATTCGTTCCAGCAATGCAGGATCTACAAAAGTATCAAACGGCCGCTCCTTCACAGTCGTCTTTCGATGAGGTGTTCCGAAGTGCCAATGTTTTCTTTGACGCAATCGAGCCCCAATTAATCACCAATCAACTCTTTGATCTGCTTGTACAGGGGGATTTGGATCTTATTGAATTTATCTTCTCAAACTTCAATCTGCAAGAGGAGGAAATGACGACCATTCATTTACCCATGCTGTGCTTAGCAATTTCGGAAATGCTTCTTGAAAGCATGAAGCCTGAACGCCACGAATTGAATGGTCGAGATCATTCGTATCAGGACAGATTAGCAAGACTCATGGAGGCTCTCCTCGGCTTATTGCCCTCTCATCAGGGAGGCATTTCTTCCGAAGCCTTTGGTCAGATGCCGCAGGATGGTTGGCTGCCGAAGTTGAAGACACTTTACAAAGACTCGTCGTACGTGAAAAGGGCCATTTTCGACTTGATCCCTCCACCTGCCGCCAGTCAGATTCTGCTGAGAAACATTGCCCTCATCATTCTGGATTGCGTGAAGGACCCATCCAGCAAGACAGCGCTCGGATCTCTCACCAACAGTCTCGTCACGGCCATAGCTAGAACCAGTAACTTCCAGCCACTATGTGAAATAGCACTTGGAGATCGACTATGTGATCTACTGAAGATTACGGCAGCAGACGTCAATGCCAGATACGAGACTGTTCGAACAATTGCGAGGATCGTGGATAGTTTACATGCATTCGACACTAGCAGGACCCTCCTCACAGAACACTACCTTCTCCGACTGATACCAGAGCTGATCACGCAGCTTTGGGAAGTTCTGTTACCCTCCACTCCACAATTTCACGTTGAAGCTGTGGAACAGATTTGGAACCTGCGCATGATATCACAACAACTCCTTCTCGTCGACAGTAAGATAGCGGATTTGATGTGCAGACAAGACAAGGAGCGATCGTCTCTCGAAGATCAACTGGCCCGGTTCTCGACTCTGTGGACGCATACTCGCTTTGGAGAGGTCAACGTCGAACTGTTTGCTTCTAAGCATGGCGGTAACGAGGACGAAGTGCCTTGGGCTCTGCTGCGGCAGCCAATCTTGAGCATAATTGATGAGCTCGACCCCTCAGTGCCAGACGACAGACGACGGAACTGGGTGAACAATCTACCCTCCATTCGACCTGTCTTCAAAATCATCTACGCCGAGTCTACTAACCCGGTGACTGATCAACTGTCATTGCTCGGCTTGCACAGGCTTCGAAAGGTTTTGACCCTCGCGCGGCAGTCCAATGTGCAACGCAACGAGCTCTTCGGACGCGAGGGGTTTTCGGAAGTGGTGCTCGACTTGTGCATTGAGCACATCGCCGCCGGACAGAAAAGAGAAGAAATATTTGCGACGACGTTGTCAATTTTGAGATTGATCATTGAAGAAACGGACGTTCAACAACACCATGATCTACTAAGTTTGCTATTGAAGCAACTATCCGATGTACCCCAGGATAGCCCTTCCCAGGAAGAAATCCTGGAACTGTTGCGGATCATATTCGCGAAACCGAACTTTGGCAATCCGCCCAGCGAACTCATATCGATCTTGATTTCTGGCATCTCATCACAAGCTATTGATTCAACGATTGACAAATGGATCACTCTTCTGTGCAACACAATTCCCTTGTACTCGACCCAGAATCTGTTTGCGAACATGCTCAAGCTGACAGCATGTTTCTGTGAACGTATCAAAGACTATTTTACGCTGATGCAACAGTTATACGAAAAGCCGCGGACCACCACCCAGGCCAATGGAGAACCACCCACCAAGTTGGCGAAGCAGCCAGAAAGATCGGTCAACAACTTGCTCGCTGGGCTTGAGTATATATTAGCAAGAGCGCACACGCACCTAGTCGATCAGGCTTCGGGGGTCGAGGCAAATCCGAACAGTTCAGAAAAGTCCCAGTCGCGATCCATTGCGAATCATCGGCTGACCGTGATTCTCTGTATGCAAGACACGATCAAATTATGCGGTGAGATATGGGCCTGGAGAATGCTCAAACGGCCATCCACTTCCAGCCCCGACAACAAATCCTTTGCGTATATTTCCACCCGGCTGCGGACTAGAACCCGAAGGATCCTCGAGAATCTTGCCGACGCTGAACCACAGGAATGTCTGGAGACACTCATGGGCATGTGGACCGAGGCGGCTCGTCGAGATGCTCAGCAAGACATCACTCTCAATCTGATGCAAAGTCTGGACGGAGCCCGACCAAAATTTATGATGCCAGCCACGTTCAATGCAATCTACAACCGAACGAACCCATCAGCCCTGGACCAGTCTCAGAAATCCAGCTTGTCAGTGGACGTGAGTGCAGCCGAGCTGATGGCGTTCCTAATAGCTTACACGAGCGTGTTGGAAGATGACCTGCTCGAAGAGATCTGGACTGATTGCACTGCCTTCCTGCGGGAAGTTCTTGCCAATCCTATGCCACACCGACAAATCCTGCTCAAGCTTCTGGAATTTGTGGCTGTTCTCTGCCAGAAAATGGAAAACACCAATTTTGGGGAAGTTGTGAAAATGCGTCGCGAACTGAGCGATCTGTGTGCGAGACTCCTCACAGCCATATTTACGATACGGCCTGCTGGACTGGACTCGACTGCTCAGCCACTGCCGGATATACAAGATTCGAAAGGAATGGGGGCCATGCGGCGGAAGAACCCGTTGCACGCTGGGAACGCCATTGAGGTCTTGTGTGAAGCCTTGCCCGTCGTGAGTAATGCACTCGGAGACCAAGACAGGCTGAATGGTACGCTCCCCGGTATAGCCACCTATGTGACCGGACCTGCTCTACGATCAAAGCAGTTCCCGCAGACGGTGAACTTGGACATTCTGCAGCTTGTGCTTCTCATGGCCAAATCCCAACCCAACAACAAGGTTTGGAAGAAAGATATCCACGACGCTATCAACGACAATAAATTCTTCCAGTCAGCCCCATGGTTAGCTGAAACGGGATGGCTTCCCGTACTGAACCAACTTTGGCTCTCTGACAAAGGGCTGATGGCCGACTTTGTGTCCCGTCTGACACCTCCAACAACGGCAGGGTTGATGTTTGGCGTTGGTGCTACGGCTGCGCGAACGGAGGCAGACAGGAAGACTCAGCTTAATCTGCGGCGGATTGCCCTGCTCCTGTTGGCTGGGGAAGTCGACGCTTTCGTGTCAGATCTTAGCCACATCATCAACAAACTCGAGGAACTTCTTACAGCTACCCCGTCCTCGTCTCCCTCGTCGAGTACGCGCGGAGATGTCTATCTCGTTCTTCGGGCCATAACCTTGGCATTCACTCAAGTGCATCTAGTCTCAATGTGGCCGATAGTGGACGTGGAGCTTCGAGAACTATTCTCAAGCATGCAGAAAGAGGGCGAGGCTGTATTTACCGGCTATACACAACTGCAAGGGGCCAAATTATTAGATCTCCTTCTTCTCCTGAAACCCGAGGAGTTCCAACAACACGAATGGTTGTTCGTGACGGACACGGTGGATGCAGTATATCCCCCACACGACTTCAAGTCAACCGCAATCGCAGATCTGATGGTGAGCAAAGGAGGCCCCGAGACTGAGCTTCTCACGGCATCAAGCACTGGAGCCCGGATTCCATGGCTCTGTACGGACAAGACGCGGACAAGCGAAGACCCCAGCACCATTCTGCGCCCGTTCTTTCGGCAATTGAGTATTCATGCTTTTGAGGACACATACAGCCTCCAACTGCCTGATCTTGCGGCATGTAGAAAAGATCTTCTGGCGGATTTGTTTGTGGATTGAGTGATACCAGTTCGGCGCTGGGTTGAGGGTGTCGGGTTCTTTGCATAGAGAAGGCGAGGAGATTAGGGACACGGACATCCGGGAAATGAAGGAATGACGTACATTGGACTTTGTAGCATTCATTGGTATGACGGATTGCTGCTCCTGGGTGATGAGTATTTATCTCGTACAGCCACTGGTGTTGGTCGGGCACATCCAAGGTCATAGCTTATGGCTTGTGGTGGTTGCCCCCCAAACTGTGAGAAGTTCTGCGACGTACGAGGCAGGACAGAAGTCATAGGACAGTGCAATTGGGACACGTCTCCTATGGTGGCAGATGTTCTAGGGTCAGTTCTAAGCCTGGATGGATGTGTCAGCTTCGGAGTCAGATCTGTCCCGGCCCAGTTGTCCTGGGCCAGACTCAAGGGAATGAGGTATTGGATTTGACGTGACGTGGAAAGAATACGTCGGCGCTGAGCAGGAAGGGCATTGGTACAAGGTACCCGAAGAGCTGGACGATATTGCACGGTTTCTTTCAGCTATTGCTACTGCGTAATATTCGTGACTATGAGGGACTTTGTAGGCTCATTGGATAGCCACAGCTCTGAATTGCTTAGTCATGAATCTGGTAAAATGGCGGGATGCTCAGGTCTAGAAACGGAAATGGATCTTGGAGAGGAGGTCAAGATTCGCCGCTGAGTACATCGGAGTTTATTGCTCGTCCCAAAGCGATCCCGCCCGACGTCGTCATCTCTTCACTGTGCAAAGCTCGCAGTCCTCTTCCCACCGCGCCTTACTCACAAACCTGCGCCCTCTATTGTAAATCCGTGCCAGCCTGTCTGTCCGAAAGCTATGGCGTCCCGTGTCCTTGTCCCGCGCCTCTCCCTCGCGTCTCGAACAATCAGAGCTCTCCCGCAGTTTCAATCGAGATCGTTCCAGTCGACGTGCAGAAGATTCCAAGAAGCCGGTGCGGCGGTACCTGTGAAAAAGCCCATGGGAGCTTTCAGAGGAGGGTGAGCTTGCCCCCGGTCGTGCCGTTGACGAACAAGAGACGCTGGAGCTTCTACAAAACTCCGGTGGTGCCGGCATAAGAAGTGTGCAGTTCAGGCTGGATATGAGACGGATCCGCTAACATTTTGCGCGACCTAGATTGTTCGGTTTCTTGCTGGGTTCGACTCTGGCTGGCGCGTCCGTCTACTACTACATCCTCGAGGAATACAAGGTCTCCAATGAGCTATTGACGGAGGATATCTACGTACGTGATTCACGATCCATACCACCCTACACCGAACTCCTTGCGACGTCGATTTGGAACAAGTGGTGGGCTGTGGGCCGAAATGACACCGCGGTCTTCTCTGCTCTCAAGACGCTCCGATTTTGTACCGGATACTGACACCTGGACCTTAGGCACTACAAGCAGCCGTGCAGCGAATCCATTCATACGTGACGGAACTGGAAAACCGAATGAACCAGACGAAGAAATGAAGGAGGCTAGGGGAAGAACAAAAAGGGAAACAAAATCTCAGCGGGTATGTTGCTGGACGCAAGAAGATGGACCGAGGTGTCATGCACCTGAGTTGCACCGGTTGATTTCAAGCGGAACTACGTGGATTTCCTCTCAGGCCGAGCAAGCACATAATTTCAGTCAAGGCGAGGATCCGGCGCTTTTCGAACAATGTAAAAATATCCAATCCCGAAGCTTTTTGTCTCTAGATCTGTCGTTCCCTCTTCCTTTCCCGCTCAAAGGGGTTTGAGATGACTGTCTAAACTCAGCCAGTCATGAACACTTACCATGATCACAGCTGGCTTACTCACTATGGCAGGAAACTGGGACCAGACGAAAAAGCTTTTGCAGGACGAGGGATCTAATGCCCATGTATTGAAGCCGTGCGACGCCCACGAGCCGCTGCGAGGGAGACATTGCCCGAATCGCACAGAAAACATCACAATTCATTTCTTTGTCTGTCGCTGACGAAATGCCCCGACCAGCATCTCGCATTAACAGTCGCTGATGAATCGGGACCGAGCCTCTACCTACCTCAAAGGCAGGGTAACCGAAGCAGAGGCTCTGCGTGCTCCTATATTCAAGCCACAGATCCGGCCCCATTCACAAATCACAAGAACCTCTTGACTATATCCCTTCGAAATCAAATTCCTCCCCGTATTCCACACTTCGAGCTCCTCGCTATGTCATCGGATCCGTCCGCCGGTCAGCAGCCTCCACCGCGCATTTGACCCTGTCGACCAAGTCCTCCGCATCCTCCAGGCCCACCGATATCCGCACCTGCTCCTGCCTGACGTTGTACCTGCTCGCCCAGGCGGCCTCGTTCCCATAGACGCCGAGCGAGTACGGCAATGCCAGCGTCAGATGGGCGCCGAGATGCGGGCCTTTGTGCATGTGGAGGTTGTCGTAGAATGCGATTGGGGCGTCCAAGTCGCGGAGTCCTACGCTCAAGAGGCATCCGTAACCGGGCCGGGGGAATTCTGGGGTCGGCTGGCGCAGGTGTGTCGTGTAGTTGGGGAGCGTGTCGTTGACGGTGGGGTAGAAGACTTGGGTGATGCTGCTGCTGCTGCTGCTGTTCTTCGTGTTGCTTTGGAGATACTCGACCAATTTCTCGGCGGTGCGGTTCATCACGGCGCAGCGCTCGAGGTAGTCTCGACTGTTGCGCTCCAGCGTCTCGGCGTCGCCGATGTACAGGTCGTCGTGGTGCTGCGTGCCGAACAGGGCCGTGAGCTCCTCGTACCGTGACGACAGCGGGCTGAGCACGGCACTCCCGCCCATGACGTCGGCGTACCCGCTGAACGACTTTGTCAGGGACGTGACGACGATGTCCGCGACGTCGAGGACATCGACGTTGCAGAAGTTCCCGACCGTGTCGTCCACGACGAGAAGCGCGCCGTGCTCGTCGGCCAGATGTCTGAGCCGGCGCAGGTCCGGCGTGTTTAGTAGTGGATTCGAGGGGAACTCTGTCCAGATGGGCTGGACCTTGTTCCCCCGCCCCGATTGAGCTGCGAGATATATCTCGAGTCCCGTCGAGGTCCTGCTCCGAACCAAGGCCGAAAAATTCCACCCCGGGCCCAAAGTCTTGGAGGACGTGGATGGTCGAGTGGAACGAGAAGCCGAAGAGCACGGACGGCGAGGCGTATGCGCTCAGCAAATACCGGTGGACCCAGTATATCGCGGCCATGCCGGTCGAGAACAGGTAGACGTCGCTGGGCGAGACTTGGGCCGTGCGGTGCGGGTCAGCAGGGGCTCTATTGAGCAGGCCTGCTATTCTCTCCTTGAGCTGTTTGTGAGCAGGGCCGTCAGATTTAGCTGTCGTCATTGTTGTTGTCACGCCCTCTTCGTGGTCCCTGACTTCTCTCAACGAGCTGATATGCTCGAGACAATCCTGCGCCAAGCGAGACGAGATGCCCACGCCAGCATTAACCCAGAAACCGTGCACGGTGCCCGTGAAGTCGGCGGGGAAGACGACCGCGTACACCGGACAATACGTCCTGAAGACGCGGATGGAGATGCTGTCGCGGGGAACCGACCCCTGTCCCCTGACGGAGGAGGTCGCATAGTCCTTGCAATCACGCGCTGCCTGTGACGAAGGGAATAGAAAGCAGCCTTGACCCTCGATGTCGGCGAAGTCGACGATCTTTGCGGTAAGCTGTCCATTTATCAGTTGTGTTGGCCATCTCCACACAAAGGAAAGAACGGTACACACCAAGACTTGTCAAAAGGGAAAGAGAGTGGGAAAGGAGGGGGGGGGGGGGGGGGAATAAGGCGTTCAGAAGGATATCAATCCGGCAAAGGCATCAGTCGTCCGCCCATCCCAGCATGCGCTCAAGCTGTGTAACACTCCTATAGTACATACAAGTACATACATACCTCCAAGACATCCCTGTGCAGGACAAACCGCGGATACATGCTCCGGAGCGACCTGAACAGCTCCGGGTCCCGGTCCCGGAAGCGCTCAATCGATCGCCAGGCTGGGAGGTGGACTGTGATGGCGTGCCTTGGGGCCGGAGGCAGCGCGGTGCCGTACGGAGTCTGGATTTCCAGTGACATGTTGTCGCTGTATTGTTGACTTGTCTGTCTGTCTGTCTGACCGTCTGCCTATCTGTGGGCAGAAAGGGCAGTTTCTGATGGCCTTGGTGGATTCACTCCCGACTTGGTTCCCGACCTATGTAGATTGTTCGGGGTCACCACGGTGATATGTACAATATCATTCAGGCACCCAAGCCCTCAAGCAGCCATGCAGGCCAGCACGGAGGTACACACAGTCGTGTCTTGTCACCAACCCAAGCACGCCCCGAACGCTTGGGAGCGGGCTATTGAACATTGACAGCTGAACATTCCCTGTCGTATCGCTGCCGTGCCGTGTAATACGAGCCAAGATAGTCTTGAATCCAAGTGGCGGAGTAGTGTCAGAGACTGCTCGCCTGGAAAGGTTTCCGAGGACCGTGTACACATTTCGCGCAGAGGAGGCGGGTGTTGGCGGTCTTACACGAGGTTGCTTCCGGGAACTGTTTTCTCGGTCGATGTCGAACACGAAGGTTTTATGAGGGCCATGCTGCTTCGCCTGGGGGGAACTTGTGCTGGATACCTCGTATAGTGGCGCAGGTATGTTGGATTGGGGTCTGAGGTTTACCCTCGTGCGGCGAGCATATGGACCTGGACGTACCTCGTACGGTTCACATGATGACCGCAACAGCTGGCGACGTTGTGTTCAGCCTCGTTAGCTTTTGGACCCCACGTCGTACCTACAGTAGACGCTACATATGTACCTATACCGAGTACTTGTACCGAGTACATAGGAACCTATAGCAGCAGACGACGGTTCAAGGCACCCTCTGCGTGGATGGGATTTGCTGCATACGCGCGAGTACCTTTCACAAAATACTCAAGAGCCAAGAAGAGTGCGGATCAATCAAATTGCACCAGCAACGTAGTCATCACCCATGCATCATACCGTGCCATCGCACTATGTAGTACAGGATTGGGAAGAAGTAGAACAAAGCGAGGAGTAGGCATGGTGAAAGCCACGTTGTTGCGGTGCTTTACAAGTACGGGATCTTTGATTGGACGAGGTCTGCAGGCGAATAGGTCAGCGGTACAGGAATGAATGGGCCGCATCAAACAAGCTCGGTTCTGAACGGGTAATCACAGTATCCGCCTCCCTTATAGAAAAGGGCGCTGGGAGCCGATAAACAAAGTATGAAGAACAATGCACATAGAAAGAAAGAGATTGATCGCAAAGACACATTGTGGTTCTGTTCTGTTCTGCAATGCCTTGTCAGGACGGGATCAAATTCTGCATCTTGCTGTGTCTGTGTCTGCGGTATGGAGAAGATCCCAAACTCTTCCTGAATGCATTCGTGGCACCTCAATTTCACTTTTCGGTGACCAAGCTGTAGCGTCTCTCTCGCGCGACAGAGCCACCCTAGAACAATTTCCTTCTGTGCGTCACTGCGAAAGTTGCAGTTTCCATTGACGCCACAGCGCACTGTGTCTCTCGTAGTGATTTTTTGCATCATAAAAACATGGCAGGTTGGTTGGCGGAGCGGGTCGCATATGGACATTCACCCTCCTCTCTGCCGCAATACGAGGTCCTTGCAGGGCATAACTCATCAAAACCAAGACGGCGTGATCGGATCGTGACCGCAGCTCCAGACATGCAGGTTCTCGACTGCATGAACGTAGATTGTGCGCCTCCAGTCCCAGGATTCCGCGCACCGACCTAAAACCCTCTTCCTCTACCCCGTCCACGTCCACCGCCTCTTCCCCGTCCTCTGGGGCCGCCCCGACCCCGGCCGCCGCGTGAGTCGCCTTCTTTCCTCGCCTTGTTCTTCGGCTTCGGCTGGTCGTCGATGAGGAGCGTGTCGAGGGGCAGCGAGTCCGGCAGGATGTAGTATCTGATGGTCGAGCCGCGGATGTTGATGGTGTCGAGACTGACCGTGTCGCCGGGGGCGGAGGGATTTGCGCGGTTCTTGGTCGTCATCTTGACCGCCCGCAGGGCCGTGTTCATCTGCGGCGACACCGAGGTGATTGTGCCCGACACGATGGTGCCGTTCTTCAGTTCTATCGTGACGGATTCATTCGCGCATTTCATGAGGAACCTGCTCCAAGGTCAGCGACCAACGTAACCACCTTTGTTTTATGACCACGCCCAAGCCGGCGCAGGCAAACGCGACTGCAACAAAGACAGTCGTACGACAAAACAGGCGTGACGAACCTAACAAGCTTCATTTTGCGCCGGGTGCGCCACGGAGCGCGAGATTTGTGGTGGTGTCCGTGTCAGTCGTTGGGAGATTGCTGTATATTGTGAGGCGACCGTATCGAACAAGGCGCAGAGGAAGAACGGTGGTCGTCTTGGCGGTGTAAGGGCTGGTGTGGTTGAGATGTTTGTATCTAGTAGCAGAGAGGGACCAGAAATGTCAAAAATTGAGACAGCATTGGCAGCCTTGTGAGGAGCAGCCTTGTTGCCAAGCACCCGGAAAAATGATTCGCCGAAGACTGTGCACGAGGTCAAGGCTGACTGTCCTGAATGGCGATATACAAGTAGATACTGTAATCATAAAAAGCAATCTCTATTGTCTTCTATCTTAGAACCCTCAACTCTGATATATTATCGCTCGTGAATACATATCTGTCAATTCCCTGGCCTCGGAAAGAGAACCTCACGTCTACTTCTTTTTCTTCACGACCAAGATGACCATCCCGCTCCCACCATCGATATAGTCGCGCCCCTTGCCCTCTGGCACTTCCTCGAGGATCTCCTTCATTTTCCTGATCATCATATCCATCACGTCCTCCACCTCTCCCCTTTCCAATTTCTCTTTGTGGGCCTCTCTCCACCGCGTGATGGGACTCGCCGTGCCCAACATGGCTTTGATGGTTGCGAAATCCACCTTGCGGTACTCGGAGAAGGCAGTCCCGTCGGAGGCGATGCGGCCGTCGCGATCCGACTCGATCCTCTCAAACCGAGTCTCGTCAAACTCCTTCAGCAGGGTCTTTAGTTCTTGGTCCGCGCCGTCGATCCGGTCGAGGCATTCCCAGGGTAGTCCGAGATTGATGTACAACTCCCGTGCCAATTTATTACCGGGCTGCTCGTAAGGGGCCAGCACCTCCTCTTCAAAGACTTTGAACCACTCCTGGAGCTTCTCCGCATTGGGCGTGTTGTTCGGGTCACAGCGGTGCCCTCCCGAGCACCAGATTATGACGCTGCCGCCCGGCTTGAGGACCTTGGCCGCCTCGCCCCAGAAGCGAGGCATGTCGAACCAATGCGCGGCGGTCGCGGCCGTGATGAGGTCCACGCACTCCCGACCGTCGGTGCTGCCTGAAAAGGCTTTGAGAGCGGACAACGTGCTCAAAGCCTCAGCCGGGCAGACCTCGTACGCGATGGGTTCGCCCGATTTGGTCGTAGAAGGGACCGTCTTTGCCGTCTCGATCATGTTCTGACCGGGATCCGCGCCGATGGCATGTTGAAAGTGCGGGGCCAGGGACAGGGTCGCGATGCCCGGTCCACACCCGACGTCGAGCACTAGGTCCAACTGGCCGCCGGAAGAAGTGTGTTTCGAGATGACCAGGTCGATCAGCGCGTCTGCGTACCGGGGCCGGTGCTTGAGGTATTTCGCTGCCGACGAGGGATCGTAGTTGCGGAAGGTCGGATCCCGGGTAGTCGACTGCTGAGGCGTGGTAGATGCCATTGTGACCACTTTCACTGACACAGATGGTCTGTTTTGTAGGAGTGGAGAGTAGAAAGTTGGTTATTCAGGACGTTATTTGTTGCCGCAAAAGATTCAACCTCAGCTGCGATGCTTTGTATATCCTAGACCTTACACTCTTACAATCTTGGCCCTGGAGATCAGGAGGCAAGGGTTGATATAGGCACTTGTGTAATTCATTGGGTGAGTCATTCCCCCTGGATCAGGCATCAACATTTTGGGGAGGTACAGGAAGTCTCATTGTCTCGGTGTTCTCGGCAGAGCTCGGACCGGCCCGATCCATCCATCAGTCAATCAATTGACGGTGAGGAATTGAGTGAACGAGTGAGCAAGTGAGTCACCCAACAAACAAAGATATTGAAAAGAGAGTTTTGTCATATCCCTATCGCCATCGGCATGTACTCTATATGTGCCTCTTAGACATTTTTGGTGCGGAGCGGAGGGCGGCAGCAGCCACGAAGATAAAGTAGAGTGGTTGTCGTACTCAGTATGTATTTTGGATCTAGCCACTGCAGAACTCAAAGTATAAGAGATGGATACGGTCTCTGAGGCGGTTGATGACACCAAGTCTAAACGTTTAGCGCTAACCACAACCACTACCTGAGGTGAACCCCTTGAGGCCTCCATCGAGGAATATGTGACGCATGGTACTCAGATATACATATAAACAGCGGACTGGCACTGGCAGTTGTGCGGAAGCAGAGACTGTCATTCCTTCAATCTGCGCGATCCCATCGGGGAAGGGAGGCGTGCCTCATACGTCCCGAGCAAGATGTCCAGATGGGAGAAGTTGTCATTGGGGCTCCAGAGGTCGGCCCGGCCGTGGTACAGTATGACCCGAGGAAAGAAACGACCATGGGATTTGAAGTCACAAAGACGTTAAACAGACTCTCCCCGCTGTCCTACTGCAGGTCAAGGCAAAGACAAGGCCTGTAGGGATTGGTCAGCCCCATTTCGGTTGCTTGGGTGAGTGGGGCAAAGTTACTTTCCACGTCTAGAGTTCTAATAGATCCCAGTCTCATGCGACCCCATCGGGGCCAATTGGCTTTGGTAATATAGAGTAAATCCGCTGAGTATCAGAAACCACCGCTTGCTCTCGAAAGGCTAAAACGTGGTCACTTCCAAATAGATTTTTGAGGTGGTATGGGGGAAGGAGTTTAAATTCCGTGGCAAGATCACTATGGTGTGCTGGAAATATCTACCGAATGCGAATCTCGTCCTCCTGCCGCTGGAGGTCTAGACGATTTTTCTCGACAATGCCAGCACCCACTCGCTCATACACGCCCGGATCCGCTCCCGATGAAGCAGGAGCAACGACGAGAATGTAATACTTCTGTGTGCCCAAGGCGGCCCGAGGCTTGTCACTCCCCACGACGACACACTTGAACTCTGGAAGGTGCTTTGTGCCCGGTATGTCAAAGGTCACATTGTCCATCGGACGCGCGGGGGATGCCTGTGAAAAGTCTGTTGCGGTCGCAACGAGCTCGCAGAGAGGCATTCTGTCGTTGTTGTCGTCGTCAGCGCCGTCTGGTGGTTGATCTTGCGGGGACGGCGGAAATCTCAGGCTCGAAGCCCAGTCGACTTGGCCAAAGGGGACCTCGACGTAGGTGATGCATCCGTCGTATGCCATCCAGGACCAGGAGGGGACACTTCTCCGTGCAGGGTAGGTGATGCGGTTCATCTTCTCCCCACCTCGCTGCCACAGGACGCTTCGATTCAGAAACTTGTCAAAGACGCCGTACGCCCCACATGTGTCGAATGTCCGGATCAGCCGGTTTTCGAGGCCGCAGATGGCGATGGACCGGTCTCCCTTGTTTGTGAAAGCGAGCGTCGAGTACCGTTTGTAGATGAATTGGAAAAGCTCGATCCTCCCGCCCTTGACGAGACGTTCGGCGGCCTTTGGGAACTCCGAGTCACCCAAGATCGCCGACTTCGAGCTGGATGCACAAGTTAGGGCACGACTCTCGGTATCCTCTCAATAGGAGAAAGGGGGATAAAGATATGGACATACTTGCGCATTTTGATCAGTGTTTCACAGTGAACCCCATCTCCGCATTCCCAATACACTTGGGTGTCAGTGAAGTGGATGGTGCGCCGGGACATTGCACGCTCCTGCAGAATCCATCCACGTCGACTCAGTTCTCCCTCCTCGACGTCAGCGCCGAAGTTGTCAATGGCCTTGCAAATATAAAAGACATCTCCAGTCCTGTGTTTGAGCGTGACAAAGTCTCTCGGGGTCCTCGGTCGAAGAAAGCCGTGTGTTGTTCCCCGAGCACAAGCAGCCGAAAGAGTGCAATAGGCCAAGTTGTAGACATCTTCCATCTGTTTAGACTCCGTCTCCCAGTCCTCTGGGTCATCTTGCACAATGCAGAGAGAGTCGATCCACAGAAAAGGGACTCCAAGGCTTCGCGTGACTGTTACAGCATCTTGAAAGGTCTTTGGGAGTCTTTCAAAGCTGATCCAGTCCACAAATTCGTTGTAGTTTGTCCGAAGCGTGCAGAATCGCCGATGTTCCAATGGATCGCCCCAGCGGTGAGAAAGGGCAAAATATCTACCTTTCTCGCCTGGCTTTGATATATGTAGCCGCACTCCAGGGCTGTCATGGCTCAACACTTCGAGCACTCTCGTGGGTAGCTGTCCTTCGAGGGAAGGGTGGCAGTTGTGCAGTTTCGGATCGTCGCATACTCGGAGCCATTCTCGGCACAGCGCGATCTCCGTTGGACTCCCTGCCTTTGGAAGCTTTGGAAACCCAATCTGGACGGAGCTAGGTAGATTTCGAGACGCTACTGGTGGTGAGAAACTATGATAATTAGCGATTGGGGTGATTGGGCTCATACCTGGGCTGGTGCAGATGGATAGAACGGGAGGGGCGTGACTTTCGAGATGAAATGCCGAGCCAAATCTGTAGAAGTGAATGGGCTTTCCGCTTGACCTATCCAAGAATCCGACGCATTGGTAAAAGAGCCTACAAAGTCTACACTGGTGAGCCTTCTTCTCCAAGTCAGCAATAGTATCGCTTGTCGAGAACCCTGCTCTCCAGATATCCATTTTCCGACACCGTTCGCAAAGTTCCAGACGTTCGCTCTCTCCTGGCAGCACATCTTGCCAGCGGATTTGATGATAAACATTCCTCGCGAAATCATTGCTCAGGACAGACTCCCAGTTATCCGTCAGCTGGAACAATCAGCATCTCAACATGAATGATAGTCCCAAAGGTAGGATAAGAGATCGTACCGGCTAGAAGAGTAGATCATTGTCATTAGTATCATGTCGAAGTGTTGGCAAATGTATACATTAACTTACTGGCTAAAGGCAACAAGGGCTGAGTTAGCTATTGGTTTTCCAGTACCACTTGTTCGATGTTGTCCTTGTTGACTCACATGCTATACGCAGTAAGTCAGCTGGTATGAAGTGGAACTGCAGAGAGGATCATGCTAACATTCTAATGTTTAGCACATTTGTTAGCAGCTTTCTCATTCAAGACCAACTAGCAAAGGAGTGAGGTATACTCACATACTGCTATTCATCAACATCAGTCATTGGGGTGTCCGAATAGCCTGTGGCGGCAAATACCTCCTATAGATTGACGAATTAGACAATTCGCGTGGAGGTCGGCTTAAGTCGCGAAGAGTTATCTCACTTGCTGTGAACTTGGTCAAAATCTCAGTCTATTTGCGAGAGCAAGAGAAGATGTACGTACAGTTGCTCGGTTTTCGTGGTGAGAATTGATGCGGGGCAAAGCGAAGAGTGAATCCGTAGAAACCTATAGAGGCCGCAGTTAGCGCTGTTAATTGCTGACTTTGGACAAGGAAAGACGTATGTACAGTTGAATCCTCTGTGGGATTAGAACCGCTGACCGGTGGGTCGAAGAAAGGTACTTGAGGAGCCTATTCAAGGTTGTGATTAGCGTCGTGCAACATGACGTTGCTCAATATATAGTTAGCTCCCTTACTGTGACTCTGATGTTGATTCCGTGGGCTGTTCTATCGAACTGATCACCTTCACCGACTCGTGGCTGATTTTGATTCCCATCCGCGGGGGCAGAGACGTAACCTGGTACGGGTAGATTTTGAACGCCGAATCTTGGACGTGGTGCCCTGTGCTGGGTATTAGAATCGGAGTCTGGCCCACCTGGCCCGTGTGGAGAAGGGTCTGGCTTCTCGGCACATTTCGTCAGGTAAGGGGCATCTTTCTTCGCTTTCTTTCGGATGTTGGCCAGAATTTGACAGACCTCTTCTGACCGAGCGCGACAGTCATTGGACGGGACAGCGATGCCCGTCCGTTCGACTTTGATCACGAGCAGCCGATCTCGGACAAGGTCCAAGAGGTCTCCGAGAGCTGTATCTTTTGCGACCCGAGGATCCATCGCTTGCATCCAATTCATCCACTTAAAGACTTCGTCTTCAAGCATCGCATCCATGGAACTGGTTGCATTCTGTGGTGCCGTCCAGAACTTCCGATGAGTGAATGCCTCGTTGAATCTTCGGAGACCACCATTACCGTACAGAAGCCATATGATGAATTCCAAACAAATGCACCCCAAGGACCAGATATCGTACACTCGGGATCGGGCGACTTTATCAAGCAAGTCGGGTGGCTCATATCTTTGCGTACCAGACATGGCTACTGTCAAAATATGGCGGCCGGCCCTGTCGACGGTCGGGTTGGTATGGACTTTGGCCAAACCAACATCGGCGATTACCAGCTTTCCTCTTGCTCCCTTCTCGCCTTTGAAGTGGAGAATATTCTCTGGTTTCAGGTCGCCGTGTCGACAATTTCTCTCCTCATCGAGATGGTGTAGTCTGGATATTGCTACCGATAGGCCCCGAAGCTGATCGATGGCCCAATTGATCCAATCGAGATTGTTGGTTTCTGGATTTTCTTGTTCCCATACCTCGCGGAGGTTCCCACCGTTGGCCCAGGGAAAGATAAAGCATAGCTCACTCCCTCGCTCAATCACGGCGAACACTTCAATGAGATGCGGGTCTTGAGGCTTGAGCTCCCTGATCATTTCCAAGACTTCGCCCTCTTCTTGATGCATCCTCTCAAGCCGCTCCTGACCAGCGTGCTGAGACTGGCCATCTAACTGCTTCAGTGCCACGGTTGCCTGCTCATTGCCGAGTTAGCTTTAATGGCTATATCAGAATATCGGAAGAGGACCATACACTCGGATATCCTTGTTGATGCGCATGATGGATGGTAACACGGTAAACCTTGCTGAAACCGCCACCCTTCTCCTTTCCCACAGACACGAAGGGGAGTATGTGCTGCCCGTCGAGCTTGTACCGATATCTCTCCTTCTTGAAAACGGGTGCCATGAACTGCCACTGATTCTCGGCAAAATCATGTAAGCGGCCCGGAGTCCATTTCCACGTGCCGTCCTTGCTGACGAAGACATTCGATGCATCTTGAAATGAAACGTCAGAGGGTTCGTTTTCGGACAAGCTAGAAATTTCGTAGTGATTATCAACCTTCCGTATTAGCAAGGGAAGATGATCATCCATGAGCTTATGTTTGTAGCATCCGCCGATAGCCTCGAGAATCTCGGAGTAGACTAGTATCGCAAAGAGCTTCTTAGCTTTGGTTTGAATGAAGTCCACGAGTTCAGTCGTCACGACTATATCTTTTCTTTTCAGCTCTGCTTCGATATTTTCCTTTGTGAGGTGAGTATCGAGGCAACTCTCCGGCACGAACTTCTTTTTGTCTATACAACTTTCCCTTCGTTCGTCTCTCAACCTGTCCTTAAAACTCTCGTCTGAATCGTCGGACCACGTAACAGGCCAAGCGACCCGTGCGGTCATGTTGGAGTGCCTAAAGAAGAATTGGAAAGCGTGCTGTTGGCAGAACAAAGAGAAATCTGACAGAAGGAGGGGAATGTACGTCTTCGGCGGGCTTGATCAACTTTTGGTTTCGGTCTTCACTAAGCAAATATTTCGACAAGTAATATGTCAAAGAGCAACGCGACATCATTTGCAAAACCCCGCCCATTTGCGGCTCTGCCATGGGGTGCTGGCTAGAACATTGGCCAAGTAATTTGAGGGTGTATGAGGTGGATGCCTCATTGGTTGCTTTGTGAAGTAAGAGACAGAAGCGTGGTTGTGGTGAACGCCACTCGGCGCCTGCTTGGGTTCATGCAGGGCCCCAAACATTCCGTGAAATAACATCCAATAGAGATTCAACAATGATGAACCGGTCTTGGGGGCTGGTAGTTAGACATACCTGGTGAATAAGGCCCGGCTAGAGAACAGCCATGTGATTCAGCTTGTTCGGGTAATGTGCAGATGCAGTGCATGCTCAGCCGTCCACCAGCCCTCGAACCTCATATCGGGCATGAAAGGCGACAGACCTGTTTCACACTGATTGGCGCTTGATGCTGGCACTGCCACGTCCGATGTTGATGCGCACATGCTTCAAAGACACGTCTTCAACAGGCAGATTCCCCCACACAATAATAAAATACTTTCTGATAAACTGGACTCGTCTCTAGAGCTGGACGTATTTTGTGTAAGAGGAGAATTCCTAGACATGGCAGAGTCTCTATTCTCACAAACCCGGACACGAGGCAATGTGGAGCATGTCAATAGTGTGGGCGCAGAGCAGGACATCGAGCTCAATGGTCTAGCTTCACTGGAGTACCACGAACGCTTGACTAGATTTGCCCGTGGCGCGGTGCGACACTGGGTCAAGAACACGACAGTGATTGACTTCAGACCACTGTACGCTGTCAGCATCCACCACCAGCAACGACAATTACTGCAGGAGATCAGTACCTTTTTCCGAAGCAACATGACAGACGAACAGCTAGACAGGATCGGGAAACTATTGGGACAATACAGTAATTCACTATCCACGGCCTTGTAATGGCCTAAAGCATGGACCGCTTACCAAAGAACTAATATTGTGTCTAGCCAACACTCTTCGCCACTTTGAATTTATCCATTCCAACCGGTGGAATACTTACTTTGTAAAGAATATCGCTGCTTCGCGCGTTGACAATGGTCCGGGCTCGAGAATGCAAGCAGCATTAATATCGGAATTCGGCCTTGCTTTACCTGCGCCGCAACATACCTTATACTCGGATGACGACCTTCTCGGTTCCTTCGACCACTCTTTGATGGAGCATGGGACAGCTCGGGGCAAGACGCGTGGCACAGAACGACAGCAATCAGAGCTGGCACGGCAGCGCCGTGAAGGGATCAAGAGAGCACAGCGGAGATTCATATTTGCAATTATAGGAGGTCTGGTAATTGTGACACCGGTCCTGGTTATCGTTGTTGGTACGGTATCTGCGAAAGCGCTCGCAGTGGTATCGATCTCGATCTTTGCGTTTTCGGTAGTAGTTGCATTATTTTCTGCAGCAGAGCCTGAGAGTTTGCTTGCTGCAACCGCTGCGTATGCCGCGGTGCTGGTCGTGTTCATCAGTAATGCAAAGCCAGCTCCGGCATAAGGGACCGTGTGCAGCGGAAGTCCGTCAAACGGAAGCTCAAAGGAGCAGAAACTGAGTTGAGAGAACATGGTATCTTGGACGGATCCGCAGGAAAAGGAGAAGCTAGGCGGTATACGAGGTAGCAGAAGAAGAGCGGGGCACCTTTCGAAGGTGGTGGAAAAGGCTAAGGGTCGTATCGGCATGGCAGGAGGCTGAGTCCTTGAAAAGGGTGTCCGAGAGGTCGGGAGGGTTGCTCCTGTACTAGTAAGATCCAGCCCCGAGGCGTAATAGCCACGAGGCCCAAAGGCCAACCTACACTGTCATTGTCGGAGTGAGATCCACCACTTCTGCATCACACTCTGATCAGGGAGAATAATGGCGCGGCGACCAAAGTCTCAGCAATTTCGAGGTCTGGAGGGTAATTGGGCTCGTCGGCGAGCAGCCGAGAGGCGAATGGTTTGTATCCTCAGAAAAATGGTTACAAAGGACGGAATCCAACAAGTTGGATTATTGCTATGTGAAGCACTAGAAGATGCGAGTCTCGCAGTTAGTAAATCGATCGTTCTGAGGAGGTGCTGGAGAAGAAGATTGTGACTGCAGACAGAGTGGGAGGCGGAGACAAGAGTGCTTTAACTGGTCCTCCTCGAGTCAGGGATCCCGTGACATTCGCATCCCCCCAAACTGCTCTGCTAAATCGTGTTTCGTTTTCAATCTCCCACTTCCACTTGGCCCCCTTCCCTTTTCCCTCGTCCTTGCCCGGCCGAGTTTGAGCCACCCTTCCACATACCACATGCTAGAAGTCGAGTGGTGTCGAGTCCTGCAGGCAGGCTCAGGAACGCCGACTCCGATCGCAGCAATACTCCCGCGGCCGTGTCACATACACATCCATGATCCATTAATTCACGTGAGACTCGCGCTATACCTATTACGACCTCACAGGTCGACAATCTCCTGACTGTGAGGGTCGCAAGAGGAATAGCGCACAGATAGACTGAGGCGTGGCGGGACAGCTCCTCGCAAAGACCCTGCATGATCCTCGACAATCATCCAATCACTCCGAGAGATATGGACGCGCTGTTGCTGTTGTCTGCTCCCCTACTCTCTTGTGTCGGGTAAGCAGCTTGGCTCGCTTCCAGGTACACCGTCTCAGACACAACAACTGACAGGTACTATCAAAAGCAAGCACAGTACTTCTATCCAATCGAAGGCCTAGAAGAGCGATCCCCGCTTTACTTTGGTCGAATCACAGGAGTCCTCCTCCCTAGAATTATGTTTTCAGCCAAGACTCCAATGACATACCATCAAGATTGCGTGGGAGAGCCTTTTGGAAAAACCCTTTGCGGGGGATTTAACCAAGTGTGTCCAACGACATTGCAGATATGCATCCTAGATGTTCCGGAACTGTTGCTAAAGATTAAAAAAGAAACTCATTGGACACGAGGCGAAGACTTGAAAGACCAGGATGTATAATGCAGTACTAGATTAGCACAGACTAGTGTAGACTAGAGAGAGATATCGCGGGACGGCTTCACGGATTCATGGACTGCAGGGTTGAGACTCGGGAAGAGCCAAATCGTTTCGATGAGAGATTTGCATTCTGAGGATTTCAGCGTGGGCCGTCACCCGCTCTCCATATGCAGAATCGATACCCAAGTCGACAACGAAGGAGGATTGGTCTAATTGTCGGCGTGCGCTGTGCTGTATGCCCAATGGGTGACAAGTCGTCAGGGAACAACGGCCGTCCGGCGATACTGGTCGTCGTCCTATTCCCGCAAGGTTGGAGACTAATGCTTCAGACGTCATCTACTTGTGTTGAGCCCACTGCAAGTCCTTTAGAGGAAGCTAACTAAAGCTGTAGAAGGGATGTTTCTGATTAACACGAGGAAGGTGGTAACAGGGAAAAAGTCCTCGGGTGTATATAAGAAGACTCAGGAGACCACAGCCTTCTCAAATAGAGGGAGTCAAATATAACTACGATCGATGACAGGAAGAACAAACATGTACAAACCTACACTGATCTCCATCTCCATCTTTGCATCTGTGTTGGTGATTCTTTTCTCAGCGATGTACTTTGCCAGAGTTGCTTTCTCTGGTATTGGTGTCTGTACCATTCACTTCAGTGTGTGCTCTCTCGCCGGGATTTGAGAAGAGGAACATAAACGCTTACTTCTCCTTTCCATAGTGAGCAATATTCATCACAACGATGGAGGACAAGTCCTCTTTGTGAGATGTCATCTCCAGGTGTGTCCCGTTATCCTGCACTTTGCTTGTCGTTTCGTGGAAAACTTATTTGGTCAATGCTAGAGACCGGCTTGATGCCCCTGCTCGCCGCGTTCGACCCGGTAGCGGGGAATATTAACTACCACTACCACTATCCACCGCCGGTGGATGGAGAAAGGGGACTGGAATCGGCCACTTTCACCGGAGGCCATTGTGTGTTTTCCGCAGCCGCGACGACTTGGAATGTACTTATTTTGGGTTGTGCGGTGGAGTTTTATCGATCCGGACCTCACGGGGAATCATGGAGGTAAAAAGGCAATGTGTAAAGACAAGCCTACGTAGGCTTTGCGGTAATTCAAATGCAGATGCGGGACGTTTCGCTCTGGGTCTCTACTAAACAAAGACTCGAAGTTAGTTAGACCAATTATTTTGGCCCACATGTGCTGCTTTTGATAAGTTGTCGAACCTGAAAAATGTCTTTGCTGGGGGAGTCTGTTGACCCGCAGCTGCGCCCTTGACCGCCAAACCGCTGGCAACCAACCACCTTTACCTTCATATTGCAAGATGTGATTGTGTACTCGGTAAGCGAGCGCTATACCTCTTGCGATCTCACAGGTCGACGAACAGTTACCTGTGAGATCGCAAGAGGAATAGCGTTTTACGTTCGACCTGTAAGGTCGCAAGAGGTATAGCGCTTCACGTTCGACCTGTGAGGTCGGAAGAGGTATAGCGCTTCATGTCCGACCTGTGAGGTCGCAAGAGGTATAGTGCTTCATGCCGAGACGATTCAGACTGTCGATCCTCTCCAAATCGCGTCCCGAGTCTTCCAAGGGCAAGAAGAAAGATGACCACTTTTATTTCACAGAACTCGACGACAAACCGTGCGAATATGCTCGTCTGCGCGGTCAGATACTCCACTGGGTACAGACCGAAGAAGGCGTCTGATTAGCCGAGGACTCGCGCCAATCGAATCGAAGCCCTCGCCATGCAAGCCCATCATGGATCCATTCGGCACCACTACTCAATGTGAGCATGCTGTGCACCCCACAAATCGTGGCCAAGACGGATCCCGACGATCAATTACCCTCTACCCCTTCCTTGTGATGCAGAGGACGGGACAATGCTAAGCCTCTTTGGTCTACCTGATTCGATCCTGGTGTCTTTTCCGTCTGCGTGTCGGCACTCCATTTCCACATATGTACCGAGTACTGTACCGAGTACTCGGGACGAGGTTTACGTGTATGTAGGACAGCGTGTACAACCCCCGTTGCTGGAAAACACTAATATATCAGCGTCGTCGACTTACACCAGCGTCCTTCTCGGGCCGTAATCACAGGTTTATTCCCACGCCATCGCACCGGTATTCGCTCTGGCACTGGTTCAGATGAGGAGGCGTGGTTCGGCTCAAATCCGTATACGGGGTATCTATCTACAAGCTCAGCACGCCGAGTTGTTGGTGGATGAACCGATTTATCACACGTTGTTGAATCGTCTCAAGCACATCAAATCATTCATTGCCTGATCAAGCACCGTGCTGCTCCACCGCCCAGCCACCATACCCCAAAAAGGGTGAGAACCAAGTATAACCGATCTTCGCGACTAAGTATATATCGGCTCTGCAGAATAACACCGATCAACGCCTTTCCTTCTGTCTTGTACAATCACCGCTGCAATGAGCCAGTGTCACGAAACTCATTCACGCTGAGCTTTCTAGCGGTAAGCCGCATGGCTCGGGTATATCTATGTGTCTGGGCAAGTGGTCGACAGCAAGATGGCTATCAACTCGATCGTTCTGCATACAGATCATCAACCGACCCTGTTGTAGTTGCCAAGACATCGATTCTGGCTTCCTTCCATGGCGGAATGGGCTGTCGTCAGTCGCAGCATCGCCCACGAAACCAATCCGCCACTCAGCACTTGCGGCATAGTAGCCTATGTTGATTACAACTCGGTGTTGCCACTTTTGGCATATCAAGTCGAAGGACCGCTGGTCAAAGAACTTTGGTCCTGCCCGTCCGGAAAGAAATATGCTCCCACTGCCACGATCACATAGCACGCACACAACAGCGCACCTTCCAAGTAGTTGCTGCGTCCATCCAGAACGAGAAAGTTGACGATGAAAGTCGAAACAAACAACGACCCGGTCTCGAACAAGCTGAAGTAGAGGGACATGTCCTTATCCATGATCCACCCTAGAATGACGACGAATGGAGTGACAAAGAGCGCAATTTGAATGGACGATCCGAGCGACACGCCCAAGGCAAGGTCGAGCTTGTTCTTGGCGGCCACGGTCACTGCCGTGACATGCTCCGCAGCATTTCCAACAATGGGCAGAATAATCAATCCAATAAACGCCTCGGACAAGGGAGAATTTTCCACTAAATGTTCAATGCTTCCGACAAGAAATTCCGCGCAGAGTGCAACAAGAGCAGTGGAGACAATCAGGAGGACTATCGATGCAGTTTGGCTCATGGGAGGAGCGTCTTCTTCTGCGGGGGGACTTCTCGGCGTAGAGCGGCGTGCAATCCGAGCAACGGCTGGACTTTGCTGATCGTTGGGTGCTGACTGATAATGTCGAAGCGGATGAGAAGGATAATTTGCGTCTCTGCCTTTGGGAGAAGGATGTGTGGACGATCGAAAAACTGGTGGAGGCCGGAAAGAGAGTCCGCGAGGCCCGACAGTCGGTTTCTTGTCCTTGGCCGAAGCTGCAGGGGGATTCGTTGGCATCCCTTCTTCCTTCAATTCATCTTGCGACTTCATTTCCTCTGGCTCGGCAGTCTTTTCAGCATAATTATCAATCACATTCTGTCCAAACTGTATGGATCCTTCTCCATTGTCTGGTTCAGTCGCCACCTCAGTCTTCACCTCGCGTCTCCTGCTCAGTTTGGCCCTGAGTCTCTTGCTTACACGTCGATGTGAGCCGGCACTTGTGACCGAGGATCTTGAAGAGCTGGCCGAGGAAGAGCTTGAAGAGTCGAAACGCTGAAGAAATCCTGGCGTTGCTTCTTCATCGATGATATGTTGTGGAGTTCCTTGGTAAAGATACGCATGAGACTTTAGTTGGAACAGCAGATAGAGGACGTAGATGATGAGTAGGATCACGGAAGTCCCTCGGCTGAGTTTGATAACAGCACGATCAGCTTTCTGAAGGTCACTGAACGACGCGTGGAAGGCGGTCTGACGATCTGAGTTAGCACACCCTGGACTACGAGTCCCGATCAGCGCAAAGCACCAAGACTTACCGGAATCAGCAAGCTAAGGACTGCCAGCGCCAGTAAGCAAGCCGACATTTGAGTCACAGTGCTGTCGTAAATCTGCTCCTGGAATTCCAGGCCACCGATCAAAAAGGCCATACCCAAGATGAGAAGGAGGTTGGCAAGCAGTGAGCCGATAAGAGAAGCCTGGACAATGCGGATCTCATTTTTGACCAGGGCGATGCTTGCGTGAGGTTAGTATTACTTTCGAAGTGGGAACTAAATATCACATACATGCTTCATGCTGTTAGCGCCACCCGTAATCAATACAGTGAGATAACTTACAAGATGATCAATTCCACTGCATTTCCAAAACTGACATTCAGGAGAGCTCCCAATGTAGGCCCAAGTCGATGCGCAACACTTTCAGTTGCGAATGTCAAAAGGCCAGCCAAGGGGATAATGGCGACCGCATTAAGAGCAAAGACTACATTCTGGTTGATTCCAGTAAAGTGGATGGCGATGCCCACAGGCACAAAAACAAGTAGAACATTCACCCAGCTGTGGAACAGGGCGACTTTGACATTGGCGACGACGCGACTGAGAATGGAGCCTTTGGGGGGTTTCTGCTTTGTCGAGTCGTCACCCTGCGGTGGACTCGTGTTCGGCGGAGAGACTTGACTGTCACGACCGGGCGACCATGGGTTGAAGTTGTGCCTGTGAGCCGACGAATGTGCCCATGCTCTCACGCGATCTGATCAAATCTCAGCACGCGCGGACATGAAAAAGGGGGCTGACTTACGCATCTTTGTTGGTTGACTCGAAACCCGCCAGCCAGCATTATTGGGGAGCAGAAGTGGGAAGCAGACGGTCTGACTGGGGGTTAAAGATAATGGGATCGAAAGAGAAGAAACAACCAAAGCGCAACGAAGACAAAAACTCTGTTGGGTTGAAGTGCCGCGATGACGATGGACAAGTTGAACTGGGACGCGGTTTGGAAAAACATCTTGGCAGGTGGCGCTCACCAAGGAAGGGCTATCTGCCAATCATAGAGGCTCGTTACACGTGATACTGCCAAAGATGACGTCAAGATTCAGGTACCGTGCCAATGACGCCACAGAAGCCACAGAAGCCACAGGAAGTGGTGTGGCCAAGAGCACTAAGCTCACACGTACAATGCTCGGCAAAGTGACTCTATTTTCCACAAGATCGTCCGAACAGCACTAATTACGAGGTACCGAGTTACACCCTCCACAACTTCTCCAAGCCACCTGCACCCTGACACTCAGGCCACTGACCAACTTGCTGTACCTGTTTATTCAATGCTGACCCCACCTTTCAAGTACAGGCATCGCTGAACCTCTCCACAGCACAACAAAACGAGGTACGGTCCCATACATCTCCAAGAACCAACCACCTCTTATAGTGCCAGGGCCAATAATTCGCTGTGTGTTCAACAGAAGCCTGTGATTTGCGATGCCACATCTCCTAAGCGATCAAACAGAGGACTCGATTGTTAGGTTAGCTGAGTGAACCCCCACGGATCACCCCAGGGCGGAGGCGAAGTGCGCAAGAAGACGATTTGGCGGGCCGATCCGCCAATCTCAGTGGTGGCCCTGCCAGCCACATGTGCAGATGCCGGCTGCATTAGCCCAGATTTAATCCCTCATGTCGTCTGTACTTGTGGGTTGGATCCGATGAATGCTGGCACCTGTCAGCAACCTTGCACCATTAAACTGCGGGGGTAGATCCCAACCAAGCTCTGGCTGCTCGTGAGGAGGGTCAGTGGGCGGCACAGCGCCGCCAGAATTCGAGTCGAACAGGGTCAAGAGAATGTCGAGGACGTGGTTGAGCTGGGACTGTTTGTATTTATGGTATTCCGCGCTGGGAATCTGGGCGTGGAGGTGATCGAAATTGTAACATTGGTCCAGGTAACGGTTCACGCGCCGCATGCAGGACATTATGGCGTCTGTTCGCGCACTGTTGATCGCAGACATATTAGATGGAAAGACAGGAGAGACGATGGAAGATCTTCCACTCATCTGGGATGTGACGATTTAAGTGTTTGAAGATCCTGGAGACTCCCAAGAACCGGGTTCTGTTGTCCCTGAAGGTCCAGAAATGTCACTGACAGTCCCCATCGCAACTGACCACAATGCTTGTAGAGACACGGAGACCTGAAACTCCCTAGCTTCAGACCAGCAGGTAGAGAGACTACTCGCACAGACCAACAATCATGTTTGGTACTTGTAGCTGGCACGGACGAGGGACCTTTGGCAAAACCGGAGACGGGCTGTGGGATTCCATTCGCCCATGCCCGGGACCTTTAGTGATAAATATTGGAGACTCTCTCTACCAAGTACTTGTTTGCGATGGGTGACGGCAGACTGGATGAGTCGAGGCCACACCGCCGCTAATTCTCCCATCTGACCCTGGTGTTTGAGGCCAATCAGCGTTCCCTGCATCGCGATCGTGAGATTGGTAGGTTGTGACCTGGCGGTTGCGCGTGTCATGTGCAGAAGGTGTGCTTGGGGTGCGTTTGCCCGAAAAGCCCATGCATGAACCGGCCTGCGGGCTGCCCTCTCATTGACGGCATGGCAGTGGTGCGCAAAGGGCCCGCGATTGCTGCCGGTTACCTTTATGCAGGGTGGGCTGCAATAACCCGAGGTGTTTGAGGCACGAGCGAATGGACATGCGTTGTCGCGCTGAAGTAAGGTTTCGTAGTTTCGTGGCTCGTAAAAAGTCCCGTTCACGAGGAAACAAGTGATGAGTCTTCGGGGTAGGATATGTGCGAGTCCAGACTCTGACGGCCCTTTGACAGTTGACAGAAGAGGATGGTGTTACCTGTGTACCCAAGTTCTCAGTGATAGCGACAAGCACTCCTATTGTGTCGTTGTTGTGTACCTTACAAGCGTTGCCTGCGCCCACGAGACCTGGCAGGTAAAGATTGCTGCCGAGGTCCGGCCCTCCTGAGCGTGCGGTGTGACTGCCGGGTACTTGAGCGAAGTTTGTAACTCATACTTACATAGGTACCTAGGCATGCCCAGGCCAGGCTCCTGGCTTCCTAAAGATCCCATGCCAGGGAGTTTAGGGGTGTCAGGCTGGCAATGACAACCCCTCCTTTCCTCCTTTCCCGTTTTCCATGCCCCGCAGACACAAGACCTTGTAATCCTCCTCGCTTCTTCTGCACATCCATCATGCCCCAGTACATACAAACTTCACCAGCGAGCCGGCTAATGTTCAACATGAATATCGACCAAATATCTACTTAGCTTCTTTTGTTCTATCAAAAGGTTTTCATGTGCAGCAGCTCCCTTTCCACCCACTTATCATTGATGGCCGCCTCACGAAATCTCGGCCTAGTGCCTCGTACAACGCTAGCCACCTGGAGCTTGCTGTGTATACCTCGTCTACATATATTTCTAGGTTTCTAGGTTTCTAGTCGATCTCTTGAACCATCTTCAATCGACAGAAGCTAACAAATCTCTGACAAAGCTGACTCTTGACAGTCTTCATTCCCGAGGTGCCCTCCAGGACTCCTCCCACCCTCTCCTCAGTCATTCATGAACTTGACGAATCAACTCACAACTTCGCACCGCCATGCGATCCCCGCATCGTCTTCGCCGCCGCCGCCGCATTTTCCATCCTCCTCAGAACCCCCCTTTGGATCTTCCCGCTCGTGGTCTTGGGCAAAAACGCCGGCTCAACGAACTGGATCTTGCGCGGGTACTTGTACGGCGCGGCCTCCTTCTTGCAGAAATCCTGAATTGCGCGGATCAGCGAGGCCGCGGTTTCGGGGGCGAACGCGCGGTCTCGGTAGTCCTGGGTCGGCACGATAAAGGCCTTGACCACTTCGCCGCGGTTGGCGTCCGGGGAGGCCACGACGGCGGACTCGAGTACGGCCGGGTGCTGTTTCAGGACGGATTCGACTTCAAAGGGGCCTGTTTGGGGACATGTTCGAGTGGTTAGACACTGCATAAAACGAAACCAGCTTTCTTCAGAGGGAAAAAGGTAGGGGCAAATGGATAGATCGTGTACTCACCAATCCTGTAGCCACTCGAATTGATCACGTCGTCGGATCGGCCTACAAACCAAAGATACCTGTCTGCGTCGCGATACGCTCGATCCCCAGTAATATGCCATTCCGCCGCGTACTTGCCTGGTCGACTTCGCGATGACAGCGACGATGATGACGACGACGACACTCTGGTAGCCCGACTCACCTGACCGTCTTTCGAAATGTATCCGTCGTAGACACCCTTGGTCCTCCGGCCGTGTTCGTCCACCACTTTGACTGCGAGGTCACCTTCCGTGTTGTCGGGGGCAATGTTGCCCTGCTCGTCAATCACGTCGAGCGGCACGCCGGGCGTGGCTTTGCCCATACTGCCCAGCTTCACCTTGACACCAACGAAATTCCCCGCAGCCATGGTCGTCTCGGTTTGACCATACGCTGTTCGCGGCAGGAGTTAGATGTCATCGCGTTTCTTCGATGCAGGGCAAATAGGAACAGAGAACGGCAATTGGAGGAAGTTGGGAAACATACCGTCCTTGATTTCAATCCCACTCATGGCTTTCCACACATTCACAGCCTCGGGATTCAGTGGCTCTCCCGCGCTAACGCAATGTTGCAAAGCTCTAGGTCTCCTCTGCGCAAAGTACGCCTGCATATCCGGGGTGACGAGCTGGCGATACGCGGTCGGCGGCGCACAGAGAGTGGTGATGTCGTACTCGGCGAGCGTGTCGATCAGCGACTGGGGAGAAAACGCCCCTCGGTCGTCTTGGATGAACAATGTGGCGCCCATGTTCCAGGTCGCGAACCATGACCTAACCCCCGGGGGAGACACATTCAACTCGTCAGAAAATTCAGGACCTCGTCATGAAGTTCCTGTAATGAACTGGCCTTTCCACACTTACCATCCTGCTTTGGCCCATCCCTGCTCGGCCAGCGTCCAAAAGACTTTGCTTTGATCCAGATCCAACCAATATTTACCAGTTGAAGCATGAGCTACCGAAATGGTCAGTTAATAATCGCTCTTGTTCGGGATGCCCTATGCCAGTGGAGGCGCCATCTGGCGCAGTAGAGGGAAAGCCCACCTAAGGGGTAGGAGACCTGGTTATGAAGCACCATTTTGGGCAGGCCCGTGGTCCCGGATGTGAAATAGATGATGCAAGGGTCCGACCATGTGGTCTTGGGCCCGATGAAATCCTGCAAAGACGTCTGTTCCAAGGCTTGCCGATACTGGACCGCGTCTTCGTGCGGTTCGCCGTCGACCTGCAAGATGACTCGCACACTGGGACATCTTGACCTGACTCCGAGGAAAGCACTGATGGTCGATCGATTACCAACGAAGATGGTACATTGCGAGGCTTGAACACGGTACTGGTGAAGCCATACAGGTTAGCCGGATTTCTCATCACCCTCTTCCTTGATGGCAAGACCATCTTTGGCGCTTGCGGCTCACCTCGATATCTTTGGGTGTCGCCAGCACGGTACACGGACAGAGGACAACCCCAGACCGTATCGCGGCTGTCGCAACCTACAGTCCACCTGTTAGCCCAGCCTGCACACCTCGTACCATCGGATGTATTATAGGAGTCGAGATGACTTTCCTCCCACCTGCACGCCTGCCGTGTCAGCGCCAAAGTCTTCCCATTTGCAAACCACACTCAATGCATGAAATACTCACCATGCGGGTACTCTGTTCGAGACGATCATCAACCGATCTCCACATTGGACGCCAAGGTCTCTCAACAGGTGTGCAGCCCGATGGCTCTGGTCTCGAAAGTAGCGATAGGTGAATGTGCGAGGGGGGGAATTGCCGCGAGGGCCGGCCGTCGTCCACAGCATCGCGCGCAGGTTGGGGTCGATGTGTGCCCATTTGTCCACGACGTCTGTCGCGAAATTGAAATGCTCGGCGGTAGAGGTCAGAGGTGCTGGTAAAGACGCCATTTTATGCCGCTGTCTAGAGATCGTCGACGAGTCTGAATTTCTCAACGGTATCTTGAGCACGGAAACAAACAAACAGGAATGGAGACAGAGGGGAGCCGAATATCTCACCAGAGGTACACAGGAAGGGGGTGGTGAACACCGAGGATTCAAGATGGACGTGGAAAAAGTCCCTGGATTGGCCGGGAGGTATATTGCGGACCACATTCCCGGAGACAGCTTCGAACTAATTGACTTTTGTTCTGACAAGCCATGAAAACTCGTGGCTCGCTATCTAGTTCGACATTCACGGAGAGACGTATAGCCGGGCAGACTATTGTGAACGGTCTCGAACGCATGAAGCACTGGGGCCCAGAGATTGTAAAACGAGACGAACACGGCCCGCTGATCCTGTTCGCTTAGATGGATGTGGAATGGGGCACATGCGACGAGCGACGCGAGCGATGATTGGTGGACAAGCCGGACCGAGGGCTTCTAACTTGTATAGGAAGGCATCGGCACGAACTGGTCGTGCCATCTGGACTCCGATGGCCTGTTGGCCGTGTGTGTAGCGGCACCATGTCCGGGGATGCTTTGCCGCGAGACCTCGTAATGACTTCATGTCTGTGGTTGCCAGGAGGCTTACGACGATTTTCCCAGCTGACCTTTGAACAGCAAATTCCATGTAGAGGCCAAGATAGGATATACTAGAACTGAGTTTTAATTTCCTGACACTGATACCTGGTATTATGTGTTGCTGGGGGCTCAGGAAATGCTTACACCGTTCTCCGGTATTACTCCAGACTCCTCACTATCATCTGTTGCCCATATCAAAAGGCGCTACTCGGTCCGTGGGCAGAGTTGATAGAACCAAGGACGTACCCATTTTCGGGAAAAGGGTTCGACAACGCCAGAATTGATACAGTTTACCACAGAAGCATCAGGCCTCTTCAGCATTGATCTGTCGTCTGAGTAGCATTGAACCTGTTATCTTCCGTCGTGCTGGTGTCGGTGCCCGGGACTGTCGTAAAAGCCACCGAGTCGCTCTGAGATACAAACCCCAGCTGGGCAACGCTGGGACTGCTGAATAGATCGTACCATGAGGAGTTGTTGTTGAACCAGAAACTATCGTCCGGACTCTCGTTGGCCGTCTGTTGCGCGATGTTGCCGTTGGACAACGTGCTATAGTCGACCAAGGACCACAGCATCTCCGTGTCGGCGGGCGAGAGAATCTGAATCTCAGGCTTGTCGCTGGCAAGTTCGCTTAACAGGTACGTCTGTGCCGCGAACACGTCAAGTGCGAGAGCCTGGGGGTTAGATAGAAATCAGTCCAAGGTCTGCACTGAGCTGGCTTGATGATGTGAAAGTAGCGAACACATGGACATTTAACAAATGCTTTTGGGACTTACCATCGTGGCGACGTTCTGCCAGTATCGACTGATATCTTCGATGAATGACGTGGTTTCCTGAAGGAGTTCGAAACAACGCACTTGGGCGTCGCCTGTAGCCGCATGAGCATTCATGATGAAAATCGTACCAGAAATGATGGCACAGTAGCCGTAGAACGATGTGTGCGAGATGCAGCCAGCCTTGCGTGCGTCCTGCAACAGTCCGATCAAACCCTTGGCCGAGTCCAAGCCGGACTCGAACGCCCGGGACAGAAATCGGCCAGAGGCGACCCTGTTACATGATGCAATCTTGCGTCTCAGCAGGAATGGATGGTTCAGCAGACAGTTACACAGGTGGAACAATGCTCGGGCAAAGACTATGGGGCCGGCATTGGCCTGATCCACGACACCAGCAGAATTGCGATATGGTCCGAGCATATCCTCCAGGGGCTTGTGCATCTCCATTTGCGTCTCCAGATATGAGAGATCGGAGCCGATGGCGGCAAACTCAGAGCTGGAGTCCCAGGGTGGGTGTCGGTTGACACCAAACTCCTGCAGCATGTACTGGGCGGCGCGTCCGAGAATGTATGCTATCAGGATAACATGAGCGAATGGGCTGTGCTGCGCAGAGTTCGAATGCGCGCCGTTGGATAATTGCTCAAGCTTCGATGTCTCTTTCCATTTTTTGTCCCTCCATGTCGCCTCGTCAACGGGGAGCTGTAACTGACACGAAGCATTCAAGATAGCAGGGGGACGTCCTCGGCCACAAGACACCAGGCGATCCAAGAGATATAGCGACCAGAAAGTTCTTCGACGTTCTTCGGCTTCGTCAAAAGGTATGTGGTTACCTGGCTCGATCATGAAGCGCAAGTCTTGAGCAATGCGCACTGCCATGCCAATTTTGACCCATGCAGCGCCATGTCGACTTGGTCCAGCTAGATAGAACAACAGGGGAACCAAAGACATTGTTAGTGACACTCATCTTTCATGAACCCGAGTAAAGGAGACCGGGGACGGACACTTACCAGTAAAATCAAATATTGCAAGTAGCGTGATTGTCTGCACTGTTCGAATGTCTGCCTTTTGATTTGCAGCAAAGCATGTCTCAACGATTAGATTCCATGAGCGATTGGCATGGGTCGTGGCTGCTTGTTCCTTGGTATGCTCGAAGAAAGAATTCCCAGAGAACCGGATAGCGTTCGAAAACACCGCAAAGAGCAAGTGGTCGGGAATCTCGCCTCTTGACAAACGATCCCGGAAATTGCCTTCGTGGAAAAAAGAGTAGGGTTGATTGTGGCAGAAGGTAAAGTAGATGTCGACTGTCTCCAGAAGAACAGGCAGCGGCGCCAGCCTGAGGAAATCTGTCTGTCCAGCGGTGCTTTCCGTGGCACCAGTCAAAGCCGAACCTGTGGAACAATTGCCGTTGGCCGGAAGGCCAGTGTATGTCCCTGTGGTAGAGATCCTGCTAGAGGACTCGACCTGACTATTTCCAGTTCGAGATGACTCTGACATGGCCTTTCCGCTGTGAGAATCGAGAAGTCGGTCAGATTCGCTAGCTTCCGTCTTAGTATCTCTTGAGAAGGATCGCTGCAGATTGAAAACGTACGATTCTATCTTCTCACTGAGGTTCTTTAGGAGTCGTTCGATCGTGTCGAGCCGCGTAGTGATTTCTGCCTGTAGTGTTGTCAGTGACAGAGGGCTGGAGAACAACGTCCTACTGGAACGAAGTGCTTTTACTAGTTGTGATGCCGGCACCATCCCTTCAACGTCCTTGCCATGCATCGCTCCTCTATTGACGCCGTTGCCGTTGCCATTGGTGTCAGCATCAGGATAATGGCAGTCTGCGTTGTAAGAAGAATGTTATCCCAAGACGGGAAAGAAGAAGATGAAGTGGGCAGTACCTACACTGCGCTAATCGTCTGCAGCTCTCGCACCTGGGCCGCTCACCGGTGCAGCGGGTCTTTCTCCGTCTGTAATGGAAAGCAGGGTGTTAGTATCAAATCCTTGGTGGTTAAGTGGCACGAGAGCAAACAAGCAGACGTAGCTACTCATCGGAGTATCTATGAATACGGCTTGACATAGTGACAGTAGCCGCCCAAGGAAATCGACCCACTCACCTGCATAGAAAACAGGCTTGGGCGATACGCTGCACAGGCCGATAGTAGGTACTTGATGTAGACATATCTGGCTCTGGGCCACGAGGGAGTTGGAGCATGACGGGTTATGGTACAAGGCAAGAGAGTCGGGCAAAATCCTTGGGCCTTGGGCAGATATTGCGAGGGTGGCTCTTTTGGACAACCGTGGGCAAGCCAAAGCGGGGTAGCCATCAAGTAATGCCTAGGTAACGGCACCCATTGGATAGGTGACTTGGCGCCTCCGTTTGAGGGGGCGGGATTGTCCCCGGAGAACAAAACATACTGCAAATTCAACGCTGGCGAGCCCTTGGGGTATTCAACTGTAGGCAAAAATAAACCCCCCTTGTCAGTTGTTTAGCAGTCGGACTTGAATCATCACTTGTCAGATACATCACCTTCGTTCACTGACTGAGCGCCAAGATACGTTAGCAGAACTCTAGATTTTCATCTATGGGGTCTATCAAGCCATAACTGGCAGCATTGAGCCTTTGTCAGATACTAATGTCAATCTCATAGAACAACTCCGAGTATTGAGGAAGATACACCTGTGCTGTTTGGAGAAATCTAACCAATCATATTCCAGCTTGGGGCTCAGCCTTGAGCGAAAATTGGTAAGCGTGACCCGTCTTGGAAGGTAGTTTCCTGTCTTGGCCATATAACCCCCACTTATGTCTCGTGCGGTAAGCTCCTGCGGGTGACAACTTCTTTGTTCTTGTCAAGACATTCGCAAAAGGTATATCATCGGCTTCCACTTTGGCTGGTCCGCCCTAGAGCAAAATCCAGACCTTGTAGTAAATTGTCCAGGAATTTGGCATTTACTTGCAACCCTGGTGTCGACCAAAACACATGCGGATAGCCCTCATAGTGATCACGCCGAGTCAGAACGCTGAGACGGACCGAGTCAGCGAACAGCAAATATAGTCGGTGTATGAGTTTGAACCAACCCTTTGCTTTGCGGCTCGCGATCCATTAATATTCCATCATCGCGAAGTACATCAGCGCCGCAAGTGACAAGATAGGTTCGCGGCAACGTGGCCAAAGATGGCGATAGCAGCACGGAGAAAGTGCTGTCATATGGGTCATGGCCGTTGGCATCTGGAGATTGTAATAAGTGATGTATACGCTTGCGAGCTGAAGACCACACTTGGGACGTACCCATGAAAATGTCCAAAACAGCCTTGTCGATAATCGCACCATCTTTGTTTTCTTCCATCGACTTGTAGGAAGGTAGAATATCGGGAGGTACCGCCTTCTCAGCAACTACCACAGGAGCTAGAGCAATGATGCCGCGGATGGAGACGTTTTGTGAACGTAGAGCAATGGCCGAGGACAAAGCTAGTTGGGCTCCTGCAGACACGCCACAGAGGAGCAGTTCTGGAACTGGGTTGTGACTAGCTGACGAGTTTGAGAAATGAGAGATAGCCTGGCTTCATAATGAGAACACAACACGCAATGTAGAGAGATGTAAAAACCGCACCCATTTTCCAGCAGCGACACAATCCTCCAACGATGCAGGCCACGGATGTTCAGGCGCGAGCCGATACTCGACAGACACGAAGGGGACCTGGGCACGCAGACACAGTTTCTGGATAAGTTCTGTCGCGAGGGATCAGATATGCAGTAGACTTCGCGGGAACTGCGAACTTGAAAGGAAAGAACAAACCGTGGTCGGCCTCTAGATCTCCAACACAGAAACCACCACCATCTCGGAAAATTCTCAGTTTATACGCTGCTTCTTCGAAAGAACCAAAGACTCACGAAACCTTGGCTACTGTTAAATCTCTCCTGCAGATGGCCTGTCACCGAGGTAATCATGCTCACCATAATCCTACTACATCTGAGTGTCCATTACTCCCTTTGTCTTGATAGATCCGCACGCGGAACGGGCCTACATTCTCATGGCCTTGAAGCCAACGTCTCATCTGGTCAGCTCTCCTGTTCGATCAATTGGGGGGCTCAGCAATTGTGTGTAGTGACCTACCGATGTCGAGACCTGGTTCGTTCTTTTGCAAAGGCGCGTTCTTTGTCGTGTTCGAGATATTCTCTCTTATTTGCTCGATGGTGTTGCCCGTAACCAACGGCCGAAATCCCAGGGTCTCTTCCAGGGCAAGCCATTCCGGTGCGAGGTTCAAAGGCATTTTGGTACCAGGTGGCTCTGATACAGGTGTTATCTATCAATAGAAACCTCCAATCGATATCCAGTAGTAGACATCTATGGTAGTGTGTGTAAAGAGAGTGTGAACGATATAACCACCCCCAACACCAGTACGGATCGAATTCCTTCCATCATCCTCCACAGTAACTCGACCCCATCACCTTCATCACCTGACAGATATCTACTTCTCTGTGCTTTCGGGGCCACGGTCCGAGAGAATCTCCAACGATAGTTGAGCTGTGAAGAGGTATTGACGACAAGTATAGCTTCTACCTGGATTCATATTCTTACGCCCATGCCGCGCTGATGGGGTCCAGCAGGAAATCCAGGCTCTGGAACTCTGGCAGCGTAGTGCGAAGTCTATCTGTTTGCACAGTGAATACGAAAAGTAACGCCCACACAATGTGGAGTTCTTCCTCGGCTTCAGCCAGAGGGGGCCTTGGTGGGAATACTCCACTGTAATATCTCTGGTTTGCTGAGAGAAATTGTTGGACAAGTCTGTATCCTTGCTCCCTGTCTCTGGAGTGGTACCTGTGGCACCCTTGCACATGGCCCTAACTGCACTTTGGTGCGTCTCCAGGACGCCACTCAAACGCCGCCTGGCCGAGTATCTCGGATTATCAGCAAAACTCTTCTGGGGAGACTGCCGCCCTTATCTGCGACTTTCAGTAACCTACCACGCGCTATGGTGAGCCTTGTGTGAGGAACCCGCAGAAAAAACACCTGCCTATCGCTGCTTATTGATCATGCACTTTTCCTCCCTGATGCACCCCATGTGATCCCAGCCAAGACAGACGGGTGAGGTGGGGTAACGCTGTCCGGGGTCAGAAGGCGCTACTGAGTCTGAAGATTCGGTCTATTTCAAAAACCTGACTCGGTAAGGGCGAGTTAAAAGACTTTCTCGGGACATTGCTCAGACTTGTGCCGAGCGCCGCTGTACAGATCAGTGAATACCGGTACATAAATCTCCAATGCAGCTTGAAATAAGAGCCTATAGGCTAGTGATGACCGGTGTCTCCATTCGCTTGGGGCACTCCAGACTTCGGTTATCTTTCTTCCCAGCAAACCTGTGGGACCTCCATGCCGCAGACCACCCCCTCCCTGGCTCTTGGCTTTATAAAGACCGGTCCGACCATCCGGACAGTAGTCTAAAAAAGTAGGCCGAGGCAAATGTGTGGGGATGGGGGTTTTTATAAATGATATATGGGAGTTCCAATGAAATGATGTGGTGAAAGTCGTATACTCTCGCGCAGTGCTACTCTGATACATCACTTTACGACGGGAGTAACGCCCGAGTCCGACACAAAGATGGTTGTGTCTCATGATTCGCAATCGAACGGGACTGCCGTCAACGGCGATGCCCCGAATGGCGCCCATTCCGGGACCATCGACTGCGATGTTATCATTGTCGGAGGTGGCTTCAGTGGCATGACGGCCTTGCACAAAGCACGTAAGCTGGGGTTGACTGCCAAAATCTTCGAGGAAGGCACCGATTTCGGTGGCGTCTGGTACTGGAATCGCTACCCTGGTGCTCGAGTCGACTCCGAAGCGCCCTTCTATCAGCTCTCTATACCCGAGGTCACAAAGGATTGGTATTACAGCCAAAGATTCCCCGATCACACCGAGTTACGCAAGTATATGGCACACATTGATAAAGTCCTCGACCTACGGAAGGACACATACTTCAACGCGCAGGTCATCGGCGCCGAGTTTGACACCAAGAAAGCACTGTGGACGGTCAAAACAAGCGCAGGCCATGTCGCCAGGGGCAAATACATTATTATCGCAACTGGCTTGCTGCACAAGAAATACCTGCCAGAATTTCCAGGCATGGGCGACTACAAGGGTGAACTTTACCATTCCGGCGCCTGGCCCGAGAACCTCAGCGTGAAGGGCAAACGTGTCGGCATTATCGGCACTGGAGCTACCAGCGTGCAGATCGTACAAGAGCTGGCCAAGGAAGCCGATACCTTGACTAACTTCATGCGTCGTCCCAGCTACTGCGTGCCGGCTGGCAATCGACCACTCACCATCCAGGAACAAAAGGAGCAGAAGGGACTCCTTCATGCCCTGTTCAAAGCAGGCAGACAATCATTCGTCGGTATACCTGTACTAGGAACCGTCCCTGGCAAGTCTGTTCTCGACGCGACACCGGAGGAGAGGGAAGAAGCTTTCGAGATCGGATGGAACCGTGGTGGCGCGGGCTTGAATTCGTGCGGCTACACAGACATTCTCACAGATAAGAAGGCAAATCGTATCGTGTATGATTTCTGGCGCAAGAAGGTCCGTGCAAGGATGACCGACCCAGTCAAGATGGATCTTATGGCACCGGCCGAGCCACCTTATTGGTATGGTACGAAACGCCAACCTCTGGAGGAAGACTACTACGAGTGCATTGATATGCCTCATGTCGAAGTGGTGGACCTCAACGCGGCCCCTCTCCAACATTTCACCGAGAAGGGTATCTTGACGGCAGATGGGAAGGAACGGGAATTTGATGTGATTGCATTGGCCACAGGGTTCGAGAGCTACACAGGCTCGTACGTCGACCACTCGCTTCCCATTCTGGTCAAGTCATGCTAACATTGAGTCTCACTAGGATTGTGAACATGGGCCTGCTGAACAAGGATGGAATAGACTTGAAGGATCTTTGGAAAGACGGAATCAAGTCATACCTGGGAATCCTCATCAACGGCTTTCCCAATGCCTTTATGGTATACAGCCCTCAAGGTACGTAAATCCGATGCCCTTTGCGCATGGACGGAGGGAAGAATATCAGGACTAACACGACTTGTTATCACCACCCTGTAGCTCCCACTTCGCTATCCAATGGTCCAACCATCCTAGAATGTCAGCTGGATTACGTCTTTGCCGCGATCGAGAAGCTTGAGAAGGAGCACGCCAAGTCCATCGAACCCACGCCGGAAGCTCAAGATGAATGGAAAAAGACGGTTCTCGCCACCACCGAAGGTAGTCTGATTCCGTTGACAAACTCGTGGTGGACCGGGGCGAACATACCGGGCAAGAAGGCCGAGCTGGTCACATTCTGCCACGGGATTGAAAATTACGAGAAGGAAATCCTCAAGACTTTGGACAGCTGGAAGGGATTCGACATCGTTCACGAGAGCGTCGTCCCTCTTGAATAGATAGATCATGACGCTTCTAGAAGAAACATCGACGTTGGACCTATAGGGGAGATAACAGGTATTGAGCCCCTCTACAGCTATCGTACTTCATCACTTGGTCATCATGCTATATTACCTACCACCTTGCGAGGATTCAGATTGGGGCAATCAGTGTTGTAGCTAGAGAGTTGACATATAGGTAAGTCATCTCTCCCGCTCGGTGGCTTTACAGCTACAGTCAGACAGGGACGATGATTAACAGTCTCCATGCAGGTGAGATTACGGCGCCCTTCCATAGTTCCATAAGTTCTCTCGACGCATGGGGAAGAAATTATGTACACCGTATGGAATGCACAAATATCGCAGCCCGAGCCGTGATTATGTGTTGCTCATCCACCGTCCGACGTATATATCGGACCGATACCCCAGGGTTCTACTGGCAGGCGCAAGGACCTTTTGACTGCCGAAAACGAGTATACCTCGTGCTATAATTTTGTGGGGAAAGGCCGTCTCTCCATTTTCATTGGCCTGATTGACCCCGGTCCGGCGGTCCGAATGACGCTAACCAAAAATGGCTCGGCCCAGCCCAAGACCCAAAGTGGAGACGTCCGGGGCAGCAAGTTCTCGACCTCGACCTTGTTGGCTCTGATCCGACACCCCGGTCATGGGTCATGGCGCCCCATGGGGTGAGGGACCATCAACACCATCACAGTCTGCTTCACTCTGACCCACTCTGCCCTGGGAAGCGACTCGAGGCGAGGAAAGCAAGTCTCGGCACATCCAAGCTGGACCAGGCTATGAGTGACGGTGCGAGCACTTGAAAGTATATGAAGCTGCGATGCTCACCCTAGCACAATATGCCAGACATAAACCCCCCTCCCCGGCGCGATAACACGTTTGGAGCAAGCACCCTTTGCCTGTTCCCCTTATAATCATGTTCTCCAAGATGCGCCACGGCCATTGGAATGGCTGGAACTTCTTTGTGTGCTGGCTCGTCTCGCTGGGCCAGCTCGCCTGCGGATATCCATCCTCTGGTATCAGCATCACTCTGGGTACCGGCTCATTCCTGACGTACATGGGCATTGTGAACGCCGAAACAGGTGCTCTGAGTTCGGATGGAAATGCCCTGATTGGAGCTGTGTCGGGCGTGTACTTTGTAGGTTCCCTTCTCGTGTGGACCTTGCCACCCTCTCTCCTTCTTTTTCCTACTAATTAATCTTCAATAGGCAGGCGCATGTTTCGGTGTTGTTCTAGCTGGCTTCATTACGGACCGCTTTGGCAGGAAGCCCTCGTTTATTGTTTCCGCTACGGTCTTGACTCTGGGTACAGCCTTGGAGACCGGTAGTCGAAACATCGCCATGTTCATCGTCGCTCGATTCATTACGGGCTTTGGGGCTTGGGGGTTCCAGGTCACCAGTGAGATTGTCTCCTGCCCCACGAATAAAAAAAAACATATTTTGGCCACGCCCATGCTAATGCTCTCTCTCAGCACCTCTATTCGTCTCCGAGCTGGCTCCGCCTGATCTTCGAGGCCTGATGTCGGGCATGAATGGCATCCACGTCGGCGTGGGATATACCATTGCAGCATGCATCGGCCTAGGATTCTACACGATCGATGACAATCCGTCGATGCAGTGGAGGGCTCCGATCGGAATCGGCATATTCTTTGCTCTCCTCATGATCGTCGTGTGCTTGATTGTGCCCGAATCGCCCCGGTTCCTCCTGCTGAAGGGCCGAGTCGAAGAGGCCAAGAAGATCGTGTTTGACCTGCACAAGATGAAGAACGATCCAGACCAAGTATTCGCCCGCGAAGAGTTCTATCAGATGGCCCAGCAAGCAGAGCATGAGAAGAAGAACGAGGTTTCCTTGGTTCGTTTCCATTTCCTCCAGAAGATACAACGATGTTCTCGTTTCTCAGCGGCGACACTAAACCCCTCCGCAGATTACCCTCCTTACCCATCGAAAATACCGCAAGCGCATGTCTGCCACCATGGCGTACGCCTTTATTGGCCAGAGCACTGGCGTTTTGGTGCTCAACAACTACGGTCCCCTCATCTACAAGACCCTCGGCTACGACACATACCATCAATTCATCTTTCAGTGTGGCTGGCTTAGCGTCGCCATTGTATTCAACATCGTGGGCGCACTGCTAATTGACTCAGTCGGGCGGAAACCGCTTCTGATGATAGGCACCGGCGGAGCATGCGCCAGCCTCATCATCGAGGCCGCCATGGTAGCCACCTATGTCGAAGGCCCTTCTGCCGGCACCAATAAGGCCGGGCTCAAAATGGGCGTCGCAGCAGCGTATATCTTCCTCGCGTTCTTTTCCGTCGGCGTCGATGTTGCTGGTATCACCTTTTTCGCCGAGGCATTCCCCAACAATGCTCGAGCAAAAGGAGTCGCTTGCATTATCTTCGTCATAGCAATCACTGACCTGGTGTACCTCGAGGTTGCTCCAACTGTAAGTCTGTCCTTTTTTTTTTTAATCTGGAAAATAATCTGTATCGTTAATGACTAAAAACCCCAATTCTTGATGCAAAGGCATTCGCCAACATCGGCTGGAAATACTACCTCATCTTCATCATCATCTCGGGCCTGGGCGTCTTTGTCATCTACTTCCTGATCCCCGAGACCAAGGGCGTGCCCCTGGAGGAGATGGCCAAGGTGTTTGGCGAAAAAGACGAGGTCCAGGTCTTTGCCGAAGACATTCACATTGACCAGAACACCCACCGGCTCGTGGTCGAGGACCACAACACCCACGAAATCCAGGAGATTATCGGCGACGACGGCACAGTAGCCACGACGGGTCGAGACGCCGACGTGCTCAGGGATGAAAAAGCCCATCGCGTTCACGCTGAACATGCCTGAATGAAGGAGAAGGGAAGGGGAGTTGAGAGGAAGAGGAGATGGTTTGAAGCAGGTTGTCTGTTCATTATTTATTTGCCTTGGTCTCTCTCTCTGAAAGTGATGAGATGGCATTTTTAAAAATCATTGATTTTATCGGTCACAGTCCCTGAGTCATAAAAGGCCTTCTTGGAACGGACAAGGTTGGATATTGATAGTATTTGTATGTCGCTAGAAGGGCTTCTCACTCAGCTGGAGCGGTTCTTACAACCCATATTAACCAGGCTGCGAGCTCATGTGTCGGTCTCGAACAATGCAGACAGAGACAAGCGAGCGTGCAGGGACTAGGGGATGGGGCTTTATGTACCTCGTACTCGACACGTCTTGTCTGCGCATGTACATACATATATACATACAGTATCGAGGTGATGGTACCCTAGAGATGTGATACACGCACTTGAAGTGCCAAGACTGCTGCTAACAAGGGGGCGCAACTACATGATACACAGCCTTGTCGATCGACGAATCCCCTTTTCTGCCTAGAGAAGAAATAATAAAATTCTGGAGATTATCATCGTGCGTGCTTCTTCTCAGCCTGATCTATGGCCGCTAGCTCTTTTCACCTCGTTCTTCCCGAGTAGCAGCACGGATGGGTCCCTTATGTTCTTTCGTAAACAGCATCTAGCATTCGCACTGTATCCGACATGATACATGGTATCTCTGGTCTAACTTTGCTCTAAGACGTTCATTTCGTTACACGCATTAACTTCCGAGACATCATCTGTCGTTCTGTCATGTGTGAGGTTTAGCCCGAGTCTGAGGGACGTTTGTGTTGCCATCCGCCACCTGGTTGTGGAACTTTTACGCCACTCTTTGACAAGTAGCCAGAAAGTGGACAGCTCGCACGGCCGTTGCTCTAGTGCAGGCTCTTCAAATGCTCCACGAGTGCCTGGACCTGTTCTCTCACTTCATCCGTCAATTGTTCCTCCGGCTCTCCTAGCACACTCATCATGATCGGAGCCAACTTCGGGGTGAGTTGTTGAATCGTCGGGTCCTGGCCGCGGTAGAGCTGTACGATCATTGTCCACAGCGGTTCGTTCTCTTGGTAGTCCTCCTTCAAAGGCAAGATGCCGCTGTCAACCAATGCTGGGAGAACCTGCTGGATGGGCACCTTGTCCTTGTGCTTCAGTATCAACCTAGAAACACATCCGGCCGCATTGTCCTGGCAGCGGCACTCCGTAATGTGCAGGATAGATTCGAGTTTTGAGAGGATTTGAGGGTATGCTTTGACGATAGTGGTGGCGTCTTCGGATTTCTCCACCAGTCTGCCCACGGCATAGGCTGCGTTGGATTTGGTCTGAGGATCTTCATCTCCGAGACGCTTGAGGAGGACATTCAGCATCTGTGAGGTATATGGCGTGACAGCTCCTTCCATGCCCGTGATGATCTCAGCGAGCACCCCACATGCAGACGCACGGCCCAGGGCTTCTCCACCACTTGCATATCGTAGAACCTGTTTCTCAAAAATCTTCCACAGCTCCCCAAAGCTTGGGCCAAGCGCAGCAGCAAGCCCCGAGATCACATCCATGGCGCTGTCTACAACAAGCCATTCTAATTCTGTGGATTCCAGGTCTTCGTCATCCAGGGCGGCTTCTGCCATGTCGATCTGGCACGCGTGTTGTTTCGTGATCAAATCCGTCACTGTCTGGACGATCTTGGAGAGGACATCAGGGTAGCTGAGGAGGGAAGGACCCGTCATTTTGAGGTTCTCGGATAGAGCTCTCGAGATCTCGGTGACAGTATGACTAAGGATTTCCAAAAGTCAGCTTGGTTTCCTTCGCTTGTGGATGCACATTGAAGGCAGATAACATCTTTCAGAGGGTTGAAGATCGCGTTCGCTTCATTCACGACTTGCGTGTCGGAGTGAGCTGGGATTAACGAGGATATCTCATCTTGTGGATAAGCACCACCAGGGAACAGGGCTAAGATCTCACTTACAATTCTTCTTCTTCGGGCCAGACGTTCAATGTCGCAGTCATCAAGAGCTCCCCGAACTTCTTCAGTTCTGGCGTCGGTTCAACCTGGAGTGGCAGGCCAGGCTTCCATTTTTGCAGCTGGCCTGATTCTTCTGAAATATCGTAAAGAGCAGCGTACGCGCGATGCAACGTACTGAATGTGGCCTTGCGTAACTCCTCGCACTCGTGCTCCGCCAGAGGCAGAAGTTTTTCGACCGTCTTCTCGAAGAAGGGAAGGTAGGCCGTCTTGGTGTTAGAAACAACATCACCGATAACCTCGATGGCGATTTCCTTCTCGAGAATTATAGGCGTGACAGTCGCCAACTCGTCCCAGTCGCCTTCATCATCACCATCGATCTCGATGCCCCCATCGTCATCCTCGTCATCGGCTGCAGCAACCTTGACCTTTTTGCCGTCGATCATTACCTCCTTGCCAAGCAAGTCCCTCGCACTAGCACCAAGCTCAACTTCCAGGTCGACTTCTTCCTGGTCGATGCAATCGAAAAGACCTTTCACCACTCCTTCGAGGAAAGGCGCAAAGTCCGCTTCGTAGACCTTGGCGAGAGACGACCACAGAATGTAGGTACTCTCCTTGAGTCTGGAGTGCTCGAGATGTAGGGCCTCTTCGCTAGTCTCCATGAGCGGCTGCACGTAGTCCTTGAACTCAGTTGGACCAACGGCAACAGCCATTTCACCCATGGCATCGGTGCAACTAGCGCGCAGGTCAAGTTCCTCCTCACTCTCCTTCTTAGTGATGTATTCTTGCATAGCATTCATAGAGTCACGAAGGTAGGGCAAGAAAGGTGCCTCCACTGTTGAAGCCAACGAGCCCAGAGCCCCCGCGGCCAGCGCTTTGATCTTGAAATCCGGGTGCTCAAAGAGTCGTTGAAGTAGTGGAGCCAGCTTGTCGAGATAAGGAACAGCATCTTCAGCATCCATCCCATCCACGACTGCATCGATAGCACTTGTCGCAGTCTTCATGATGTCCACAGTAGGGCCTTCCTCCTCACCTTTGTAAGCACTCATGGCAGCGGTCAGATTCTTGACGAGTAAGGGCATCAATTTCTCATGGGCCTTGCTAATATCTTCCGGCATATCTTCGGCGAGCCTGGCGGTTGTCTGCAGCGCAGCTCGTCTGACGATAACCTCCGAGTCCTCCAGAAGTGTGAAGAGTATTGGCAGAACAGAGCTCAGCTGGGTGCTGAGAAAGTCTGGAGCTCCCTCCACAGCCATACCCAGACCCAGGATGCCAGCCTGTCTGTGTTTGGGATTGGAGCTTTTGGAATACTCGGGGAGTGCGTTTAGAAGTGGAACGACAACTTGGTTGGGCGGGAGATGCCGAGACATGGTTTCGATTAGAGCCAGAGCTGATCTAGCAGGCGTGATCTCGTCTTCGTCGGCGGAATCATCATCGACCTCCGTGGCAACTTGTAACATGCTCTTAGTCAGTGGATCCCCCATCTTGGCACCTTGAACGCGCAGCCGTCTATAGAGGACGCACTGCATCAAGAAACTGATGGCTTGAGTCCTTATGTCATCAACCATGGCCGAATTGGTTGCAATGCCGTTCATGAAGGCGACCAAATCCTGGAAGTGGTTCGACATATATTGATATTCGGCAGTCAGAAGGGTGTTGAAAACCTCGAAGGCGAGCATGATCTGATCTTCTTTGCCAGAGTCGATTGTATCCTTCAGAACAGCAACCATGGCTGGGAAGATGTTTTGAAACTCCTTAAGTAATGCCTTTTCTTCCTCAGGATCAGCGAAGTAGGCCATTTTGGAGATGGCTAGCAGCGTGTTGACGCGGACTTCGAGGCTCTCTGGGTCTTTGATTGTATTGCTGAAGAGCGCAAATAATTCTTTGAATATGGGAAGAAAGTGCTCTCCCATAGTTTCGAGGATGCAAAAAAGCACGTACACGCCGATTGCACGTTCCGCGGCTTTTGAGCTCGTGGCGGCTTGCTGCAACATGCCAGGCAGTTCAGGCCATTCTCCATCCTGGTGATCAATCTTCGCAATCGTGCCTATCAGACGCGATGATGAGTGTCGGACAAGGGAGGAGGGTTCGGCGAGAGTCGCCCGCAAGAGCTGTGTTCGCGCATCTTGCCGCTGGTTGAGAGGAATCTTGGTCCAGTGTTTCGAGACCAACGGCCTTGCTTGGACGGCAGCAAGTTGTTTGAGGTCGGCACTTTCGTGTGAGATTACGAGGTGTAGTAAGGCAAGTAGGGACGCTGGCTGTTTGTAGTATTGATTCTGAAGTACACTTGTGGCAGCCTTCACGTCACCTTTCTTTGGATCGAGGATGATGGAGAGCTGCTCCAAGAATTTCTGTTCGTCCATCATAGCCTGCAGGCAGCCTGCGCCTCTGTGGTTGTTTCAATCAATCACAGCTAGGCCGAACGAGAGGAAAGCCTTCAACGTTCCAAAGCCCAAGAAGGTTTTAAACCCAATGTCCTAAGCACACAGTCTCAGAACGTGGAAGGGCACAAAGTTGTTCAAGAGATTCGAACGGAAATTTGGGGCGCAGTTTCGAGGAATTTTTTTGGGCTCCAAAATGCCAAACTCGGGATCAACATCATAGCGGAGCGAATTAAGATTTAGTCTAGTCTGAATTGAGACTGGCTGGCTCGGCATCGTTGAGCGTGCCAAGTTGAGTCACGTGAAATACACGTGATATTGCACGTGATTTCACAACCCCACAGGAGTCGGAAAACACTTTGCAGTGTGGGCAAAGGGCCCTGGCTTTTTCTGCGCCTCATAGCAGTCCAGTTACCAATCACAACATTAACCCCCTGCTGCGGGCAATGGCTCCTATTATTCAACATGGTCACAGTCATCTGCCATTGCCTGTTCATCGTGCCGAGCATACCCGTAGAGCCTAGGTTGGCTAAGGACTCAGGCTCAACTCGATCTCATCTGGAAGTTTTAGGTCTCCCCGCCCTTCAACGTCTCTGTGTCCCAGCATCGACTTTCAGACCATGGAGAAAAAAAAATATGAATATGAAGAATTGGTATCCAAGCACGGAGCTCTGCATGTGCTGATCTCAGCTCGGCCTAGGAAATTCACATCTCGAGATTCGCGCCAAATTTGCCTTCATGGGGAGGGGCTTGTTACAGCCCGGAAGAAACTACCGGCGAGGCTAAGGGATGTAGGCCCAGCGTGCCCCCTAATCACAAACCCAGTCGGTCGGCTCTGAAATTTCTTGTTGCAGCGAACACCATGAGCCAACCTTGCACTAATCGAGCTTCCCGCCCTCTGAGACACAGAGAGCCGGTCGATCTCTTGCGAATTTCCTTGTAAGAGCCAGCCCGAATCTGCCCTTCTCTCGATGTCAGAAGTGGTCTATATGCTTTGCGATGACACTCGAGGACGAACAGCCACAAGCGGAAGATGCCTCTGAGTCCAGTCATCTATCTGCTGTGTATAAAACCAAATAATCGAATACTGGCAGAGCCATGGACCAAATGGCCGATTCGAAGTTTCCTATTCGTGTCGTAACTATGGCTGGTTGCAACGTTCCTCCGGGGAGCGCCTAGTATAAATATGTCAGGCCCAAGAAGCCCACTCGCAGAGTTCGGATATCTCGTCCGCCATAATTCTGTCTTACCTGCTTTATTCCACCGAGTGAGCTTCGCTCATCTTCTCAAGCTTCCTCGAAAAACGCACACTCACTTCCTCCCAGGGGCCCTTTTCCTACGATGGCGCGCTCTCAATAACATGAATTGTCAAGCAGATTGTCGCATTGAAAAGGACTTCCGAGAGATTCAAAGCCAGCTCGGCATTCCCAATGAATTCACAGCAGCCATTCACTCTCCATGTCTCAGATGTTGGCCCCGCGACCACCCCCCGGCGGCGAGCCTCCCCAAGAGCCTCCATCGTCTCAGCGCCCCCGAAAAATATCCACTGCCTGCGGTGCCTGCAAGCAGAGGAAAACAAAGGTATCTAGCGCACTCGGAGCGTTCACCAGCTGCTCGTCTAACCCGAACCAGTGCTCTGGAGGCAACCCTTGCGAGGCGTGTGCCGCGAGAAAAAGTCTATGCGTTTACGACGCGACTTCTGACCAGCGACGGAAGATTGCGAATCATCGAACTGCCCAAGAACTCGCAGATAAACAACTTGCCCTCGAGCGACACCAGCAACTTCTGGGAGGAATCATCGCAACCGTGCGAGCCGGCGGTTTCAATGCGACCGAGGACTTGCTCCGTGTTATACGCTCAGGCGTCGAACTGTCGCAACTGGCCGCCCACGTGCGAAACGAATGTCGAGCTAACATCGCGATCCAGCAGGCTTTCGAGCAGATTGATTTCGTCATCGATGGAGGCACAGAATTACCCTCGCCAGCTCAAATGCAAGTTTTACCAAGCGAGGATTCCCGAGGATCAGAAGAACAAAGTGACACTAGTTCCGTGAGATTTCCTTCTAGCGACCAACCGAAGATGGACCATCTAAGACTCCCGCGCTGAACCGAACTATTGTGGAGGATGAGAACCGAACGCCTGCAGTGGTTGAGCTATCAATGGTGCAAAAGAGCTTGAGATCCCTTTCTCTCAGGAAATCCCTACATATTGAATGGTGTCAAGGCGCTGCTACTGGGTACGTTAATACGGGGTTCAATATTCACGGTATTGTGGACGATCTTGTCTGAGGATACCCTTGTGCCTTGTGGCTTGATCGATCAATCTGACCCAAGTACTGATTGTTGAGACTGCTCGGCCGTCACATAGGGGGATGGATAACGGCTACTTCCCACTTCATACACCATTGCAGCCGAAATATGTGGGATTCGATCAAGTCCGTCGCGGAGCAGGGCCTATCTATCAAGGGCTATGCCTGCGGGAGTGGTTAAAGCCTGCCTCAGATTGATATGACAGGTGGAACGATTGGTGGCAGAAGCTAATGACCCTGTAGGTACAGTCGGAAAGCCAAGTTTTCCGAGATACCTGGCTCTGTGCTCCCGCATGTGCACCTTCCTAACTCACAGAAAACATGAGCAGGATTCGGAAATGGAATCCGTCCGAGCAACGAGTCTCCTTGCTCTACCACCCCAGATCTTCGGTCGAACCATTTTGAGAGGCGCTCCGAGGAAGAAGCAGGCCGTTGAAAGCCCTTCCCGCCGTCCCGAATGCGAATTGCAATAGACAACACATTTGGCGTTGATTGGAATCGTCATACGCCATATGCTGAGGAAATACACAGAGTACACAAAAATACGCTGGTCAGACGTGCATCTTGGGGATCAAATACCACTCAGATAACCCACCGTGCCACCTCGCCAAACCGGAGGACTCCTGATCTTGCCGGTTGGGACAACCATCACCAACCCTAGTCAAATGCCAACGGATGGATGGTTGTATTTCGTGGAGACCAGTCGGATTCCAGCTTCTTGAGTCGCTGTGATAGTGGCCCTGTGATCGGTCTTCCCATTCTTGGTACCCCTCTTCACCCGGAGAAAGGTGCCAAAAATCACGCCCATTTGTCCCGTGCAGGAGATTTTGTTTTGTGCTTGAGGAACAGGTGTCTTCGGGTCCAAGAAGAGGGAGAGTCATTGATGTGTCTCCAAGTACTCTTGGAGAGGGAGAGGGTTCCGCGCGTCGACTTGATCTTGCACACGTGCGAAACTAGGGATACGCAGGCAGGCAGGTGACCGCAGTCAGACTGCGCTTTGTCCCCCACTGTCATACGTCATTGTGTGACCTTGAATCCCCGTATGTGGAATCACTCAGTGTTCAACCCTGGTGACCCCTCCATTTACGAACTTCCATCTCACTGTGCCATCGTGCACAACCCGCCAGCACCACCGCCCCTTGTGATCGGCATGCATATGTAGCTGTCCAAGCTTGTTGCCAACCCCTCTCACTCCCCTTCCCCCACCACCACTCCTCTCCCTCCTCCTCCTCGTCCTGAAAGACCTAGTCAACCCACCATGACACGTAGAGTCTTTGCCCAGGGCCCCATGGCGAAAGCCCAAGAACATCAGGACCATGTCGCTCCCCAGCCCCAAGACCACGATGCTCCCTCATCCACCTCGAAGCGCAACCAATCATCGGCACTGCAATACCCTTGGGAAACTCTCCTCGTGAGGCATCCTCGGTCGAAACTTAAAAGGCATCTGGTCCCCGCCGCCCACGGCCACGCTTTCGAGGTCAAAGCTTCATCTCATTTCCGTATCGTCGACCTCCATGGCCAGCAGGTGGTCGACTTCATGGCTTGGACGCTGCCTTACTCCCCTGCGACCAACTCGGAGCATTTTTCCACGAGCTACACGCGATACGCACTGGGAGGTTCTGCATCTCCGCAGGTAGGCGAGGCGCTCTACACGAATCGGGACCGAAAAATGTTTACTATAGTCGCGGACATGGTCAAAACTCACGATCTGCTTTACATGGCGTGTAACCCGGGCTTTTATGCACGCAACGGCCACCCTGTTCACCGGTCCTGTGCCACCAATGTTGCCGAAGCGATGAAACCCTGGGGTATGAAGCATTGGAGCGAAGTAGTTGACCCATTCAATGTCTTCCAAAATACTCCCTATTACACAATCAAGGCGCTTAATTGCTCAAGGCCGGGAGATTTCCTAGAAATGCGGGCCGAAGTGGATGCAGTTTGCGCCGTGAGCAGTTGCCCGTTCGAAGACGATGGCTTTAACGGTGGGAGAGCCACGGACATCGCTGTGGTAACCGAGGTCGACGATGAGGAAGAGGAAGAGGAAAAATGAAGCCACCTTGTTGCTAGATCTGCGCTTTAGAAAGCTGCGCCTGCAGAAAGCCCTCACACGAGGATCTCCCAAAAGAAATCCTGCTCCGTATCTCAACTGTGTATTGGAGGGACTGTCCTGCCCATCCGATTTCGACGCCCGCAGTAGATGTGCTGGCCAGCTTTCAGCATCTGGTCATTGCAGAGAAGCGGAGCTGCATACAACCAAGAGAGAGTTCGGTTTCGCCGCCAACACCACCCAGAAACCGCAGGGAAGTGCACCCTCCAGATCAATCAACCTGTGCCCGCCGCCGCCAGTCATTCAGTGCAAGAAGCGGAATTGCTTTGTCGGAGTCGAAAAGAGCATCCATACCGTTGACAGCCAGCTTCCTGAGTCGAGAACTGCACTTCAGCCTCGTCGAAGGATAGGAGCCAGGAGAAAACAATTTCGCCTGACCGGCCATCTTTTCGCGTATTTCGACGTCAAAACAGCCAGATACACTGGGGTGTACCATCCACAGATTCAGCCGACGAACTTGCATGGACGGCTTACAAGTATTGTCCTTCAACACATGTACCTCGACGTCAGTCATGGGACAATCTTATAGCATGTCTGGTATCCTTCCAGCTCTTGGTTATATTGCCGCCACTGTCCCATTGCATGCCAACAAATCTGTGGTGGTAAAGCTCGCATGACGAGGGCGCAATGTTCGATAGTACAGTAGTGTTTCTGCCGTTGAGGTATCACCCTCATGCATATGTCAATGGTGAGTTGTGGCAATCATCTCATGTCTCTTGAAACCATGTGGATGTTCCTCTGCCTAGCACAGCGTCTTTATGTTTGTATCAGCATCATCGCTTTGATACATGCCACTCGAGGCCAAACTTACAGTTGTCTTGCAACGCCATCCTCTCTCCATCTCTGTTCCTATTTAATGTCCCCTCATCGATTACTTTCAGAGGCTTGATGAGGGAAACAAGAACTGAATGCGACACTTTGTGTCGACAGTCCCTCCACCTGTGAGCTCGACCTGCGAACAACACATTTGAACTTGATCAAAGGAACAAGGCTTTGTAGGACACGAGCACCCCCGATGAATGCTTGGAAACTGTGGAATGTTGAGGAGCAGACGGAGGACTCAGGTGCTTCGGTTCAGTCAGTCGACTGGTGGCTCTCACCCGCACTTGCCAGAGCGAGGCGTGGATTCCTGGGTCGAACACAGGGGGTTCTCGACATCGAGGTAAGCCATGAATGAGTATCAATGAAATCTTCGTTCGTATTGCTGATCAACTGCGCTCTCGGACCGCTTTGTGAGAAAGAATCAACAACTGACCAGTCCGGATAAACGAACCTGCCTGCGCTCTCACGCATGATTCCGGAAAAGACTTCCAGAATCCCCCAGAGGAGAGCCTTAGCCTGATTGGAATTTTCACCCGGCTCTGCTTCTGACAGAGCAGCAATCCCCTTTCTCATTTCACTTTGATCGAGATACTATCGATTGTGAGAACAGTCAGCCTTTTGATCTTGGTCACAGAATGCTGCCAAAATCAATCGCGTCCCATGGTCTCGCTATACAAGTACCTTTCGACTTGAGGGACGCTACAGACTCATGAGATCCTGTGTCCAGGAACCAACCATGTGCGAATCTCTGTTTGGGCTCATCGAAAAAAGACCTTTCGACTTGTGGACACTAAATGCCTGCGTGAATGGCCCTCGCGCTCACAGCGAACGGCGACAAGCGCGAGAAACCCAAGAGCTTATCTACTGCTTTGTATAGTTCCAACTAGATTTCGAAGGGTATTTACACGCCAGCATTCCTTCTAGCGACTATTTACATTTCCAACCTCCCTACGCGAGATCTATTGCCCGCCTCTTCGATCACTGGCACCTGAGCCGCGAATTTGTTCGAAAGTCGTCCTACACGTCAGCATGAATGTAAGAGCAGGGACAAATCGCGGCAAGTTCGCTGGAAAATCCTGGCCATTCAACACAGTCAACACACAACATGAATTATTATTCGCCGCAGATGCGCACTCTCCTCCATCTACTTACGACACGAATTGCGAGTTTGTGGCCATTCTTTGAAGAGATGGGCCTTTCATGGCCGCAGGTACATTTGACATGGGCGTGTACGGGCATGGTCGATTGATTGAAGAAGATTGAAGAAGACTGAGGTTATTAAATAACCCATGTACTCACATTGAGCAGGGATTGAAACAAGATACTGGCTATTCATTGGTTTGGCCTCTTCCGTCGAGATTCTCCTGGACAACAGCCTCTTCGAAAACCTTTGTGACAAGTACACATGATTCGAGGGCGACAGCATCGCCTGGGAATTCTTTCTCGCCTCTGAAAAGAATGAAAAGAAAGTGACAGGAAGTTCTGAAAATACGAGGCAAGATGAGGTCGTCCGGCTCGCTCTTCGCCAATGGGATCATGAAGCCCAAGCTCGATAATTGACCCTGTAGAGAGCGGACTATCAGTAATTCCGTATCCGACAGCAATGCGGGTGTCACTACCGATTCCTGAGGTCCATACCCATCAACATCAACATCAATTCCGTTACAAAATCCACAACGTCTGCTGATGTGTATGGAAATGTTACAACACACGACAGAGGGCTACGTTGGAATACTAACAAGCTATCACCCGCATAACAACTTGGCCTCTGGTTTATCAGACCTGCCTTTCAGTGGACACGATGTGAAAAGTTGTGTTCATTGTGACATTGCGATCTGCCAGAGAGTGCTCAGGCGTGCAAGTGCTGGG